AGGAGGGAAGGAAGGGGAACCATGGATCCTCTGCTCACGACTGCAGCAGATCCCCCCGCCATCTGTAGGCATTCGCTCCATAACATGCACAGTCATTTCCCCTTACTTTCTAGGAGGAAAAAAGTGAGTGTTCTGGAGCAAAAAATACGGTACCTTCCAGAGCAGGAGAAAAGAAGCTTTCTCAATCTTCCATGAGAGATTTGAATGTGGCTGTCATATATCATTTCCTACTTAAAGTGCTGTGATACCACTGCAAAACAGCATAGCTTCCCCATAAGAATTATGAGGGCTGTAGTTTGTTAAGGGCGCTGGGAGCTGGAAACAGGACCCCCCCATTCCCCTCATAGAGATACAATTCTCAGGGGGCTTTAACAATCAGTTCCTCTTCTGTGCAGGGAAATCTATGAAGCAGGGGTCTGATAGCAGCTTTAAGCACCCTTAACAAACTATAGGACCCAGAATTATTTGTGGGGGTGGGAGCCATGACTGTTTAAAGTGGTAGCGTATCATTTTAAATGTATGGTGTGAATGTGGCCATAGTCTTGGCAATTAATTTCAGTGGTTCTACTCTGAGTAGGCCTAGCATTGGCTACATCCCAGGGCGTTATGGCTTTATTTATATATTTCATAGATTTACACATCACCTTTTAAGATAAGCACCCCTTGTGGGGCTCAAGCTGACAATAGAATCAATAATGAAATCAAGAGCTGTTAAGACATGTGGCAATATTGTGCCAAAGGCTTCCTGGTAAAGATGGGTGGTGATTATGTGTTTGTGTAAGGAGATTTGGAGTCCCTTCGGGTTTGTGCGTTGTGTAATTGTGAGGCTGGAGAAGCAAATCCAATGAACTCCAGACCTTTTTCTTGGAAAACCAGAGGCGGTTTCTCATAGTCTGGAACTGAACGCAGAATGAGCTTCCTTGGAACCTGACCTGCCTCAATCTCCAGCACTGATTTAACAAGCAACAGACTGCGCCTGCTGTATCCTGCTGCTAATTGGCGCTGGCTTCCTCAGCTGGCAAAATAAAGTTAAGGAACAGCTGTCCAAAGAAACTTCCTTAGGAAGTAGCCTTACACCCAATCAGACAATTAGTTCCTGAAACAATCATATGTTCTCCTGTTATCTTACTCCCCCTTCCCCGCCTTCCTCTGATGTCTTCCTTAATTGTAAGCTCCCCAGGGGCAGAAACCAGTGTTAGAAATTGGGATAGGAAAGAAACCAAGGAGCCATGTGGATCCTGGGACCTACCATATTTTTTGCCCCATAAGACGCACCTGACCATAAGACGCACCTAGTTTTTAGAGGGGGAATGCAAGGAAAAAATATTATTTAAAGGGAGCGCTGAGCAGAGCCTGTGTGCATCCCAGGCTCTGCTCAGTGTTCCCTTTCACGAGCTGCGTGGAGCGTGTGTGCAGCGCTTGCAGGCTTTTCCCTGAGGAGGGAGAAGGGCAGCCCGTCACTGATGGGTTGCCCTTCTTCCTCCTCGGGGAAAACCCCCAAGAGCTGCACACACGCTCTGCACGGCTCTTTAAAGGGAGCGCGGCTCTTGCGGGCTTTTCCGGGAGGTGGGGAAAGCTGCGCGCTCTGTCCCTTCCCCCACCTCCCGGAAAAGCCCCCAAGAGCTGCGCAGTCTCTTCAGGGCAGTGGGATGAAGGCTCCCTGCTGCCCTGAAGAGGTTGCACCCAGCTACGCCAGAAGCTAGAACAGCGAGAGGGAGCGCTGCACAGTGATCCCTCTCACTGTTCTGGCTTCTGGGATAGCTGCGCAGCCTGCATTCGCTCCATAAGACGCACATACATTTCCCCTTACTTTTTAGGAGGGGGAAAAGTGCGTCTTATAGAGCGAAAAATACGGTAGTTTGTGGGTGCAAAAACAAAATGTCTAGGCAACTTTTTTTTGCTGCTGCGCTACCATACCAGGTAATTTGCCTGGCAGTACGGCAGCAAAAAAATAAATATTTTTTTCTTTGCTGTCAGGTGAATCAGTTGGTCTGCAGAGTAGCGTGGCAGCAAACGGCACCCATTTTTTGCTGCTGTGGTGCCCAGCAGACCAGCTGACTGCAGCCAGGCAGGGGGAGATGCTAGGCACCAAGGGTGGCCCCCGGACATCTCCATCCAGCTGCAAAATGCTGGTTGCCAGTTGCAAAATTGACTGGTGCCCGGCTAATTTTGGAACACTGGCAGAAACCTCTTCAACCTGTTCTTTGTAAAGCACAATGTACATTGATGGTGCTATAACCTATGTAGGTTATATTCCAGTTTAGACTATGAGTAGTAGAGCAATTAAAAATAGACATGAGAAATTTAGGCCCACTAATTTCAGTGGGTCTAATCTGAGCAGGATTTAGTTTGATAAATATTAAATATATTTAATATTTAATATTAATAATTTAGTATATAAATTAATAAGAATAAGTTCATTTAATGTTTTTGAAACCAGTTTATGTCCTGCCTTTCCAAACAAAGATTCTTTCAAGACAATAATGTATTGTAATCCATTGTGTCCAGTGTTAGCCCTACTCACATTGAAATGAAATGAAGGACATGACTCATTTAGGTCCATTAATTTTGCTAAGTCTACTCTGAGAAGAATTTAATTGGATACAACCCATTTTTTTTTTTGTCTCTGAGAAACCCGCCCAAGGTGGCTAAATAAATCTATGCAACAAAGCAGAATAGAATACAATGTTGTGAGCATCCATCTGTCTCAAGAGACAATGGAGTGCTAAGTCAAACTGCTGCATTAGTGACCTCCCTGGGGCACAAGTCTGGGCAGTGTGTATGGAGGTCCTGGGCTCCCCAGATGGGAAGACCCCTCTCTCAGCCTCCCTGATGTGGCCCAAAGGAAAGCAGAGCAATACATTTGGCATCAGCTTGGCTGCAGGAGTTGTGGAAGGAGGCGTACAAGGTGCCATCCAACCATCTTAGAGACTCCACTCCAGATCTATGTAGGGTTTACCATCTTCTCCCAAAGATATTCCACAGGGCATATCTTAGGATAAGAGTTTTCCTTCTCCTAGATGGGCTAACTTCCAGGTTGATGAGCCCCATCGGCCCCTCACTTCCCTCTACAGCACATGCAGAAACTGCTTTCTTGACCATTGGATCCATTATTGGTCTTGTCCGTTCAATCCACCAGAGCCCATCATCGCATGCAAGGGAAGTCCCTAACTCACTGAGGGTTTGAGACCCCTCGGCTACCCTGGTTTAACTGGCCATTCGAAGCTGTTTTCTGGGGTGTGGTGCTATCGCACACTGGGCCTGTTGGCAGAACTGGTCACTCCCAAAGTCATGAGCAGTTTTCTGGTTTTGTGGAGGGATGGGTGAATTGTGCTTCCTCACCAGATTTTACTCTGGGTCTTTTGTTGATGCTCATTGTATTGTAGAGGGAAGTGTTAGTGGAGGAGTAATACCTCTGGTGGAGAACATGTCATGCCCCTACTGGTATTTTGTCCACCTTTGGTCCCCACCCTGCACTCAGCTCTCACCTGTAGCTCCTAGAAGTTGCCTGCATGCAATAAAAATTGTGGGCAGCCTCACACAGAGTGCATTGCAGTAATCATTGTGTTTTGGTGGTCAGGCTACATGATGCCTCCTATCCCAGGTTCCCTTTACAAACCAGGCAATTCCATAGTTCCCAAGACGATCCCACTCACCTGTATTTGATCGCCTTCTAATACCAAAGTCCCAGCTTGAGGCAAAATTGACCGACTGGGAGTATACGTAACCCTGAGACTTGCCATTGCTGCCCTGCATTTCTGAGCTGCTGTCCAGCGTGAGCTCAGTGAGGCAGATACTGACACACAGGCCTTGTTGCAGAGTGTTCTGCGCACAACCCTTGGATCGTGATCAGCCAGCAGCAACACATGACTAGAGGGTCATGCTCTAAAAGATTGTGCAAGGCATCTGCTTGCCAGACATTGGAAGAGTGACCTGTTAGATGTTGTTGGCTCAGCTGATCTTGTAGGCTTTTCAATTCCATAGTCTCTGCTGAGCAAAGGCATCCGCCGCCAACAAAGAGATAAAAATAGATCATGATGCAGGCGGTCCATGCTACTGGCTTGTTGGCTGGGCCTCCTGTTTTTTGAACCAAAAGAGTTCCTTGAGGGGGTTGTGGTTTTGTGATGTAATCAGGGCAAACACCACCCTCAGTAAATGGTGGCTTCCACAGCCCGTTGGCCTCCACATGGACCTCGTCTGCACTATACATGTAAAACAGTGCCATGCTGCTTTAAGCTGTTGTGTCTTCCCCCAAAGAATCCTGGGAGTTGTAGTCTGTTCAGGGTGCTGAGAGTTGTTAAAAGGTAAAGGGACCCATGACCATTAGGTCCAGTCGTGACCGACTCTGGGGTGCTCATCTTGCTTTATTGGCCGAGGGAGCCAGCGTACAGCTTCCGGGTCATGTGGCCAGCAAGACTAAGCCGCTTCTGGACAACCAGAGCAGCACACAGAAACGCCATTTACCTTCCTGCTGGAGCGGTACCTATTCGACATGCTTTCGAACTGCTAGGTTGGCAGGAGCAGGGACCAAGCAACTGGAACTCACCCCATCGCAGGGATTCGAACCGCCGACTTTCTGATCGGCAAGTCCTAGGCTCTGTGGTTTAACCCATAGCGCCACCCACGTCCCAGCCCGCTGAGAGTTGTTAGGAGACCCCTATTCCCTACACAGGTATACAATTCCCAGGGTGGTTTAAGAATCCATCCTTTTCCTCAGGGAACTCTGGGAATGGCCGTTTTGTGTTATGTTATTTTGTGTTATGTGTTATGTTGGAAGCCGCCAAGATATGATTATTATTATTTATTTATTTATTTATTTCACATGCAGCTACCATTTTGTGCTTCGTGTGTTGGCACTTTCTTCGAGTTCCAGGTGGGCCTGCCAGCTGGAAAAGTTTGGTATCCCCTGACCTTCATTAATGAAGCTGAATTTTAAAATGTAAAAAATAATAATAATAATGAAATATTTCATGTTTTACCACCAGTGTCCACTCAGGGTCATGGAGAGTGCCAGTGTTGAGCCTGTGCTTTCGGGCCGCAGACCTGTTGACCAATCCACAACGGATACAGTCGCCAAGAACCGTAAAAGCCGTCAAGAACTGATGCTCAAGCTAACGGAAGGACAGAACGTCTTGTGCTGTTGGACTGATGGGCTCTATTACCTTGGGAAGATAAAGAGGGTAAAGAAAGTGGTTTTTTTAAAAAAAAAATCACTTCCTTATTGGAAAAAAATAAATCATTTTCCTTAGACAAAGAATGCTGGGTCCTATTCTCATGGAGGGTAACAAAACATCATTTATGCTCTTGGGAACATTAGGAAGATATTCACTTTTTATTCATATTCTTCACAGAGTATGTGCAAATCAAATCAAATCAAATGTAAGCACCTTATATTGCTGTTGATTTCAATGAGAGGTTGAGAACACGTCAGTCATAGTCCCGCTGAAATTTCAGAGCAAAGTGAGGCAGTGAGGAGAGGGTGGCAAGCCAATGTAATAATGAAGTGAGTGGGGTGCTGTGGGATATCAGTTTTCTGCCCTCCATGCCCACCAGCTGAAGTAATTGTTTCATTCCACCTCAGTATTGTACCAGTCTTGCTTGTGTTAATAGCTTGTGTGAACCATTGGTTCCTAATAGTTTTTCTCTCTCTGCCCCCTGGTTTCCATATTTGCAGGTGAGTGGTTCCAAACAGAGTTGCCTGATGACCTTTGAAGACAACTCCAAATACTGGGTGCTTTGGAAAGACATCCAGCACGGTGAGTGAGTCTGCAGTCTTCTCTGGGACTTCCGCATGGGCCCAGCCTACATGCTGGTGGTAGTGGAGGGGGATCCTGAAGTGTGGGAGCAGAATGTACCATGTTAAATTTCAGGGGTAGGTGGGTGCCATTTTGAAACACACAATGAGACTTCCTGAAACAAATGGCTCTACTGTACAGCTTCTCCCTGATGTGTTAGGTTTGAAGGATCATAGTGTTTGAGAGATACCAGGGTCCATGCCCAATGCCCTGGAATGGCCAAGAGAATCCAGACACCCACCCACCCTTCATTGTCAGCAAAACAGGATGTTTATTTAGGTGTTCCAAGGCTGGTGTGACACAACTGACGCAATCAGCAAACAGGGAGAGAGTGGGTAGCACACCAAATATGAAAACACCACTTACAAGCAACCGGGCAGTAATGTCCATGTATAGCATTACTTTCACCTTCAGCTAAATTCTAATAGTTTTTCTGTGAGTCATAACATTAAGCTTCTAGCTTCCTTATCTCTTGCCCGACCACAGCTTCTAATAACAATCCTTTACTTACGTCCTGCTCTGTCTTTCTCCCATGGTTCTCCTGTAAACACAACCTTCACATACCAACCTTGACTTGCTCAGCTCATTGTGGACGATAATGAGCGAGAACGGTCAGATTGATTATAAGGCAATTTCCTGTGCTCCCAACTTACAGGAGTTTTTGATGCTAGAACATAGGAAGCTGCCTTATACCAAGTCAGGCTATTGGTCTGCCTAGCTCAATATTGCCCACACTGGGTGGCAGCTGCTCTCCAGGGTTCCAGACAGGGAGTTTCCCCCCATTTTGGGGTATTCTTGCTGGTGCTTTCTGCAACATGCCATTGATACAAGAATAGTGTAATAGTGGTGAATTTACTGGCCTGGCCACACATCATTCCTCTTTATTCTTTGCTGTGCAATGCTCCTCCAAAATTACTGCATTGGTGCCTTATGAAGAGAAGAAGCTCTTGCACCATAGCGCAACAAAAGCAAGACAAAACCTGGATTTTTTATTTTGCTTGACAAACACCTTTCTTTCACTTTAATAGTCCTCAGATATTTTAACAAATAGTGCAAGATGAGACAGCAAGCATCCGGTGAACCAGATCTAGGTCCTCTAACTAATATCAAAGCTTTTCATCCAGATATTATTATATTTTGTTGAAAAGAACAATATCATAGAACCTCCTGAAACATTTTGCTACATTCCTCTTGTTTTTCCTACAGATGTGAAGTTCCCCCCCCCCTAAATTGATATTCCTGCAATCTAGACTACAGACTAGATAAATCTGGAACATCTGTGGTATAAAAAAAATTACAGGGCTTCAGCAGGAAGCTGTGGGCTGTGGCAGACCTACATTTAGGGGTCCCTGAAGCAACCAGCAATGAGGTCTGGGTGACCACTGTCATCCTCTTCAATGAGGTTGTTCCACGACTGCTCACCACATATATATATATATATTTAATATAGCTACTACATCTTGGATTTTTTGCTGTGCTGGATTATCTCACATGGTGACATCACTGGTGTGAATAATTCCCACACCTCCGTGCCTCATAGTTTTCAAGTTATGGGGGTATGAAAATTAGGAAAATGTTATATACATGCAAGATACATCATGGAATGATGAAGTAAAACATAGAAAATACCCACGGTCAATATAATCTTCTATTTTAGATGGCTATGAAAATACGTACTACATGGAGCACATTTTACGAAACTCTCTTTTTCTAACTTTTCTAGCAGCATACAGTTTCATCATATGAGAGCTTATAAAGAATAGCTTTGAAAAATTCATTTCGGCTTCACATCTCATGATAGGCATTGTCAAGTACAGCTTAAGTGCAGCAGTAATATTGGGCAACACTTCAGTTACGTGTTGCTCACATATAAGCTGAAGACCTCCTGCGCATTGAATTTTAGATGGCATCTTTTATTCTGTGTTCTGGGTTTTCCTAAGGTGCAAATATTCTTTGAACTGATAATACCCATTTACTAATTTGTGGTCAATATCATCTTTGTAATATGATATTATCAGATTTTTACTGTCCAGATCAATTTCAGAATTGTTCATCAGTTCTGAGAAGAATTTGAATCTTTTTTGCAATCTGCTCATATGGGCCAGTCCTCTTACTTAACTGGATTATCAAGCAGTCGGCTACAACTCTTTTCAATACTTCAAAATAGTACTGTATGGTTTTTCTCATCTGTTCTTCAAGTTGCTGATCCACAGTATTTTTATTTGACTTTTTTGTTATCCAGCACAACATTGCCCCCCTTCCTTATATTCCATGCTGTCTTCAGGATTTTCCAGAGTTCTGAGCATATTCATCCAGTCAGAAAACCCACCTCTGATTTTATTTTATTTTTAAAAAGGGGGATACATTAGTCACAGCAGAACAGCCAACTTACATTGACACTCCACCTTTGCAACATCTGTGCTGCTGACTCTCAAACTTTGGAATTGTTGAAATATACACAATAAAAAATTAATCAGTTTGAGTTGTGAGACTCAGATTGGATCTACTAGATCCAAAACGTTTAAGCAATGAGGACTAACATTCCTTCTGGGGCCCTTTCAGGATTAGAGGTCCTTAAGCTTAAGCTTAATTAGTTTCAAAGTCGTTCTGCTCCTGGCTATGGGGCATGCACCAATTTGAAATGAAGCCGTATGTCCATCCTGAAACTTTTGCTGGCACAAGAACTGTTATAAGCAAGACTATGGCTACATTTAAACAGTCCTGACTTTCCCCCAAAGAATTAAGGGAGCTATTAAGGGTGCTGATAATTGTTATTCCCCTCCTAGAGCTACAATTCCCAGAGTCCCCTGTGAAAGAGGGATGGATTGCTGAACCACTCTGAGAATTGTAGTTCTTCCTGTTTAAAGTGGCATCATAGTGCTGTATGTGTGTGAATGTGGCCTGCATATAACCGCCCCAATACCATTATGAGCAGAAAACTCACCACCGGTGTTATATGAAATGCATTTCTGGAGGGGACCCTGATATAAGGCTTTTTCATCATTGTATATGAGGTGGAAATCTTCCACCTCCAGTGACAGTAGGATTGGGCTTCAATACGATACGATAATCTTTATTGTCATTGTCCCATACAGAACAACGAAATTGAAAAAGATCTACATCAGACATTCAAAAACCAACAAGCTTGCTATCCCAGCCTGGTTAACCCTCTAAAAACTCTGATACCCCATAATTAAATATAATATACTCCCACAGAGGCTACCTTACACTGCGTTTAAAACCAAAATCGCATTTGGATGAAAACTGTTTCTCAGGTGGCTAGTCCTAGTCTTTATAACCCTGTACCTTCTTCCAGAAGGCAGAAGCTGAAAGAGATCATTTCCAGGGTGCACACTATCCTGCACTACCTCTGCTGCTTTCTTATAGCACATGGCAGCATAGATTTGATCCAAGCTGGGAAGAGTGCACCCAATTATTCTCTCTGCAGTCTTTACAATCCTGGACAGCATTGTTTTTCTCCTGACTGTGCAGCTCCCAAACCACACAAACAGACCATAGGTTAATACACTCTCAACAGTACAATGGCACTCCATCCTTTTTCCAAGCGGTTGTGGCGATTACTGCTGACATTCGTCTTCTTTTTCAGCTGGTCTCCCTGGTGAAGAGTCAATGTGTAACATCTGTATGGAAAAGACAAAATCCCCCCTGAATGACATACTGATATGCGGGAAATGTGGACTTGGTAAGAAGAATGTCCTGCAAGTTCCACCACCCCTGTGTTAGGGGCTTGGGGGGGGGGGTGAGGCAGAAAATGGCAGCAATGAGAATGCCCTTATCGCTCAGCAAGCTTGCTGTATCATTATTAGGTCGGCGGGAAGTCTTTTTTTTTTTTTTTTTAAAGCCCTGCTCTCCAGATCTAAAAGGTTCCTAGAGTGGCATGTAAGAATAAATAATAAGATGATTCCCCCCCCCCCCCGCAACTCTCAGATGCCCCAATTTGCTTTTTTCCTCCTCCCTCCCAATACCTTTTCCTTTCATGTTATGCACTTTAGTTTTCTTTCTATCAAGGAGACTGGAAAGCAAGCTCCCTCCTGCTGCTCTTTGGTTGGTGGATGGGGCCAGACTCCTTTGCCTCAATAGGAGAGCAGCCTCCGAGTGGCCCTTAGATGGCTGCAGCCTCCTGCTGGTGTCAAGAAGCCACCCTGGTGGACATCTTGCATTTCTTTCCTTTGGTCAGAGCTTGGCAGTGGCATGCTGAGTGACATTCCTAGGAACATAGGAATCTTCTTAAGCTGCTTCTTAAGCTGGTCTATCCAGCTCAGTATTTCCCAGTGTTGACATTTCCTGGCAATGGTTTTCCAGGGTTTTGGAGTCTCTCCAAACCATACTTGGAGATGCTGGGAATTGAACTGAGGACCTTCTGCATGCAAACAGGTGCTCAGCCACTGAGCTATGGCCCTGCTACAACATTCATGATCCCAGAGTAAATGCAGGAAGGGATTCGTCTCAAATGTTGGTCCCTGCAAATAACACTCTGGTGCTCAGCCTCACAGTTAGACCTCTTCCCAAAATGTTCCCCCAGATTTCATGGCCCTGTTTGCAAACAGTGAATCAATCCACTGTGGGTTGGATTGTTCCAATGTTCAAGGACTGAAAATTTCTGTTAGGTATGTGTATGTGTGTGTTTCATTCTGTTGCCTGACATTGTAGCCTAGGGGTTACAAGAGTGCAAGAATCCTGAGAATTATAGTTTGCTCGTTGCAGAGCTATAACTCCCAGCACCCTTTACAAGCTACAGTTCCCAGGAATCTTTGGGAGGGGAGCTATGCACTTTCAGTGTGTGGTGTGATGGATTCAGCCTAGTTCAACCCTGCAGAAAGTGCTCAGCCTCTTGACGTAGTTGCAAAACTTTGCCTCTCAGGTTTCCACCAGCAATGCCATATCCCAGCGGTGAGCAGCGATGAGAATTCCTTGGATTCATCTTGGTTCTGTCGGAGATGTATCTTTGCCCTGGCTGTACGGGTGAGTGATAGGATTCAAGGAATACTTTCTGTTAGCTCTCGTTTCGGGAGCATACCATCTCTGGGCAGATGCTTCTTTACGGATGCCCCTATGTGAAAACCTAGTAATTGCTAGTGGTGGATTGAACCTAGTGTGCTGCCTCTGCCAGAGGACAGCCAGAATATTATTATTTTTATAAGTCAGACCATTGATCCATCCAGTTTAAGCTTTGTTTATGCTGACACCATTTCTTCAAGATCTCTCTCTCTCTTTAATTTATGTATTGATACATTTTCAGAGATATACAAAATTGCATATCCATCACAAAGTATCATGTTATAATATACTGATACAAACAGCTACTTAATGTATAAAAGAACGTAGGAAGAAAGACCAAAAGACAAGAAATAGAAAACCCTAAAGAAAGAAAACAAGAGAGGAGATTAAAAAGTATTAGAGAAGAAAAATTGTTTCAAACAGGGGTCTTCCTGGCCCTTCCTGGATATGGAATCTTCTGCATGCAAAGCAGGTGCTCTTGTCAATGAAATAATAATAATAATAATAATAATAATAATAATAATTTATTATTTATACCCCATCCATCTGGCTGAGAGTGTGCAGCAGAGAGGGCATTTGGCGGCTTTTTAGAGGGTACTCTCCACTTACAATTTTCATTTATGTTCGTGAGAGCCCAGGATGTAACCCCCCGATAAGTGGGGTAGTCGTCTGTATTGTCAACGGTGACTGGCAGTGGTTGTCTTGGGGTGGATGGGGTCTCTCCCAGCCACAACAGGAGATTATGGGGATTGAACCTGGAACCCTCTGAATGCAAGGCAGATGCTCTTCCAACTGATCTACAGAATGTTTCCTCCCTCTGACTGAGTCCCACCACCGGCGGAGGAACGGGAGCAGCGGGCAGGGGGAGTGCACTGTCCCCGGCACCACTGGGGAAGGGGGTACTATCAAGGCCGCCCCCCGGACACATGCTGCATACCCCACAGGCGGCATGCTATGCCCCTGGGACATGTGCCAGCCACACCCCTGCCTGCTCTCCGCCCCTGGGGCCGGAGCATGCAGCTTCACCACTGAGTCCTGCCCCCCCCCTTATTGTCCTGATTTACACCCAGGCCAATGAAGACAAATAACTGGATTTTAATAGTTCTTTATTGCTGAATCAGCCTGTTACATCAGCTCCTTAAGACACAGGTGATAAACGACAATTCTTTCTACTCAGCTTTCTGAGCAAATCTTTACTCATAACTTGTGACAGCCACAGAAAGTTGGAGTGACACTGAATGTTTTTCCCCAGTGGAGGCACAGAACCCCACAACTCACTGGTCCCTACCCCAGAGCCATTCCACCATCGGCCCACCCCAGCTTTGCTCAGCATCCCGGCCCCTCCCTCCTGCCACCATTCATCCTCTAGCACCTGCCAGTCCCTGATGCCTTTTTGTGGTCTGAACCTCTTGCTGCTTTTTGCCTCTGCAGAATGGTGGAGCCCTGAGGAAAGGCACCATTGCGAAGACACTGCAAAGGATCAAGATGGTGCTGTCCTATAACCTGCAGGAGCTGGAATGGGACTCTCTCCACAGAACCAATCACCAGCAGTGTTACTGTTACTGTGGCGGCCCTGGCGAGTAAGAGAAACCGAAACGAAAACAAAGGTGGCACCCAGGAGAGGGGGGGCACGTCTGAGGAGATGGAGCTTTCTGAAGACCTCTGACAATAGGGAGCAAATCTATCCTGCCCTTTTCTTCTGTGGGGGTCTTCCTTTGGAGATTTAAGCTCCTGAATCATGTGGCGGTCCACATCTCCAGGGGTGCACATGCAAGCTTTAAAATGTGTGTGTCTTGCACAGCTAGCTAGCTAAAGACACTTATCTACACCACGACTGGGAAATGACTGGCCTGGGGTCCCAAAGCGGCCCTCCAAGCCTCTCTGTCTGGTCCTTGGGACTCTTTCCAGGCCACACCCCTTATGGACCCTGCTTTGCACTCCCATTGTGTTTCTTCCTGGCTGGAATCATAGAGTCATATAATTGTAGAGTTGGAAGGGACCCTGTGTGTCATCTAGTCAAACCCCTTGCGATGCAGGAAACTTTTGCACAATGTAGGGCTCAAACCCTCAACCCTGAGATTAAGGGTCTCATGCTCTATCTATCGAGCTATGCCCACTTCAGCCTGCTTTGCAGAAATATAAATCAGTTAAATTGCAGATGAATAGTTGACCAGTTAAATTAAATAAGTTACAGCAGTTAGCAAGTTTCTTGGCTTTTAGATGAGGCATGTGTGTGCCACTGGCTTGGAAGAGGCATCCCTTGCTGATAGATGATAGATAGATAGATAGATAGATAGATTAGATAGATGATAGATGATAGATAGATAGATAGATAGATAGATAGATAGATAGATATAGATGATAGATAGATGATAGATGAATGCCTCTTTTAAGATAGTGCCTACTGTCTGCAGTTTTTCTGACTTGCATTAAATTGGGAACACCTCATATAAGAGCCTTACTGGATCAGGCCAATGGCCCATTTAGGCCAGCATCCTGTTCTCACAGTGGCCTACCGGAAGGTCTAATGGGAAGACTGCAAGGGATGAGCACCGTCTTCATTAATTCAGAGTTCAAAGCAGAACTCGTGTAGCTGAACGTTGGAAGACTCAGGACAGGTAAAAGTTGCACACAGTCAAATTCTGGAACTCACTCCCACAGAGTGCAGTGATGCCCACCAAGTTTGATGGCGTTAAAAGAGGATTAGACAAGTTCACAGAGGAGATGACTATCAATGGCTACTAGCCATGATAGCTATTCTGTGGCCACTGTGAGAAAACAGGGTGCTGGTCTAAATGAGCCATTGTGCTGATCCAGGAGGCTTTTCTTACGTTCTTCTGAGTTAATTCAGACTTCCTCAACCTGGTGCTCTTCAGATATTAGACTACAACTTCCATAATCCTTGCCCATTGGCCACACTAGCTGGGGCTGATGGTAACTGGGAGTCCAACAACAACTTGAGGGTCCCAGGTTGTGGAGGACTGATTTAATCTAACTCACCAGTGGGGTAGTTTTTTTTCAGCCCAAAGGCCGCAATTCCTCATCAGCATCCTTCTGGAAGACCCATGCTAGTACTGTAGTGGAGGTTGGCAAACTTGAGTAGGGAATACTCCACAGGTGTTGCGACTCTCTCCTGGTCCAACCAAGTTTCTTTCCCCTCCAGGTGGTACCTGAAGATGCTGCAATGTTACCGCTGCCAACAGTGGTTCCATGAAGCCTGCACACAGTGCCTTAGCTGCCCAATGATGTATGGAGACCGGTACGTCTTTCCCTCACCTTCTTTGGATTGCTGTGTTGGGGTCCCCTTTATGAGGGAGGCTTGGAGGAGAATAATAAAGGGAGAGAGAGGACCTTTCCGGTGGTGGCTACAATCTGTGCAATGTTCTCCTCAGCCTGGTACTTTCACTGCCATCTTTTTTTGAGCAACACCAGGTGCAATGCTGCTAATCTGAGTTAAAGAACGTGTTCTGCTTGTTCATTTATTTGTTTTTTTAACTTTCAGGTTTTATGTTTTCTGCTGCGCGGTGTGCAACCAGGGCCCAGAGTATATCAAACGTTTGTCTTTGAGATGGTAAGGCTGAAGCAGACACTCTCAGCGTTTATTATTGTGATGGAAATCAGCTGTATATAAGCAGCCGTATTTATTTTCTATTTTTTCATAGAATATTTTATTTGTAGTGAAATAAATACGGTTCCAACAAAACTTGTAGAGCAGTGGACCACCTTTGCTTGGTTCTATAAACTCATCCTGAGTGCTCCCCCCCACCCTGTATAAATCATTATTCAGAAATAATACCCCCCCACACACACTAAGGAAGACAATAACATAATATAATTCAAACAGTAATAATAAATTGCACATTCATTCAAAATAAAACAAAAACTATTTAGTTTAATTAATTCAACAAAACTGATGAACTTCATCCAGTGGTACTAGCTTTTCAAAGTTTGATAGTCATTTTCATCTCCAGAGTCATTTTCATCTCTGCTACTGCTTCCTTGCCTCTTAATACCCTCCTAGGTACTCCCACTGGTCCCTGTGGGGGTGGCACTACTCACTTTTGGGAACCCCTGCTACAGAGTGTGACATGCTTATATCATACATACATACATACATGTTGTTGTTTAGTCGTCCCCGAATCTTCGTGATCCCATGGACCAGAGCACGCCAGGCACTCCTGTCTTCCACTGCCTCCCGCAGTTTGGTCAAACTCATGCTGGTAGCTTCGAGAACACTGTCCAGCCATCTTGTCCTCTGCCGTCCCCTTCTCCTTGTGTCCTCCATCTTTCCCAACATCAGGGTCTTTCTCTTCTCATGAGGTGGCCAAAGTATTGGAGCCTCAGCTTCAGGATCTGTCCTTCCAGTGAGCACTCAGGGCTGATTTCCTTCAGAATGGATAGGTTTGATCTTCTTGCAGTCCATGGGACTCTCAAGAGTCTCATACATTTTATTTATATGCTGCCTTTCCATAGTCAAACCATGCTCAATGTGCCTTGCAACATGCAAATATACATTACTGCAACATAACAATAGTAGTCATAAACAGTAAATAAAATATCAAAAAACATAAATCACAAGATCTTAAAAAAAGATACAAAAAACCCCTGTTCACCTGCCCTCCCAGGCCAGGTGGAAAAGACCTGCAAGGCAATAGCATATAAGAAGAAAAATGATCAGGGACACTGTCCAATAACTAGATCATTGAATGCATTGCCAAGACTTCAGCTGTCTGTGAAATGGCCTCCTCATAAGTAAGCATGAGCAGCCAGAGATCTACATTAACTCCACTTCTATTTACATTGTTGATTTACAGGCACTTATCGAAATGACCATGTTTAGTATGAACTCTAACAATCCTTCTGTGTTGCGTTAGGTGCTTGGAAAGTGCCAAGGTGTCAGAGATGTCCTTTGGAGTCTTTCTAATGGGAGGCAATCTGTAAACTGGTAGCGGCAAAGAACGTGGCAATTATGCAAGGAGCAATATCTCCACTGCATTTAGGGATGAGGGAGAAATTCGATTCAGGTCTTGCTTAAAGGTGAACCTACCTAATCCATGCTTCCCAAAACAAAATGGGAAGTGAAACACTGCCACCTTCAGAATTTGCTCTGCTCTGAAATTTGCAATGCTGCTCTCCAGCCAGGTAATGTGTACGAGAATTCATATGCTGGAATAAAAGCATGGTTAAGAATGCACATGTAAGTGAAAATAGACTCCTGGAGCTACAATCTCTCTGGGAATAGAGGTTGACTGCTAAACCACCCTGGAAGTTGTAGCTCTGTGAGAGGAATGGGGGCCGGCTAATAAAGCTCAGCGGCCTCAACAAACGCCCAGGATTCTTTGGCGGAAGCCAGTGGCGTAGCGTGGGTTGTCAGCACCCGGGGCAAGGCAAGTAATTTGCGCCCCCTAACCCCTAACCTGCCGCCGCTGCCAGCTTCTTCTTGCCGCTGCCTGGTCTGGTCTGGTGTAGTTCTCTCCCGTGCTCAGCGCTGCGCTGGGCGGCCGCTGCACTGTCCCTCCCCCAGATAGTCCCTCGCTCTCTCTCCGCACCGCACGCCTGGCACCCACCCCCTCCACAGTGGGCGGCGACCCAGCGGCTCGGATCGGATTCGCACAGCCAGCACTGCAGTGAGAGAGAGTGAGTGAGCCAGGTAGGGGCAGAGAGCTGCGAGTGCGAGCGCGCCCCACAGATGTTGCGCCCGGTGCGGCCGGCCCCCCCTGCACCCCCCACGCTACGCCACTGGTGGAAGCCATAACTGTTTAAAGTGGTATCACTGGGCTTTAAATCTATGGTGTTAATGTGGCTATAGTCTAATATCCGCCATAGTATTTATGCAAGCAAAATCAGGACGAATGCTCTGTGACCAGATCTTCTGCAGGAAGCCTTGGTCATTCTGTTTCCTTTTACCATGCACAGGGTGGATCTCGTGCATCTTGTACTCTACAACCTGGGTGTCCAAAGTAAAAAGAAATACTTTGACTTTGATGAAATCTTGACCTTTGTCAATCAGCGCTGGAACCTTCTGCAGCTTGGGAAGGTAAGTGGCTTGGCTGTCGAACCAGTAAAAGCAGGGCCATGGAACTGGTAGCCTGGCAGATGTTGCTGGACTACAGCTTCAATAACCCCTGAACTTTGGGCATGCTGGCTGAGGTTGATGGGAGTTAGAACCCAGTGACAATCTGGACGGTCGAAGTTTTCCACTTCTGCATTGAAAGGAGGAGGGTGACAGAGTCATTGAGAACTTTGCTCTGTTCCATTTACAACTTCAAAGCTGGAACTTGGGCTCCACCTTGTGGTCATAATCGGAATGTTCACTGGTATAAGTATATATGTTGCCATTTCAATTTAAAATAAACACAGTTTGAATAAAAAATAGTAAATAACAGTAAATGCTAAATTAATATTTTTGGGAAACGAGGAGCTGTGTGCTGTTCAGGAATTCAGAATCTCAGCCTTTTTTTTTTTTAAGTTGCTAGCCCTCAAGGAACCAAAGAATAATGTTTGGCCACGCTTCAAGAAACCGCAGAAGCCACTTGCAATACCTCTGCCCCTTTCAGCTTCCAATGTAGAGACATTTTCAAGCCCAGTCCCTGACATTTCCAAGTAAGATTGAGGAAGACTTCTGTCTGAAACCCTGGAGGGCTGATGGCACTCAGTATCATACTGAGCTAGATGGGTCAATTGTCTGACTCTTCATAAGGCAGCTTCCCATAGCCATGAGGTGGAGCCAGGAGGGGGCTTGTGCAAAGCCTTGCGTGCCCTCCCCTTAGCAATATTAAACTTTTATTTATTTTTTAAATTAAAATAGTAAGGCTTCAAATGAGCTAATAAAATATCACAACCAGGCTGGCTTATTTTTTGGGCTTCAGTAGGACTTAGGCTGCACCAGCGCTTTTTTCCTAGGAAAAAAAGTTCCAGTACCTACCAGCAAGCTGGGGGAGGGGTGTGGGGTGATGCCAAGGCTGGGCCGTAAGGGCAGATTAGCTGCTTGATGCTCCCTTGCCCTCCTGCCCAACTACCAGGGTGCTGCCACCCAAGTGAAGAGACCTCCCCTGCCTGGCTTTGGGTAGGAGGCAGTAGAGTTCCAGGGTCTTGTCACAGCATCATGCCTCCTTCCCTAAGCTGGGCAAATGCTTCCCGGGCTTGGGGAAGGAGTTGTGATGCTCTGACAGGGTCCGAGAGTCCTCCCGCCTCCTTACACCCCCCAAAAGCGATGGTAATGGTAAAGGTAAAGGTAAAGGGACCTCTGACCATTAGGTCCATTTGTGGCCGACTCTGGGGTTGCGGCGCTCATCTCGCTTTACTGGCCGAGGGAGCCGGTGTACAGCTTCCGGGTCATGTGGCCAGCATGACTAAGCCGCTTCTGGCGAAGCAGAGCAGCGCACGGAAACACCGTTAACCTTCCCGCCGGAGTGGTACCTATTTATCTACTTGCACTTTGATGTGCTTTCAAACTGCTAGGTTGGCAGGAGCAGGGACCGAGCAACGGGAGCTCCCCCCTGTCACAGGGATTTGAACTGCCGACCTTCTGATTGGCAAGTCTTAGGCTCTGTGGTTTAACCCACAGCGTCACCCGCGTCCCAAAGGTGGTGGTACTGCATGCCATTGCCCCCCCCCCAAAGATCACTGGTTCTAACCATGTTTACTCAGAAGACTTCCCAGATATGTAGGGTTAGGACTGCATCCTTAGTCACGATCAACTTTAACTGGGTTGGGGCCTAAAACTCTTGGATTTTTACTTTCATCCAGATTTTGTGGGCTGCCAGGTCCCCTCAGCCCCACTGCCCAACATGGCCAATGATCAAGGATGATGGGGACCCACAGAGCCCCTCATCCCTGACAGCTTTCTGGTGCTGGCCCTGGTCCTAAGAATTCCCTCCCGAGGAACATAGAGAGCTGCCTTCTTCTGCTTCAAACCAATGGTCCATCTAGCTCACCACTGTATACACTGACTGGGAACAATTCTCTGGGGTTTCAGACGCGGAGAGGCCAGGGATTGAACTTCCAACCTTCTGTATTCAAGGAAGCTGCTCTTCCACCAGCGTGCATTTGGCCCCTTTAAATGGGCCTTTTCTTTGTTCCAGTCTGCTTCTAATTGATGATGCAGGTCCCTGTTTTTAAACTAGCAGCTGCTTTTTTGTTTTATAAATTACTCCGAACTGTCTGAAATGTTTTATGTAGGCTGCTGGTCTGGAACAGGTTGTTTGTACTTTGCTGTCTGAGTTTTAATACTTGTGTTTTTATGTTTTAAATGTTATGATGCAGTTTGAGGAAGGCTGCTTTGAGAGGGCTTCTGACCCTTTAAAACATCATTTAAAAAGAAATTGAAAATAACTAAGTAAGTTCTTCCTCTCAGCTGAAGAACACCCCCGTGGCAGAGAGAGCCGAACACCTCCTTAACGCACTAAACAGCTACAAAAGCAGGTAAGAGTAATAAAAGGGCTGCTTCTCCACATCACTTTTATTGTGTTCCCTGTAATCAACATCTTTTGGAAAGCCATTCCTGATGTCAGTTTCCATTTGGTTGACCTGGAAGCCGGAGTTTGGAATGGGAAAAGGTGAGATTGCCATCGCACGGAACCTGACAAAAGTCTCGGAAAACCATTTTCCAAAATGCTGCCGAACCTGCAAGCGAAAAGCTTTTAATTAAAAGCACAGTAGACATTACAAGTGCTAAAAACATTTTTGCCAATCTGCAACCAGGCAGGGTGGCTTTTAGAATTGCATTTTCTGGGGGTGGGGTGGGGTGGTGGAATCAATACCAATTGAAAAACCAATACCAAACTTTACTGTCTGCTGCCTTTCAGATTTCTGAGTGGGAAGGAAATCAAGAAGAAGAAATGCATTTTCCGACTGCGGGTCCGGGTCCCCCCAAGCCCACCAGACAAACTCTTGCCAGGGAAGGTCCCAGGGCCAGCCGATGCTAAACCTCCTGAGCCGAAGGAAACAGAGAACCCCAAGGATACAGAAAACTGCAGGTCTGCACTTGAGCAGGGTGATGCTTGTGACCAGAACTGTTTCTCATACATTTTTGTATCTCACCCTTCCTTCAGGGAGCCTTCTGAAAGACTCCTTGAGGTAGGCTAGGCTGAGAGATGACCAGTAGCCCAGGGTCACCCAGTGAGTTTTGTGGCCCAAGAGGGATTTGCATCCACCTTGTCTAAGTCTAGTACTCTTAACCACTACACCATAGGTAAAGGTAAAGGTACCCCTGTCCGTACAGGCCAGTCTTGACAGACTCTAGGGTTGTGCGCCCATCTCACTCAAGAGGCCGGGGGCCAGCGCTATCCGGAGACACTTCCGGGTCACGTGGCCAGCGTGACAAAGCCGCATCTGGCGAGCCAGCGCAGCACACGGAAACGCTGTTTACCTTCCCGCCAGTAAGCGGTCCCTATTTATCTACTTGCACCCGGGGGTGCTTTCGAACTGCTAGGTTGGCAGGCACTGGGACCAAGCGACGGGAGCGCACCCCGCCGTGGGGATTTGAACCGCCGACCTTTCGATCGGCAAGCCCTAGGCGCTGAGGCTTTTACCCACAGCGCCACCCGCGTCCCTACTACACCATACTTCCAGGCAACAGAATGAGTAAGCCAGCCAGCCATCCCTCCCTCTCCCCCGCCTCCCAAAATCTAGCAGGATGTTTTGTTCTGCGTAAAAATATTTATATACTGCTGTTCATTAAAAGCTTTCAACAATTGCACAGAAAACCATACAGTAAAAATATTTAACAGGTTCACTGCTGGCTAGCGGGACCAGAAAATTTGTGGACCATTTTGTAACTGTGAAGCCAAGCGGTGGATAACCACTTTGCAGGGACCAATGTATGAGGTGACTAGGACTGGGTAATATCTGGTTTACAGCTAAATATGGCAATATATCACAATGTTAGAAATAAGGTGAGGAAGCATCAGCAGAGATACATCACTTAGCCCTACCAGAGGAGAGATGGGGGGTTTCTTTAAATGAGTGAGCCCCCTTGTCGCTCTTGCTCACATGAGCCGGGGGTTGGGCCTTCTTTAAAATGGGAGAGCATAATTGGGGGGGGAGAGAGAGAGACAGAAAAGTGTGCATCCCACCCTCTGCAAAAGAGGAGAAGCAAAGGGTATGGACACGAGGGAAAGAGAGGGAGAGAAGGGAAGGAGGGAAGGAGGGAAGGAGGAAGGGAACTTGGGAAAGAAGAGGCTTAAACAACAGGGCAAGGTTTATTTCATTGTTTTTTGAATTCAGAATAACCCCATGGGGAAAAAGAGGCTTCCAGCACCTGCCAGCCTGCTTGCAAGAGAATCTCATGGCATTGTAGCCAGAGGAAAGTTCCTGGTCTGTGCCTGTGTTGTGGTTTGCTGCCATCTGCAGGATCTAACAGGAAGAGCAACAGACAAAAGCGTTCTCTGGCTTTGAGCAGTTTATATTATAGTCAGGGCAAATATTCTGAACCAGTGATTACGATGTGGATTTCAAACCAGTCCTCACTTATCTATCCCCATATTGCCCAGGCCTACAGGTGCCCCTTTCCCTGTGTTTACTCTAGGATCATGAATGTCAGAGAAAGGCCATAGCTTAGTGGCAGAGCACCTGCTTTGCATGCAGAAGGTCCCAGGTTCAATCCTTGCCATCTCCAGGTTGGGCTGGGAGATATAATAATAATAATAATAATAATAATATAAATAAATAAATAAATTATTTTTATTTATATCCCGCCCTCCCCAGCCAGAGCTGGGCTCAGGGCGGCTAACACTAGTAAAATGAATAAAAACACAATAGGAAAAAACCCCAATTTAAAATACAGGTTAAAATGCAATTTTAAATTCAGCCTCATTTTAAAAGTAGCCCATAAATCAAAACCGTAAGGGGAGGGAAACATAAGGGTCAGACTGAGTCCAAACCAAAGGCCAGGTGGAACAGCTCTGTCTTGCAGGCCCTGTGGAAAGATGTCAAGTCCCGCAGGGCCCTAGTCTCTTGTGACAGAGACTCCATGTCTGAAACCCTGGAGAGCCACTGCCAGTCAGTGTCGATCAGAGATCAGCGACTGGTGCTGCTCCCAAGTATTGTTGGACTTTGACTCCCCTTAGCGCTACCCAGCATGACTAATGGACAAGGATGATGGGAGTTGGAGTCCCACAACATCTGGAGAGCCGACATTGGTGCTTCCTCTGTCACTATGAATAGCTATTACCCTCTGGTTCCAAACTTAGAATCCCTTTATGTGTATTCAGTCATCAGCATCATTACTGATGTCTTTTTAATCTTACTAATTATATTTCTTACCTGCCTTTTGCCATAAGGTCCCAGGGTGGGCTACAGCAATTTAAAAAACACAATAGTATTTTTGCTATTGCAAATTACAGTCACAACAGTAGGGTGCATCCTATATATATTTTGAAGGCCATTCAGCATATGATGGAAACTATGTAATGAAGGTTTCAGCTGCACCTCTGTGGGGAGGGAATTCCACAACTCAGGGGCTGTTGCAAAGAAGGCCCTCTCTGAACTTCTGAGGGTGGTGGAAGTACTAAAAAGGTCCTCTGCCTGTTGGTCAGAGCAGCTGCAAGGATCTGTAGGGAAGGAGGTTATTTGGATATGCAGAGAAGGAATGGTGCAAATCTTGCCATTTTGCCCAGCTATTATGGAGGTGAAAAATGAGAATGCAACCAGCAAGGGAAAGGAAAACAAAAAACTTTACATCAAAAGTATATTAATCTGTCAATTCTTCCAATATTGTTTTTCCACAGTTCGACACCGCACAATGTACAGATGAAGAAGAAGAAGAAGAAGAAGGGGAAAAAGGGGAAAAAGTTCCTCTTGGATGATGCGATTCCCAGTGTTAGTTTCTTTATTTTTATTTTTTGAAGAAAAGAAACTGCCCCTCACTCAGCTCCCCATGTGGTTCTTTGTAGATTTCCTGATTTACTCAAACCAGAGTGGTTGATTAATGGTTTTCTTCTTAGCAGCAGCTGATGTTCTTGGGCTGTTCACGGTGCCAGTTAGACATGCCCTTTTCCAAAGCACCTCGCTGCATTTCCACACCAACCTTGCCCTGCTTCCATAGTCAGTCAGCATCCTATGACCATTGAGCATGCTCAGTCCTCATTATACTTTAGCATTCCGCATAAAAACAAGTGGAACCTGCAGTAAAATGTTGCAGTGTGGAGTGCTTCTGTTCAGTGTTCCAGTTACTCTGTTCAATTTCTTTTCTTATTTGGTGTTCCATTCCCCTTGCCTTCCAGCACTCAGGCATCATTCCATACCTACTCAGCATGCTTTCTCACTGAGCTGTTTATGGGTTCCTCTTAAGATTCCCTCTTACCCAATATTTTTCATACTTCTTCAAATATTTCAGGTTCCCCTGAGCTTGCTGTTATCTCCCTCTTGTGCTGTTTTGGGCATGTAAAGATCAGTGCTCAGAGAATGAGCTTGCTATTATTAGCATACGGGACAGCGCCACCCCTTTGCCTGGCACAGTGCAGAATGGTGACAAGTCATCTCCCTGCCTCGAGGAGCTTACAGTCTAAAATTTGACACTGGAGATGACAGAGGGAGGGGGCGGAAGCAGGATAAGCAAGGGTGAACGGGAAGAACATGTGTTTGGTTTGATTGCACGTATGTGAGATGTGTTTCAGAATGGGATCGGGGCTTGTGTGCTTGCACCAATGGCTTCACAAGGGGGGGGGGCTGAGGAACAATTTTAGGGGAGGCAGAGGCTTCAGAGCAGCAGTTGGCTTGCTTCTGTTTCAGGCTATTTAAACCTGCTGTTAAGGCACAAAGGGTGGAGGAATCTAGCCGAGAAAGAGAGAGAGCTGACCTTTGGCCATGCTATACTGCTTGAGCACTGGTCAGGAACCTTTGGCTTGTGGGCCTAATCAGGCCCACCAGCTCTCTCCCCCACCCCCATTTGACCCAGCAGGCCATTCCAGCTCAGCTCTGTGCACCTGATACTGCAAGCAGTGTCAGGTGTGAGGGCAAATAAAGCCATGGCTGGGTCAAAAGGGGGTGGGTTGCAAGCACCCACAAAGTTCCATGCATGGTGCTTTGCATGCTTTGCAACCAATCAGATGGTTAGTGTTTGCAAAGCTCTGGAAGGGCTGACTGTCAGCTGTTTGGTGGCAATTTCAAAACACCATGCCTTTGATCATGTACACGCACAAAAAGGCACACCTGATGTCACTAAGACATCTGGATTGGCAAGTGGGCAGCCCCATCCATCTGTTAAAATTAGCCCATGGAGTGAGAGATATAAGCGTCCTGTCTGTCATTGAAATCAGACTCCCCACCTCTCTGCTTGATAATATCTGTATATATTTGTAATGGAGGTTTCTGTTTTGTCATCGTTCTGTTCTTCACATTCTGACTCTCAGACTGATTTTGCCTCTGCTTGGAGCACAAACCATCACCTGGCGAGCATCTTTGACTTCAATGTGGACGAAATGCAGAGCTCGAAAAGGTAACAGTTGTCTGCTACAGGACCAGGCGAGGCTTGGAGCAAGGCTAATGGAAGGCGGGGGGAGGCATAGCCCAGGGGAAGACCACATGCTTTGCTTTTATTTACTTTTTAAACTTATATTCTAGCCTTCCTCCCAAAGGAGCCTAGGGCAGAAAATAGATCCACAATTTAAAAGCAATTCCCACCCCCCAAAAAAGTTAAAACGTGCATAAAACAATTGCAGTTCAAAATACCCCAGAAGCATTTATGATTAAAAACGTTGTTCCTGGGTACCCAAGAAGAGTATGATTGATGCCTGCGTATGCCACCAAATGCCTAGATAAGCATGAATGTTTTCAAATTCCTTCTGGAAGTTGATAATGATGGAAACAGGTGCATATCTTGCAGGAAGGTTTTCCACAAATGGGGGGGAGGGAGAGAGAGAGGTCCATTCCCAGGTGAAAACTTGGCAAAGCAAGGTTTACAGACACTTGTTCAGAAGCACTCTTTTATATGATGATGACATACGCTGTGTGACAGAGCCTCTGCTTAAGCTGTTGCTCAGTGCAGTTTGACTGTTTCCCTGCTCACGCTTTCATGCTTTTTCCCCAGCGGAAGCTCGAGCCATAATTTCTTTTCTGATGTGGATACGGCGACGGATGCTGCCAGTACTTCAGGTTCAGCCGCAACCAGCCTGTCCTATGAAACAAGGTGGGAGGCCAGGGGCTATCTTCTGTTTTCGTTTTTGCGTTCAGTGTGGGCTGTCTGCTATTTACTTTAAAGATGGCGCTTGACACCTGCTGTTTTTATAAGCACATCTATCTGCCCATCAAAATGCAACATGTATATGTACTTACTTAAGAGTTACGCACTTACTTAAGTGGGACTCGTAATTTGGAATGGTTTTTAATTGATCCATTTAACATGCAAATGGGAATCCTGTGGCCCTCCAGATACTTATATGTATTTATTTGTAGAAGTATTTCTAGACCACTATTCTTGAAAACATATCGGAGCAGTTAACAACAGCCATACATAAAACCATGTAAAAAAGACCATATAACAGTTTTTAAATGGGGGATCAGCTAATTATTATGGAAAGATGTGTTCTAAATTTGGAGGGGTGATGGGAGCTGTAGTCCATCTGGCGGCCCACAGAGTCCCCATCTCTGTTCCAAACCATCTGTCAGCTAAACAACCACAGCCGTAACTTAACAATATTATTCCCCTTCCTCCCCTCCCCCTCCCCTTTTTATGAAGATTACCCGCTCTGGGATCCCACAGCTAATTCTCCCCTGGTCTCCTCACTGGACCAAATAGGACTAATTTAGCCAGCTAGCCCTGGTGATCATCTAATGTTTATTGGATGGATTTTTGAATTCTAAATTTATTGTTATTCACGTTTTATACTGTATTTTATGCTGTTTTTTTTGTTGCATCAATTAAGTGTTTTAAATTTGTTGTTAGCCGCCCTGAGCCCGGTTTTCTGAACCGGGAAGGGTGGGGTATAAATAAAAAATTATTATTATTATTTTAATAATATTATTACATATTACCTAGAAGGACCCTGGGCAGCCGGAAGCGTAAGATGACATGCAGAAGCTACACAACTATTGAGACGAAGCAGAAATGTGCAGAGGGCCCCCAGAAGGTCACACCTGGCTGCTCCTCAGAAGAAAGTGAGGCAACCGGGGGCCCAGATCGCCCAGAGAACCCCACCCAGGGTCATGCTTTCGGGAGCCTGGGTGAAGGCAACTCATCGTCCTACCTCAGATCATCAATCAACAACTATTTTGGCGCTGCTGGCAGGATGGTGTGTGGGGAGAAGTACAAAGTGTTAGCCCGTAGGGTGAACCTAGATGGCAAAGTTGAGTACCTGATAGAATGGGAGGGCAGTACCCCCTACTGAGTGTCTGGGGTGGTTTGCCCTTGAGAAAAGAAAGAGTTTGGGGGAAATAAACTCAGAGGAGTCGTGCGATCAGATGTAAGCTACGTTATGCTTATTTTGGGCACTCTGGGGTGGGGTTTGGGTAATTCTTTGATGAGGTGCCTTCAAGTAGGCTTCGTTGAAAGAACGATTTTTGTAAGCTACAGATCAAATGGAATCATGTTGCTTTGTAACACTGCTTCTCTACAAGGGTGAGAGAAGGAGTGAATGGGTACAAACAATGTATTTTATTTGTCAAAAGAAGGACAATACCTGCCATTTCCAGAAGGACTCTTCTCTTTCAGACGTGGTGACAGGCAGAGAGGGAAACTGATGCTGCCATTTTGGGATGGGACAAAACTGTCCCGGTTGCTTAACCAAGCAGGGGTGGGTCCTTGTTCTTGGCAGGGAGGATGAAGTGACAGAAAGATTTAAGAATGGGGGTGGGGGAAAGATCCACCCACAGAAGCCAAGTTTGATAAGTGGGCAGTCTCTCCCACTGGTGACCTGTTTCTTGCCAATGCAATGATCAGCTGATTGTTGGGGAATTGCATAACTCTGGGTGATACTTTGCAAGCCCTGGCCAATTAGCATCAGTGCCCACAGAGCACAGCGCATTGTAAATACAGCTGATTGGCAGTGCCTGCAAAAAAAGCTTTTAGCCCAGCCATGCTTTTAACTGCCCTGCATCTGATGTCGGTTCAGGTTAGCTGGGCGCCAGCCAAAGCTGCTTTTAGGCTCCAGTGTCCCTTGAACCCACTTATCTATGCTATGCATTTGAAACTGGTTCAAAACCAGTTTTGACAGCCATAACTCTCCTCTGCCCAACTTTGCGGGTGGTAGTTCTGAGAGGCAGTGAGGGAATATTCGTTGAAGGTTCGTAGTCCCATACAGGACTTCTGTTCCCAGAATGCCTTAGTTGAGAGTTAAATTGGTTTAAACTTGTAGAGTTGAGGTGACATTCAATAAGAGATTCGCTTAAAGCTTATCTAACCCCTTGGCTGTGCTGAGGGGACTAACTGGGATATATGGGAGAACAGGGTATAGTTGGTCAGTGATGACAGAGAATCACAGAGGTGGCCATCTATTCCAACCCCCTGCAATGCAGGAATCTCGGCCTGTGAGGGCTGTTGTGTTGTGAACAGGGCTGGATTTGAGGCCCTAAGCTACTGAAGGTAATGGGGCCCTTTATATGTCCAGCTGTCCTTTGTCAACAACCAATTGTCACTGTTTTTTGTGTTGAATATATGCTATATTGTAATTTATGGACCTAATAGGTATCTAAAGCCATTTGCCACTGTTGCTGTATGTAAGTTTTATTTTATTTTATTCTACTTTATTTTATTTTTTGGAAGTGTACATCATTTTTTTTCCCTTTAATTTTTTTTGGGGGGGGGGGGGGCAAGAGAGTGAGGCCCTAAGCTATAGCTTATAGTAAATCCGGCACTGGTTGTGAATGTGCTTGGTTGCTGTGAATATAACTGGCTGACCCTGCATTTTTTGGAAGACCAGGTTCCACGTGTTCTGTGAGAAAATGGCACAAGTAAGGCCAGGTCTGCATATCCAGGAGAATGAGGTGGTAGAACTTTAATGTGGTAGGATGGACTGTAAGATAAAAAAAGGTAAAGGACCCCTGGACAGTTAAGTCCTGTCAAAGATGACTATGGGGTGCAGTGCTCATCTCGTTTTCAGGCCAAGGGAGCCAGTGTTTGTCCACAGACAGCTTTTCAGGTCATGTGGCTGTACCAATACAGACTGCAAGACAGGGGGATGAACACATGTTTGAATGCTTCTCCATATGGAACAATTCCATCCAAGCAGAAAGTTAGAATATCAGGGAGCCTTAGCCAGCTAGTTTTCTACTTATGGGAAGATATATAGAGGGAAATATAGATATAGAACATATGGGATTATTTTTTATGGAATTCACTCTATGCCTGCAGTGGTCCAGTTAATTCTTCTGCCTTGCAACTGGACCACTCTGATTCTATTGTGTGTGTACAAGCAAGGCCTGAGATTATAGCTCTGATATGTATGTGCAATATGACAAGTCTTTGAGGAGGAGCTGGGTGGCCAGGGAAAGAGGAGGCAGGGAGGAAGAGGCAATAATAATAGACAGGTAGAATCAACTGGGGAAAAACTTTCCATTCCGAGCTTCCTACAAAGATTCAGGTGGAAGCAGGAGGAGAATTGGGGGTGAATGTGGCGCAACCCAACCTCTCTTGTATGTCTGAAGCTATATGTGTGAAAGTTGATGGTATTTGCTTATATAGTCATCCGTGAAGGTAAAGCAGTATTAGCTAGGGCTGAGCCAAAAGTCGCCCCCGCCATCTCAAATCTGACACCTTCTCTGTAGGCTGAAAAGTTGGGACTCTTATCTGATTTTTGTGGTGGGGACTGTAAAGTTTGCCAGGCAACTGTGTTCCTTGTTGCTGCAAGGAGCCATTTTTCAAACCAACAGTTCCTGAGTGTGGGAAGAAGAAGCCTGATTTGGCTCCAAATGTCATTTTTCAACCAAATCTCATTGCTTTACATGGTGTTGTGATGAAGTCAAATCAGAGCGATGGCAGGGGGCATTGCTGCCTTTGCTCTGATTTGGCTTCAGGTGTCATAATTCAGCCAAACCTCATTAGCTTGCATGGTGTTATTATGGAGCCAAATCACAATGAGGCAGGAAGAATCAAATTTATTACTTTACTATTTGCTTGCTCTGCAGGAGGGATGGTCTGCAGGATTTAACTTCGTTCCGCAGGGTCTGTAAGACAGAGCTATTCCGCCTGGCTTTCAATTTGAACCTAGCCTGATATTTTATTCCCCTTCCTTCCCTCCCCTTCCCCTTTTTATGAAGATTACCCACTCTGGGATCCCACAGCTAATTCTCCCCGGTCTCCTCGCTGGCCCAAATAGGACTAATTTAGCCAGCTAGCCCTGGTGATCATCTAATGTTTATTGGATGGATTTCCCCCCTAAATTGATGTTTGAATCCTGAATTTATTGGTATTCACATTGTATACTGTATTTTATGCTGTTTATTGTTGCATCAATTGAGTGTTTTAAATTTGTTGTTAGCCATCCTGAGCCCAGTTTTCTGAACCGGGAAGGGCGGGGTATAAATAAAAATTTATTATTAGTATTATCAACTGCCAGCCTGCGGGTTGGATCTGGTCCCTGAAGCAATTTTTATCTGCTCCTTGGCAGTCCTATCCAGTTTTAATCAAATAGTACACTAAAAGCATGTCCACACTTTCGCTCCGATTTGGCTTCGTGTTGACAGCACATAAGCTAGTGAGGTTTGGCTGAGCAATGGTGTCTGAAGCCAAATCTGAGTGTAGGCAAAGCTTCCTCCGTTTGATCTGATTCAGCTTCATGAAGACACCATGTAGCCAAATGAGATTTAGCTGAGCGACAGCATCTAAAACCCAATGAGAGCAATGCAGTCCTAGGCAAGTCTACTTGATGGTAAGACCCACTGGGAGGTAGTCAACTAAGTTTGATTCAGAGTAAACCCATTGAAATTAATGAGCATGACTAAGGGAGCAATCGTGTGTATGGGAAGGTGGTGTAAAGTAAGCCAGATCCAAACTCTGTTTGGGAGCGAGGCTACCACTATTTGAGCCAGTCTAAGCCAAAGCACAGGGGATAGGAGGCTTTAAAACAGAGTTTGAGTTTTGCCAGCTTACCAGTTTGCCAGGTCATGTGACCAAGCTGTCAAATCCTCCCTGCTGGCACTGCCCCCCCCCTCGCAGAATGACCCCTTTTCAGGTCTCATGCTGGCTTAAGATCCACCATGCGCATTTCAGCTGGGGTGAGGGACTTATGAAGCTGGTGTATCTCTGGCTGAGCTGGGGCTGGGGGCTTATGCCAGCATATCCCTGCCGAGCCAGAGATCAGCCACATTGTAGTCTGATGGATCTCGGTGGATCTAGGGTTAGGGTTCTGCCCTAAACTAGGACCATTAACTTCAGTAGGTTTACTCTGAGGAAAACTTACTTTTGGAGCTTCCTCCAAAAGAAGCATGTTTAGAACTACAGCCTTGATATTAAAAATATTTTATTTTCAGTGTTGTCTGGCATCCACTGCCCACAGTGGAGCTCATTGTGCTATTAACTGTGAACCACTAGGCGGTGCTAATGTTGTTATGGAGCCAAATCACTGATGACCGTCCAGTTTGTGTGTCTAAACACACGTCTGGCTTCTGCACCAATGTCTGTGGGTTTAATTATTCAAGTGCAGGTGTGACAGAATGATCTCTGTCAGGGATTTTAAAACAAAGCAGGGGAGAAGCACCACCATTTTGGAGTTAGCTGAGCTCCCTTCAGTTTCCAACAAGGGTTCTCCATCCCACAAGGCTCTCTCCGGAGAACACCTCTAAATTCAAAAAGAGGCCATATTCATGTTGATACCAGTTTAAATGGCCATGACTTTCCCCAAAGATTTCTAGGAGCTGTGGTTTGTTAAGGGGGCTTAGAGCGATTAGGAGACACCTATTCCTTCCCCAGAGCCACAGTTCTCAGAGTGTTCAACAATTAACCCCTCTACACAGGGAACTCTGGGAATTGTAGCTCTGGGAGGGGGAGGGGAATTGCCACTGACACCTGAGGTTTAGTATGCACACCATCCAATATACGCTTGACTACGGGGAAGATTTGAAAAGGGGACATTTCCTCAAAATGAGGGAGACCAAAAAAAGAGAGACTCGCTTCTGTCTCCTAGCATTCTCCTTGACAATGAAAGGCACAGCCAGTGCTATTTTTGTAGAAAAAGAGGTGCTGGAATTCACCATGAACGGCACCCTCATTCTCTTAGAATGGCAATGGCACCCACCTGAGAGGTGCCAAAACTGAGTTCTGGCAAGTTCTACCTGAAAAAAGTACTGGGCACAGCATTGTGGATGACACATTGAAATGACCAAGCACTGACTTTTTGTTTTGTTTTGTTTTTTGTTTATTGTTTTGAAGTTAAGAATCTGTTATCATTACCAGTAATCTGCAGAGAGATCTGAATGTGGTTGCATTTGCACGTTTCTCATTGCACGACTTAAATCTAGGCCCCACAACAGAGCAGACTAATCTGCCATAGTGAGAGGAGGGGGGGGAAAGCGGGGCTCTAAAAATATCATTCCCCCCTCCCGAGGGATTTTCTCTCTCTTTTTACATTAGCTTGGATTGATGTTCTTAATGCTTCTGTGCACCTTCTTATTAAAACCAGAGAGAGAAAAGATTCAGTCCTTTCAACTTGCTGCTCTTTAATGACTGACCTTTTGTTTTGTTATATTCAAGTTGTAATTAATATGACAGATGTACAATTATTATTAAAAATAAAGTGGTTTGTTTTTTTTCAACTTCACCACGGCATTCGTGTTTCTTGGGATGGAGACGGTTCTGCTGCGCAAAGCAAAGTGAGGCGTTTGGCAGAGGTGATAGATTTGGGGGTGGGGATATTCACAGGGGGGAAGACCAGAAGGGAGGTGGGAGATCCTGGGTTGAGTGGGGAGGAAGGAACAAGGCAAAGGCATAAACAAAGGGAAAATGTAGGCCAGGGTGGGGTGGGGGAAGTGGCAAATGTGGCCTTCCACGTCTCTCTTCTCTGACCCTTGGGATTCTTCTCAGACCTATAGCTGTCAACTTTCTCCCCTTTTTAAGGGAAATTCCCTTATTCCGAATAGGATTCCTCGCAAGAAAAGGGAAAAGTTGACAGCTATGCTCAGACCACACCCTTGTTTCATAACATGAGTGTTTTTCCCTGGGCACAGTGTGTCCTCAAGCTCTGATAATGCATCTTGCCTGCCTGGATGGAGGCCACAGGAGGATATTTGTGAGTGCACTTAGAAATTAGCCGACTGCACAAAGATGAAATTTACATTCATTGTTCTGTCCATTTTTGCATCTGGCCCTGTCCACCAGTGGCATATGGCCCTCGTGAGGTTGCCCACAAGGGCATGTAGCCCTTGAGCTGTGGTAGACAAAGGGCAGAGAAAATGTCCCCTGCGTGTTGATGGGACTCTGCTTCCAGTGATGGCGGGAGCTTTAGCATGGCAATATCTGAAAGGTTTCAAGATCTCTACCCTTGTGCTTCAGAAAGCATTATTCAGATGTTAGTTGGATACATGTGTTTCTTGCCCAACACTGGCAGGCAGGGGGATAGTTCGTTGGCTACAGTCGTTAAATTTTCAGGTGCCATAAGCGGTCTGAAGTGTTTGCTTTCTAAACAAAAAGGTGGGATAGAAATGTTCTTTAACCAACACATTTGTGACAGGGGGTAAGGTGGGTTGTAGGGCAGTCATAGGTCAATCCTTTGCACACCTGCCAGTTTTCCACTGCACTGAACCCCCCCCCCCTTCCCAGTTGAAAAAATCAGCTGGGCTTGTTCCTGGTAGCAGAACCAGGAAAAAAAAAATCCTCTGCCCCTCAATTCTCAGTTTTTGAGTAGAGAATGACAACTGCATTTTAAGCGGTGGGGGAATAAACAGATTAGCTTCACACACACACACCATGTCATTTTGCTTTAGCTACTATAGCTCTAATAACTTTGAGGAGGGGAAGAGAGCATAATCCATTTCCAGATGTTGTAGGAGCTTTATCACATAATGGACTGACAGCAGATTAAAGAGGAATTTCCCATGCACTTAAAATGATCGTGCAAGCCTTTGTGCCAGCCTTCCTCAGCCTGGTGTCCTCCAATATGTTTTGGACTACAACTCCCAGCCTCGGCCAGCAATGAGAAGGACAGCATGTTGGAGGACACCAGGCCAGGAAAGGCTGCCATTTTGGAATGAGATGGAAGCTATTTGCAGCCACCCATTGAATTTGATGAGATTAGTCTGTGTGCAAGGAGCACAGACAAAATCCACTTATGTCTAGGCAAATGGAATTGGAAGTGAGTAGTGTTTTTCAGAGGAGAGAGAAAGAGAAAGAGAGAGAGAGAGAGGTGCTTATATATTTTTATTTTTAGGGAGAAGCCAGAATAGGGAATTTAAAGAATGAGAAGGTTTTTAGGTTTTTTGGAGGTGATTAATATTTTCCACAGAGGTGGGTGCAAGCTGAAGTGGGAACCCCTGAAGCCCACTAGAAAGATAATCCTTTTTCATTCTTCCCACCCCAAAATCAAACCACCAAACCCCTGAACCTATTTGTCTGCAATTTGGCAGATCTCTGATTCAGAGTCACCTATCTCATGTCTGCAATTTTCAGACCCAATTGCTGACAAAACACCAAAGAAGGTTGATTCCTTTTTGCTGTTGTTGCCGTTTAGTCGTGTCTGACTCTTTGTGACCCCATGGACCAGAGCACACCAGGCACTTCTGTCTTCCACTGCCTCCCGCAGCTTGGTCAAACTCATGTCTGTAGCTTTGAGAACACTGTCCAACCATCTCATCCTCTGTCATCCCCTTCTCCTTGTGCCCTCCATCTTTCCCAACATCAGGGTCTTGATTCCTTTTTTACACACCCCCAACCTATGGCAGCTGTCCTTGCAGGAAAACCACTTCTGAGTAAGTGTCATGCACTCATAAGGGATTATCATGGCTGCAAATTTCACTCAGTTCTCCCCAAAATAAGAAATTATAGGTGTTTCTGTTTGTTTTTAAAAGTCAGTCTCTAACAGTGTCTAGTACAAAAGCCCTTTGACCTCTTTACTTGTAATTTGGCATTGCAATGCTTGTAAATTATCCATTGCAATGCCTGTAAATTTCACCCACTTTTGCAAAAAAGCGAACAAAGTTATAGCCTCCCCTCCCCTGCCACCCCGAAATAGTGAATGGAGTGGGTGGAAATGAAGCAGACTTGTGTACCTCCCAAGCCAAATTGGGCAACCCATGAAGGGTCTCAGACTGAGCTGTTTTCCGAAGCACCTAATCAGGGTCCAAACCAAATCTTAGGGTTGGCTCACACTGCTACTTCTTGTTCACCAAATTCCTTAAAACTCAATTTTCTTGGTTTCTGAGATACCAGCGAACATGTGAGAGAGGCAACTGTGCAAGCCTGTCTGGATGTTAGGAGACATTTCAGACTTTGCTTTCTTTGGAGCATTATAGCCACAAAATGTTAAACCAAAACTGCAAGACTGAGAAAGTTGCAACACAAAGATCCTGTTTCTTCCAGAGAGGATCCCGCTCTCATGCAACTCAGAACCACTAACGGAGCATTCTCAGTTGCTTTTCCACCTTGACCATGTCTGTGAAAAGAGAGGACTGTCATGCTATGGTAGCTGGCAATATCCACAAGTCCTTTGGGAAAGTCTGTCCAGAAGCATCTTCTGGATGATGACGGCTAATCATACGGGATACTCTCCTCCATCCATTTTAAATAGGCCGGGTTTCCCTGGTCAATGAGCAGGCTGATAAATTCGGGGATTGCGAATGGATGCAAGGAGCTGAGGGAAGAAATGCACAGATTATCTGCATCTTACTATGAAGCAAGAATGGAATTCTTACAGGTAAAAGGGGTATATGAGCCACATATCAGAATAGGCGTGCAGGAGCATTTTGGCATAGTAGGAGAAGATACAGCTCCAGCCAGCAGGCCCATGCTGTCAATCATGTCAGGTGATGGACAGTTGGCCAACAGGAGTGGGAAGATAGTAACCAAGCAAGATTGAACTCCTCTCTACCTCACCCATATGACCTCAGGTATGAGGCTGATGGGTGTGACTTGGGCAAAACTGATTAATGCGCCAAATTGGGAGGTATGGTGGGCCAAATCTGGCCCACAGCTGGTGGGCTTCCCACTGTTGTATTAGAAGGTTGCAGGGTGACAAAACTGTGCTTGTGTTTTTCACTCAACGGTACCATGATCTGGATCTGGTCAGGCCTGGTGTAGGCAGCTGATATCCTAGGGCAGCTGACAAGGCCTCAACATCATGGCAGTGTCCACTTGTGTCAATGTGGGCCCCACCCACCTCCTACATTCTGGTCAGGTGGGTCTACAACAAACAGCCATTTTCGTATTTGTGTTTTTTGTGTGTGTTTTTTTCTTGTTGTATAAATAAATAAATAAATAAATAAATAGCCATTTTCATTTCCCACAATGCCCTGGAGTAACACTGCATTGTGGGAAATCACAATGGCAGTCAGTAGCTGCTTGGGAGTGCTTTCAGGCTGTTATCACTTCCTAAAAAAACTGAGGGAGCCCTCTCAAACCTGCAACCAGCTGCAGATTTGGTATTCAGCATAGAGGGCCACAACCAGAGTGTGCCCAGTGGGTGGGCCATCTTACTCTGAGGACTGGCTTGTCCATCTGATAACTTTGTGTGTGTGACTTTTAAACTTGTCACACAGCAGCTTCTATTTACAGAGCACTGCTTCACCAAGCTGAGACTTTCATCATGGCTTTTTGTATAGGTATACAGTGGTACCTCGGGTTACAGACACTTCAGGTTACAGACTCTGCTAACCCAGAAATAGTACCTCGGGTTAAGAACTTTGCTTCAGGATGAGAACAGAAATCGTGCAGCGGCAGCGGGAGGCCCCATTAGCTAAAGTGGTGCTTCAGGTTAAGAACGGACCTCCGGAGTGAATTAAGTTCTTAACCCGATGTACCACTGTATTTGGAATGGAAATAAAAAGGAAGCTACAGAGATACTTTTGATAAGTGCAGTGGAGGCTGGTCTATTAGAGTGAATGGGGCACTGCACCATCACCCTCAGCCTGCTCTCAGCCAGCCCTGCCTTCTTACTTCCAACCAGTCTAGGGGGTGGCCATGGCTTACAGCTTCTGCCTCCTTAGTCTCAGTGTTGCCCTTGTAGAGTTCAGCAGGGAGGAGGATGGCAGCTGGCTCTGCTGCTCTGGCACCACCTACTGTTGGGCTCCCTGCCTTCTGTCCTACCAGTCCCAATAGGAGCCAGCCATCACTGGCTGCAAGCAACTCTTTGGGACAGATTTAAGCTGTGTCGTGTCCCTGCCCCTCTGCAAAAACAAAACAAATCAACAAACAAAAACAGCCACATAAGAAACCTCACCTGATATATTCTGACAACTCATTGATTTTGGAGGTCCTTGTTTTCATCAGCTGTAACAGAAAGGGAAGATATGTGGATTAGGCATCACCACAATGCATTAATGATAAGGTCTATTTGTGAAGCTGTAGCCAAGCAGACCACTTTGTAGATGGACAAAGCTGGACAAATGAAATAATGAATGATGGTAAAATTTGATATTGGGATTCAAAATAATTTGCTTCCATCTAGTTTTGTCCCCCACCCTTTCTGCTGAGTTCTACAAGGGGCAACAGTGAGATTAAAGGGGAGAGGGAGGAAACTGGACTAGTTGTAAGAAATGAGGCAGGCAGGTGGGGGCTGGCTGAGGGCAGGTTAATCGTGCCCCATTCACTCTAATGGACCAGCCACCACTGTACTTACCAGAAGTATCTCTGTAGTTTCCTCTATCTCTCCATTCCAAATATACCTATACAAAAAGCCAAGAAGAAAGTATGCTTAAAAATTACAAACAACCAAACAAAACATGCAGAGTATCCTCAGAGACGTACAATCACACACGATTCTTCCAGAGTGGTCAAATGGGTTTGGTTCTTGACTCACATGGATGAGGCCTTGGGGAGGATATTCACGCAAGCAGCCAATTTTCTCTCCATAATTGCCCTAGGAGAAACAGAAGAGTTTAATCGGCATGTAAGTATCCTTGCAACTGGCTTCCCAGTGCCATCAGGTTTGTGATATGACAGGGGTGGTGACCCTCAGGCCTGGCGAGGGGTAAATGTGGCCCTCGATGTCTCTCTATCTGGCCCTTAGGACATCCCCCAGGTTCCCTAGTCACCTTCTCTTTCCCTAGCCACATCCCTCACTGGCCCTGCCCTCAATGTCCTTGAGTGTTTTTGCCTGGCTGGAATGTGTCCTTGAACTCTGATCACGCCTCTTGATTTATTGGATGGAGGATACAGAGGTGAGAGTGTATAGTAGAAAGCAGCCTACTGTACAAAAGTAAGATTTGCATTTGTCCCTCTGCCTACTTTTGCCTCTGGCCCTTCCCTCCACTGGTATGTGGCCTCCGAAAGATTGCTTAGAAGGGAATGTGGCCCTCAGCTTGAAAAAGTTCCCCCGCTTTTGTTTTATATCACTGTCAGGGAACTGACATCGGAGCTAGAGGCGGAGGGAAGGCTCTCAAATGATGCTGGAGAAGGGCCCAGCAGGGAGAGAGGCAGCTCAGCAGATGGGGAAGCAATTCAGCGCAACACCAGGAATAAGGAGGGGCAGATGGGGGAATCGGCGAGAGGGCTCCCAGACTCTTCACCGGACACCAGCGGGGAGAGCACGGGTCCTCCGCTACCCACGCCCTCCCTGCGCAGCAGACTCCGCGCAGAGAGAGTAGGAGGAGACTGGGTGTCAAACAACTTTTATGTTGGGAAAGGTTTAAGAAACGCCCACTGACGGATTCTGCTAGCGACTGAGGCAGCCACGAAGTGAAGGGCTGTCCAGACTGAAAGGTTTAACAAGGCAACAAAGCCAGGAGAGGCGGCAACTTACGCACGAGCAACCCAAGGATATCACAGAGCTGGAAAAGGTGCAAATAACAGCAACACAAGTGATCAAGGGGTCGAAGCAACTCCCCTAAGAAAAAAGGCTACATCAATATTTTTCCCCTAGTTTATTTACAATCACGATCCTCATCTTACTTTAAATAAACTAGGGGAAAAATATTGATGTAGCCTTTTTTCTTAGGGGAGTTGCTTCGACCCCTTGATCACTTGTGTTGCTGTTATTTGCACCTTTTCCAGCTCTGTGATATCCTTTTTCAGATTGGGCAACCAAAACTGGGCGCAGTGTTTCAAAGGCAGCCTCAGCATTCATTTATATAATGCTATTATGGAGCCTGGAATTATTTGCAATCCCTTCCCAAATAATCTCTAGTCTGGAATTTGCTTTCTCCCACTTTTCTCTCTCAAATTCACCCAGAGTTGAATAAGCTTGTTTTCTGTATTCTATTTATAGATCTCAGGGCATTTTATATTCCACCATTTACAGTCAGATGATCAAGAAAGTACTGGCTGCTAATACTCCCACTGCAATGCTGCGTCTTGGAATGCCTGGGGAATATAAATAGGCACACTTTATGCTGAATGCCAAATGGCTTAAACCATAGTCAGGCTGCTGAGCTCCGCCTGAGGAGTGGTGATCAGGACACCAGTGGGGCAGAAAGCAGGGAGTGGCCAGAACCAAATAATTCTAGTTTTGCCCTCATCTTCCTCCATATAGAGTTCTGCAAGGGGACTAAGGAGGAGGAAGCTGATGATTAGTATCACCCCCAGGGCTGGATGTAAGCAAACAGGCAGTTGAGGAAAGACTGGAACTGACAGGGCAGTATCTTAATAGTCCAGCCTACACTATGGTACAGTCTCCTCTGCCACAAATCTCAGAAGGAAAAAGTTAGATTCAAAATATCCAAGGTGTAAGCAAGATGTTAAACCCTGGGTGTTATGTACTAAGCTTGGATCCTAGAACAATAGGTAAGTAGGATCCTAGAATGCAACAGCTGATTGGTTTGCAGGAGAAGACCAATCAGGCTCCAGGAGGGAAGCAGAATCAGCCAATCAGACGGGTCTCATTGCGTAAATAATGTACAGTGGTACCTTGGGATGTGAACGGGATCTGTTCTGGAGCGGATGATGTCATGCGCGTGATGTCATTTTGAGCGCCTGTGCATGCACGAGCGACGAAACCCGGAAGTAACACGCTCCGTTACTTCCGCAACTCGAACACGCTCAACATGAAGCATATTCAACCCAGGGTATGACTGTATATAAAAGCCTGAGGTTTGGGGGGGGGGCAATTCAACTACTGTATTACAAGCTGCAATAAAGAGCATGAAATCACTACAGGACTCCGAGTATATTTCACTGGCGACGAGGATGGGATCCTGCTGAGCTGTCCACCGCGCACTGCACACAGCCACCACAGGCAACACAGCATCGCACCGCACATCCAGGCTACAGCTCCAGGACCCAAGGACCCAGAATGGCGACAGACAACAGCTTCATGCCATTCAGCCTAGCCTCAGGAGACTGGGAAGGAAATGCCATTCACTGTGCATCCTAAGTCTATTTGTAACTCACTCAGGTGTAATTCTTGCTGTGTTCAGCGGGGCTTACTCCCCACTGAAGGGAGGTAGGCATCAGATTTCAATGTTAGGGAGAAACACCTTCTATAGGAAACTGCTGCCCGCCTCTGAAACACAAAGCTGGTACTGCCCACTCTGCAAAGTTAAGTGTTAAGGCTCTTCCAAAGTTGCTCCCTGATAATAAAATAAAACGCATGCTACTTGCATCTGAACAACCAGCATGTCAGACAGGTGGGTGGGACCTTACAGAGAGGCTAGTCCCTTAGGGCAAATGGGGCACAATCCCAAAAGCCTCTGTATGCTCTCAGACAGACTCCACCTGCCTGCACCTGCTTTTATACTTACAACCAACCTAGGGCACGGCACTGCCTGCCAATTTACTCCTCCCTAGTCTCAGTGTTCCCTTGCAGAATTCAGCAGGGAGGAGGATGGTGACCAAAGAATAATCATTTGGCTTTGACTAGCATTGGCTCTGGCACCCCCTATGGCTGGGTTTCCACCCTATCAGGGATGCCATCTCACCTTCAGGATCCTGGGTGCCCGCTGCCACAACGCGGATGTGTGACATCACATGCACACACCTGCACATGGTGCGTGTGATGTCCCATGCACTACATGCAGGCATGTACGTATGACAACAAACGTCTGCATTATGTATGACATCAAACGTCTATATTGCAGCGACCAGCGGCAGCTCCTCTTCCTCCCCGTCTCCACAGCCAGTGAGCCACCCTTTTCCAGAGAGGGGGGCTTGGACTCTGTCTCCGAGTCTGAGCCCCCCCCCCCGGAAAAGGGTGCATTGGGCTGACTGCAGAAGGCTGCTGCCTGCTGGCTTTTTTCATTGATTGTGTGGGTGCCCAGCCCCTACAATTATATTACTGTGGGTGCCCATGCACCCACGGCCCCCTGTAGTTGTCTCCTATGCACCCTATCAGTTCTAATGGGCACCAGTCACCACTGCCTTTGTATCAATGCATATAGAACGAAGCAGCTCTTCTCTTTAAAAAATAATATTTTTTTGATTTTCCAAAAATACCCCACAAAAACAAACCAGATTGACTTCCCTCAGTCTAATCCCTTCCTTGGTTCTATTATTTATCGACATGCTGTGTGTCCATTGTTAAATTTATAACATATTTAAATCACCTATTATCCATTAATTGTAAAATTACAAGTAAACTTAAAACCCTGCTAATGTATTAGCCTGTGTACATTGCTTCTGTATATATGCAATAAACATCTTCCACTCTTCCTTAAATTCATTGTCGTCTCTTCCTCTTAATTTCATCGTCAATTTTGCCATGTCAAAATAGTGCATTAGTTTAACGTGCCAATCTTCGGGACACCTTCGCCTTTCCAGTGTTGTGCTAATAAAGTCTGTGCAGCTGTTGTAGCGTACATAAACAAGTTCTTTTGTAATTTTGGTAGTTTCACTCCTATAATACCTAGCAAGAAAGCTTCTGGTTTTTTGACAAAGGTTATTTTAAACATCTTCTTCAATTCATTATAAATCATTTCCCAATATTTCTTTATAATTTTACAATCCCAACACATATGAAAAAATGTCCCTTCTGTTGCTTTACATTTCCAACACTTGCTTTCCCTAGTTTTATACATTATTTGCTAATTTAACTGGAGTTAAGTACCATCTATACATCATTTTCATATAATTTTCTTTAATCGCCACACATGCTGTGAATTTTATATCATTCCTCCATAACCTTTCCTGTTCTGCCATCTGAATATTGTGTCCCACATCTTGTGCCCATTTAATCATGACTGATTTGACCTCTTCATCCTTTGTTTCCCATTCCAGCAACAGATTGTACATTTTAGATAATAATTTCATATCATTTTCCATTATTTCTGTCTGAAAAGTTGAAATTTCATAAGCAAATCCCATCTTTTTATCATTCTTAAGCATTTCATTTAGCTGAAAATATTGTAACCAATCTGTTACATTCTCTCTAACGTCATTAAAGTCTTTCAATTTTAACTGGTTTTCTGTTTCAATTAACAACTCTCTGTACGTTGCCGATTTAGGGTCCATATTCACGGGGGTATATGGACTTTTAAAACTATATAGTTAACTGTAATAATAACTTTATTTTGTTAAAGTTATAAAAGGAAATATGCATTAATGTATGTGAAACTAGGGGGACGCGGGTGGCGCTGTGGGTAAAACCTCAGCGCCTAGGACTTGCCGATCGTATGGTCGGCGGTTCGAATCCCCGCGGCGGGGTGAGCTCCCGTCTTTTGGTCCCAGCTCCTGCCCACCTAGCAGTTTGAAAGCACCCTTAAGTGCAAGTAGATAAATAGGTACTGCTTTATAGCGGGAAGGTAAACGGCGTTCCGTGTGCTGTGCTGGTACAGGCTCGCCAGAGCAGCTTCGTCACGCTGGCCACGTGACCCGGAAGTGTCTGCGGACAGCGCTGGCCCCCAGCCTCTTAAGTGAGATGGGCGCACAACCCTAGAGTTGGACACGACTGGCCCGTACGGGCAGGGGTACCTTTACCTTAACCTTTTTATGTGGAACTAAGTAAGAGAGCTAGGACAGTGGTCAACATGCGAAACTTAGTGACACAAAAGGAAGACATAGGTTAAGAGAAAGCTACCTGGAAGTGATCAACTCAGAAAGTATGCAGAGTGAGCAGGAGGGTCAGAGAAAGGGAGGAGTTAAAAAAAAGCTTGTTTAAACAAAGTTCTTTGTTTTGCAGTAGTCCTGCCTGATCCTTAGTGATAATAAACAACACTTGTCCTTAGTGATAATAAATAACAGTCTTGACACACATTTTCTGTGTGTGCCCCTTATGCAATTTTAGGTTATTTATTTAGGGGAGTGTCATGACACACCATTGCTTAAGCAGACAGTGGATGCACCAAAGTTATTTCGCAAAAACACCCTGTTCCCAAAAGGACTGAACAATGTTTAATCCACATATTGGATCATGATGAGAGCTGCGCTTAGCACACCATTTTAAGAGCAAAGTCCAGACAGTCAAAACGTCCACAGTGGGGGATGCATGGAAATAAGTTTAGTTCCTTTCCCTTACACAGAAGCAGTGAAGAGTGGGACCTTTTTCAAGGGTAGGATAAAAAGGCAGCTGTTGTTTGTATCGTGACCTCTTTTCTTCCAGTGGATTTTCTCTTTCAGACAGCTTCCTAGAGGATGGATTTACTCAGGCAAAGTCCCAGGATGCTCCAAATACCATGGCTACTGATTTTGCCACCCATCCCTTAAAGAAACAACAACCTTAGATTTGTTGTAATCCTGTGAACCTCAGAGTTGCTCCAAACATGTTGATTCTTCTCTCCTCTTTCTCAGTAGCTCCTTCTGAGAGCCAGACTTATCATTGCTCACCATCTGAGTTCAGGAGTTGCTCACTGTGCATGACATGTACACACGAACAGGAACACAAAAATCTGCTTTCTGCTGAGTTAGAACATCAGTCCAGCATCATCTACACACTGACTGGCAACAGCTCTCCATGGATTCAGAGAAGAATCATTCTCAGCCCAGCTTGGAGGGATTGGACTTGGGACTTCTTGGCAAAACAGTTCGTACTTCCTTTCTGCTTATGGGGCAAGAGGTGGGGTGGAGAGAAGTTTCTCTATTTATACAGAGGTGCCCCAGGGAACTCTGCTTTGCTTGGTAAACATTTCATTGGCAGAGAGTGCTTGAAACAGAGAGCAATTCAGACTCAGAAACAGAAGCTGGGTGTAATCCCACCATGCTCGACTTTGGACATGTGGAATTTCCCCTCTCTGACTTTTCAAAGCTGCTTGCCACGTCCCCTTTATGGAACTTATGGGCAAGGCTTATGTGGTCTGATTGCTGACACAAGTGCCAAATTCACATTTGTTTTTAGAAGTAAGATTCTAGTCCTTATGAATATTGGCTTGATAGGGCTATGAATTTGTGACCCTCCAGCTCTTCCTCCTCCTAATTTATTAATCACCTTCTAAACCACCATCTGAAGGCAATTCATATAAACTGCAAAACTCAAATACATTTAAAACAAGAATAAAACACTATGGACATTCATGGTAAAGACCCATTTATCCTGCTGAGAAATCCTGTAGCAACAACAACAAAAAAAACATCTTCAATTGTTTCTGGAAGGTGCAGATAGTGGGTTCCTGTCATGTCTTGACAGGAATGTTGTTCCACAGACCTAGACCTTACTCTTGGCCTATAACTCCCCTCATTTCTGATCCTTGAGAGCTAGATAGACAAATGGTCTAGCTCTGTATAAGAGAAATATGACTCTGCTCTGTAGAAGCTCATTCCCATCCCACCTTGATCTCTTAACCTCTGAATAAAGAGTGGAATGTTCTCAGCTGTGTGTAACAATAGCAGAAACAAGCCACTCAATACTTCAACAAACTAGTATATTTCAATTATTCATTGACCCGCTTGGGCCAAGAATGTGTCAAGTCACCCTACCTTGCAATGTCTCTAGCAGTCTGTTCGTTGGGGCAATTGACGAGTGCAATTGAATGAGATCCAGGAATATAGCTACCAGTAACAGCAGAGTGCAAATGGAGGACAAGGGTTCTCAGCACTGGATACATTAGCAAAGAGAAACTCACAACCTGGAGGAGGGATGGGGTGGGGAGAAGAAACCAGATCATACATCAGCTGAATAGGCCTCCAAACTTAGACAATGTAAATACAGGTCATTGAAGTATTCTGAAAAGCAGGAAATGTGTCTGGGAGACGGGGAAACAGTGCTTGTTTAATAACACCACAGGAGTGGAGAACTTGTGACATAAAAACATAAGAAGAGCCTTGTTTGATGAGACCAGAGGTCTGTTTACTTCAGCCTCCTGTTCTCACAGTGACCAACCCCAGATGCCTGATGGGAGCCTGCAAGCAGGACCCAGGTACAACAGTGCTCTCCCCATTTGTGATTCCCAGCAACGGCTGTCCAGAGACATACTACCTCCAACACATAGCCAGTATGGCTAGTAGCCATTGATAACTTGATCCTCCATGAATTTGTCTACTCCTCTTTTGAAGCCTTCCAAGTTGGTGGCCGTCACTGCCTCTTGTGGGAGCCAATTCAAATCAATGTTTCTCAAACTTGGGTCTCCAGCTAGAAGGACCGGTGGTCAGGGATGCTGTTGTAGTCCAACAACAGCTGGAGACCCAATTTTGGGAGCCACTGAGTGCAGAAGTACTAATTTTTTTGTCTGTTCTGAACCTTCCGATCTTCAGCTTCACTGGGATGTCTCTGAGTTCTAGTATTGTGTGTGTGAGAGAGAAAAATTCTCTGTCCACTTTCTCCTTGCCATACACCTCTATCATGCTGCTACTTATTCGTCTTTTGTCTCAACAAACCTTTCCTCTGCCCACTTCCTCATTTTGGCTGTCCTTTTTTGATCCATTTCCAGCTCTAACCTCCCTATGTATTAGGACTCCAATTTCCAACAGCTCCAGCCAGCACGGCCAGTGACAGGATTGAGGAGAATGGTACTGCAACCATATCTGTTGTTCCTCATCCCTGCCATAGAGCAACACAGGAGTTTCTTATTCCACCACAGAAATGGGGAGGCAGAACTGAAACCTTTTAAATACATCTAGCATAACCACCCTTATGCATGCTTGCAAAGTCCTGTTCCTGATGCCGTGGGGTGGGTCACCTCTGCATTAAACTCATTTATAAGCTGCATAATCCCCAATGGGGAGAAAGAGACACACAAAAATTAGCTGCAATTTAATGTTTTGCTAAATCATTAAAACCTCGGTAAAAATTAAACCAGGAATTCTTCTGATGCATTAAAATAGTTTTCAAGTTTATTATTGATAGGGCAGCTTATTTACCTTTTACAACAGCAAAGAAAAGCTGCAATTCACAGTGAACTTTTGCACAAGCCAAACACACCCAGGGAACAAACTCTATAAAACCCAGCTAATTTCCGAGGAGAAATTGCACTGTAAAACAAAACTATGTCCATGGCAATTTGCCAGAGATGCATCGTCCTTAGCCAACATCATCTTTGCAAGAAACAGCATTAATTTTTCAAGACGTTAGAACCAGTGTTGCTTGCCAAAAGCATTGAGATAGTTTTATTCTTCCAAAGAGAGAAGCTATATTTTTTTTATTTCAGACATTGGCTCATGAGGCTGCATCCAATGTTAGCAGCCCTACTCAGAGTAGACCCATTGAAAATGGACGCATCTAACCTAGCTCCATTGAGTTCAATGGATCTACTCCTGAGTAAAACTTAACTTGAGAAAACCCCACGATCATTAAATTCAAGGGAAATATTTTTGTTTGTTTTAAACCCATATGATAGCCACATTCTCTCCACCCCTCGCCCCGCCAAGTTTAAAGTTTGTCTTTTAATGCCGGGGAAGAGAGGTGCGACGTCATGTTGTGGGAATTCCCCTGTGGCTCTCGCTTGCTTTTGCTCAATTTCGGCTCTCCCTTCGCTCTTCAACTTTGCAACGTAGTGATGTCAAACTTACCAGCGGCAAAGTCAAGTATCCCTGGCGCAACGCCGAGCCAGACGCCGCGAGGAGAGCCTGGCAACGCTGAACAAACCACTCCATCGGCATTTTTGCCATCTTAGCGCACCTGCCCATGGCTGCTACTAGCCCTTGCTCCAAGGCTGCGGTTCTCTTTCCTCGCCCACTTGTTCGCCACCTTTCCAGATGTGACTATCGCTGTGAAATAAGCAAACAAAAATAAATGGTGTGTTTGCTTGCAAAGGAAAGCGGACTGACGGCTGGCAAACTCCTCCTTCCAAGAGGCTGGTGCCCGCCTCCCTGGCATAGCCCCTCTGAGAGCCCCGATGCCCTGCCTTTTGGCTCGTTCTTCTGTACATCTTCCCCCATTTGAACCCGCTCCAGCGTCTCTAAGGCATTCAAAGTATTCTGCTTGGTTGGGGACACTGAAACGGTTTGGTTTGGGTGCCTAACATCCGCGGGGATAAACCAGATTCACACTTGTTGCAAAACCTATCCGAAATATAAACAGTACATTAGTTGATTTTGTATAATAATTACCCAACACGCAAGGGAAGTCTCCACCGCCACCCCAATTTTGAATGTTGTATTATGTCTTTGTGCTTTAAACTGTAAGCTGTCTGGGAAGAAAGGCCATATACAAATCCAATGAATAATAAATAAACTTTTAAAATAATAGTAATAATAATAATCACCACCCTTCCTTTCCTTCAGGCATCCTTTGAAAACTTGTTTAGACAGGCCTTTGCAATATGATTTCCTTTTTTCCTTTACCCAGTTCTAATATATCTTTATGTTTTTATGGATCTTTGGATCATTTTATCCTTATATGTTGTACTCTGTCTTGCTATGTGTTTATTATAAACAGATTATAAATTTGTAAATGATATATATAAGTATTATTCATTTAAGTATTGAATGAAATTCATATACTGCTTAAAATGGAGAAAAAAACCCCTCAAAGGGTGTACAAAAAGATAAGAAGCAGCAAAAGGATGAAAAATTCCCAGCCCTACTTCAAAACATTCAAAAGTTAAAATACTAAAACAAATTTAAATTACTTCAACTTTCTAAGCATCTGGGTAGGCTTACCTAAACAATAATGTTTTAAGCAGGCACTGAAGAGTAAAGGTGAAGGTGCCTACATGATCTCAATAGCCAGGGTATTTATTATGTGGCACCTGTGGTACTTAGTGCCAATTCCACCAACTGAAGCAGTCGAGTGGGCATATGTGGGACAAGGCAATCTCGTAGGTAAACTGGTTCCAAGTTATTAAGGAGTGATGTATAACTGGGGCATTTCATCATGTGAAACCCAAATGTTATCCCAAGTGATGAAGAGTAGACCGACTTTAACTGCCTTATTGTGAGTACTAGATATCTCCCTGTATTGTTGGTATATGGCCAGACTTTGCCCTTAAATCTCTTTTTTTCTTTTGATAAATCCCTTTGAACAAAGACACCCTGCATATTCATTCATTCCTTTATTTGATGCATACAAGAGTGCATACAAGAGTGCAACTCTGATGCAATAAAGTGCAACTCCTACATCTCAAATTCTATCAACTGTATTTTACCCTTCGCAGAGCTACAATTCCCAGCACCCTTAACAAATTACAGTTCCCCATGATTTTCTGGAGGGATGAAATGTGTGCTTTAAATATCTACAGTAGTGCATACACAATCAAACCTTGGCAACCGTCTTTTGGTCTAGGTTTGCCTTGCTGTAAAATGGGACTTTGGGAATGCTTGATAACCTCTCGATGTGTTGATTCTCTAGAACCGTAGAGTTGGAAGGGACCCTAAGGGCCATCTAGTCCAACTCCCTGCAGTGAAGGAATATGCTGCTGTCCCACCTGGGGATCGAACCTGTGACCTTGATGTTATCAATGCCACGCTTTAACCAATTAACCCATAATTTATTCTATGGATTTGCGCGTCATGTTTTAATGTTAACACTTCTTTATGATCTTGATACTGCTAAATGGCGGCGGCGGGGCGAGTGTGAAGGGAACTCTGCACATGCTCGGAGGCGCCTATGGGAACTCTAACATGGCTGCTTCTGTCGCTCTTTCGGGCTGCGAACATTTGCTTTTGCTGAGCGAAGAACGGAAGGCACACAGTGCAAAAATTAACGCCACATCATTTCCGGTCACCGTCTGACCAGGGAAGAGACGACATTTATGGGGCAGGAGCTCAAACTGCCTGTCTGCAGCAGGCGGAGAACTTGTGTTTCGAGGAGCGCGTAATAACGCGAAGAATCTCGTTACACTGTTCTAATTCGGTTCTCCCCCCCCCCCCATTCTGTTTTCGAAATCTATATTTATCTGTATAGTCGTTTTAGCCCCGCATGTCCTTCATGTGGGAACACGGAAGCGAGTGTTAAAAACTGACTCTTTTAACTCTTTACCGGAAAAAAAAAATGAAGCGCGCCCCGCCCTCCTTCTTCCTTCAGCCAATCAGAAGCCCGAGCGCCACAAGTCACAAGGGGCTCTCAAGACATAGGAGGCGTTGCCTTTGTATCTGAGTGCCGCGGCTGTGATGAGGCGCCGGCCTTGGTTACACGACCGCTTCGGTTGCTAAGGGTCGAAGTCTCGCGAGACTCCTTTCACTTCCTCTTTTTCCTCCGCCCCCCCAGGCACTCTCTTCTGCTCTCCCAGACATTCAAATATGGCGGCGCCAGAGATGGATGAGGCGCTGGAGCTGCTCGCGAGGGTCCCGCTGCTGGAGGAGCCGCTCGAGGAGCTGCGCGCTTTGCACTTGGCCTTGCTCGCCGTTCCTCTCAATGCTCTGCGGGAGCGGCGGTCCGAGCTCCCCTTGGCGGGACTCTTCGCTCTGACGGCCCGCGGGGGAAGGTGAGTGGAGAGAGATCGGGCGGCTCTTGCTTTTTATTAAGCCGCCTCGGGTCCCTGTCAGGGGGGAAGGGAAGGCGGGGTATAAAACAAACAATAATTGGGGGGAGGGAGGATGCCCGTCAGGGAGAACGCGTGTTGAGATTCCTGCCCTGCAGGGGGTTAGGCTAGATGTCCCTCGGGGGTCCCTTCCAGCTCTACATGTCTATGATTCTGTGGCGCTTAACAGACCCAGCCGCCTGTTTAAAGGTGTGTGTGTAAAGAGGGAGGGGGGATTCTATTTCTCTCTCCATTTTTGTTTATTAGATTTTTAAGAACTGCCCTCGTTAACCCAGAAGATCGCGGGACTGGTTAACAACATAAAAGTAGAAAACGAGGTCGCCAAAATACACGGCAGAGCAAGGCACAAACCAATAACTGCTCCTCCGCTCCGCTCCCACAAACGTCTAATCCTCAGTGGAGGAGATCGTGCCCCTTTCCGGGCTGTGTCTTTTTTCATTGCTCGGTTGCCCCTCGACTCATGAAACTGGGCCTAAGTTGCTCATGTTTGTTAATTTCAGCAAGTTTGTTCTGGAGTAGGGCCAGCTCTGGCGATAGCCCGCTGTCTCTGAATTGCAGGGGTGTGGGTGGGAGCGAGGCGGCGACGGGAGAGAGGGGCTGGGGTGGCAAAGCTCATAGTGTATGCTTGGGTTTTTCCTGTCAGCATCACTTGGGGAAGTTCTCTTTCTATTCGCTTGTTATGTTTCCTTGGTGGTGAGAGAGGTTGGGGTGGTCTAGGGTGTGGTTGATCGTCTTTGGCTGGCTGCAGTGGGATTTGTTTGTGCATGGGTGAGGGGGTTTGTCGGGTTAAGTTAGCCATATTGAATCATATGCTGTCAGTGGGTTATGAACTCTTTGTAGTGTGGGTGGGCATTGTTATCTTGGAAGGTGTTCAGTAGGGCCAGTTCTGGGGTGACTTCTAGTACATGTTTAGTTATTTTGCTTATTTCTGGTATGACTGCGCACACTACTTTTCTGACTGGGTCCTCGATTACTTGGTTTGGTGGGATCTGCTGGTTCAGACACAGCATATGTCTGAGAAGGCCCCACAAGGGATCATGGGGAGAGGTGCGAGGAAAAAACTGTTGTGACATTGATTTCTTGGGCAACTTGGAAGGGCTGTGGTGGGATCCAGAAATGGCAACCTGGAGCCCCACTGACCACTTAACTGCTCCATCAGCTTGGGAGCTTTTTCTGAGATGCTTGCGGGGTATGATAGCATCTTTTGTCGTCTGAGCATCTTTATCAAGATGCTGACGGATCTGCCTGCCTTTGATCAGTTGTGCTTCAAGGAAAGCTCAACAGTCCTCTGATTCTTTAATATTTTCCAGCCCAGATAGATGTTAACCAAAGGATCTCACAATGGTCATCTCCTTGCAAGAGCAAGGAAGCATAGGAGAATCAGATGCACCACAAGAGCATCTTGGAGGGGATGGCTTTCATAGAATCATGGAGTTGGAAGAGACCACAAGGGCCATCGAGTCCAACCCCCTGCCAAGCAGGAAACACCATCAGAGCACTCCTGACATATGGTTGTCAAGCCTCTGCTTAAAGACCTCCAAAGAAGGAGACTCCACCACACTCCTTGGCAGCAAATTCCACTGTCGAACAGCTCTTACTGTCAGGAAGTTCTTCCTAATGTTTAGTGGAATCTTCTTTCTTGTAGTTTGGATCCATTGCTCCGTGTCCGCTTATGTGGAGCAGCAGAAAACAACCTTTTCCCCTCCTCTATGTGACATCCTTTTATATATTTGAACATGGCTATCATATCACCCCTTAACCTCCTCTTCTCCAGGCTAAACATGCCCAGCTCCCTTAGCCGTTCCTCATAAGGCATCGTTTCCAGGCCTTTGACCATTTTGGTTGCCCTCCTCTGGACACGTTCCAGTTTGTCAGTGTCCTTCTTGAACTGTGGTGCCCAGAACTGGACACAGTACTCCAGGTGAGGTCTGACCAGAGCAGAATACAGTGGCACTATTACTTCCCTTGATCTAGATACTATACTTCTATTGATGCAGCCCAGAATTGCATTGGCTTTTTTAGCTGCCGCATCACACTGTTGGCTCATGTCAAGTTTGTGGTCAACCAAGACTCCTAGATCCTTTTCACATGTACTGCTCTCAAGCCAGGTGTCACCCATCTTGTATTTGTGCCTCTCATTTTTTTTTGCCCAAGTGCAATACTTTACATTTCTCCCTGTTAAAATTCATCTTGTTTGTTTTGGCCCAGTTCTCTAATCTGTCAAGGTCGTTTTGAAGTGTGATCCTGTCCTCTGGGGTGTTAGCCACCCCTCCCAGTTTGGTGTCATCTGCAAATTTGATCAGGATGCCCTTGAGTCCATCATCCAAGTCGTTGATAAAGATGTTGAATAAGACCGGGCCCAAGACAGAACCCTGTGGCACCCCACTAGTCACTCTTCTCCAGGATGAAGAGGAAAGAGGGCTAGACAATTGCATGGAGGAGAGGCCTATCAAAGGCAACTAGCTGTGATAGCTATGCTCAGCCTCCCCTGTTGGAGGGAGCAATGCTTCTGAAAAGCACTTCCTGGAAGCCACAGACTCCTCAAACGTGTTTCACAAGAACCCCTTGCTTCCTTTTCTCCAGTACCTGAGGGTTGTCACATCTCTCCAGGGATTTGGCCAGAACAAAGTATATGTTGGGGAAAGGCTCCCTCCCTGCAAAGAAAATGGAGCAATCACCAGATGCCTGGCTCCCAGCCATGCTAGCACCAGTCTGGCGCATGAGGGTGGGAGACATGAGAAGGAAGCATTCCTATCCTATAGGTCACTCAATTGGCATTTCCACCTACCTGAACTCTAAGCCATGGGTAAGCAAACTAAAGCCCGGGGGCTGGATCCGGCCCAGTAGCCTTCTAAATCCGGCCTACGGACGGTCCGGGAATCAGTGTGTTTTTACATGAGTAGAATGTGTCCTTTTATTTAAAACGCATCTCTGGGATATTTGTGGGGCATAGGAATTTGTTCATCCCCCCCCCCCAAATATAGTCCGGCCCCCTTGAGGGACAGTGGACCGGCCCCCTGCTGAAAAAGTTTGCTGAGCCCTGCTCTAAGCCTCTCCCCCCCCCCCCCCCGTTCTGGACTCTCTCTCTCTTAAGGAAGATGCAAGCTCTTGCTGGAAGCCACTGGTGGGGAGAGTGTTCTTATGATTCCCAAATGTTTCAGAAGCATCTTTTTGTTCCTTTAGCTGCTTGATACAGCCATAGAGTTGGAAGGGATCCCAGGGGTCATCTAGTCCACCCCCGGCAATGCAAGGATCCTGCTCACAGCCAGCCCTGGATGGGCTCCAAACTCCAGCCTTCTGGTTACCATTGCAATTCTGCATGGTGTGGAGAAAGGGGAGAGAGAAATGTTTGCTTACACTCTCATAATGCTGATATGAGATCCACACAATGCAGCCCTTTCAATAACTAAAGTCTAAAGGGCTGTCACATGGAGGATGGGCCAAGCTTGTTTTCACCTGATCCAGAGGCCCTTATGGCCTGAAACACCTTCCTTGGAGGTGTTTAAGCAATGCTTGGATGGCCATCGGCCATGGATCATTAGTTTAGATCCCTGCATTTCAGCGGGTTGGACTAGATGACCCTCGGGATCCCTTCCAACTCTACAATTCTATGATGCTATGTTTTAAAGAGCATCCAATGCGCCTTTAATGCACATGACTTCCCCGGAAATGATTTGTGCCATTGTGGTTTCCCTCTCACAGACCTACAATCCCCAGAACCCCTAACAAACTACAATTCCCAGGATCATTTGGGGGAAGACATCTGGTTATTAGAACAGGGGTGAAGAACCTGCAGTTTTGTTGTTGTCATTTAGTCGTGTCCGACTCTTCGTGACCCCATGGACCAGAGCATGCCAGGCACTCCTGTCTTCCACTGCCTCCCGCAGTTTGGTCAAACTCATGTTCGTAGCTTTGATAACACTGTCCAACCATCTCGTCCTCTGTCGTCCCCTTCTCCTTGCACCCTCCATCTTTCCCATTATCAGGGTCTTTTCCAGGGAGTCTTCTCTTCTCATGAGGTGGCCAAAGTATTGGAGCCTCAGCTTCACGATCTGTCCTTCCAGGGAGTCCTGCAGTTTGCTTACCCCCATTTCCTAGGAACCAGGAATGGGAAGCTCAAGTTCTTCTAACAGTGTGGTTACAGGGAGCAGTGTGTATAAAATATTGAATGTAATAGGGTTATTAAGGTAATTGTATCAGAATTACAGTTTTATGGGAATGTTAAGGAGGGAGGGGGAAAGAGAGAGTGTGGAATTCTGGTGGTGAGTGATGGATGAGGATTTGAAAGGGAGTTTGAATGCGAGGCAGTTGAGAGGCAGTTGAGAGCAGTGGGTTCTGGAGGGGATGGTTGAGCAACTAACTATTCAGTTTAGGATCAGGAGTCTAGTCGTCATTTTTGTAATAAAGCAACATATAAGATAAACAGAATTTGAGGCCATAAGCTCAGGTACACACACCATCCTACAATCATTTAGTGAATCATCCATACGGTCTCCTTTAGTGAGGGTGCAGTACCTAGGATCTGGACCAAACATTGATATTTTTTGCTCTTTCCTATTTTCATAGGTTTATGTTCTGGTTCTAATGATGTAATAGGGGTGGGGGCTCTTTAAATACTGGGGGCTGCCGCACACTCTTTTTCTTTAAAATAATTCCCCCTCTTTTCAAAAGCACACGCATTGTCTCTTTCTTCAGGTTCTTCAGTTACATTTGTTGTGAGACGTTGGTGTTATATGCAATATATGGTTGGGAAGAAAAGAGTGGGGCAGTGCCGGATTTATGTATAGGCTAAGTAGGCTGAAGCCTAGGGCCTCTAAATCTAGGGGGCCTCCCCAGCCGGACCACCCCTCAGCGGGCAATCTCCCCTCTCCCAAAATTATGTGAGGCCAGGGCAACTTGGGCCCAGCAATTATGAGACTCAGGGCAACCAGTGGGGTCCAATTTGAAACTCTAGTGCCCAAATTGAAAAATTTCTGTGGGGCCCTAGTTCACAGCCAAAATCTGCAGAATCTTAGAGATATAAATCCGTGTGCTAGGTCACTTTCACAATGTCAGCAAAGCCCTACAGAAATCAGACCTGTTATTGAGTTATTGTACAAGCTTGTACAGTTCATGTCTGGATTTTTAAAGGAAAATTAATAATAATAATAATAATAATTAATAATTTTTATTTATACCCCGCCCTCCCCAGCCAAGGCCGGGCTCAGAGCGGCTTACAAGCAATAATAAAAACAAGTTGAATGATTACAACTTTAAAACAAAATTAAAATACAACATTAAAATATTGAAACATTAAAATATTAAAATGTAGCCTCATCGCAGGAGGAGAAGGAAAAGAAAAAAGAAAGAGAGGGAGGGAGGGAATCAAATTGACTCCAAGCCAAAGGCCAGGCGGAACAACTCTGTCTTACAGGCCCTGCGGAAAGAAATCAGATCCTGCAGGGCCCTGGTCTCATGAGGCAGAGCGTTCCACCAGGCCGGAGCCAGTGTTGAAAAGGCCCTGGCTCTGGTTGAAGCCAATCTAACTTCCTTAGGGCCCGGGACCACTAGGGTGTTGCTATTTATGGACCTTGAGGCTCTCCGTGGGGCATACCAGGAGAGGCGGTCCCGTAGGTACGAGGGTCCTAGGCTGTGAAGGGCTTTAAAGGTCAAAAGCAGCACCTTAAATCTGACCCTGTACTCCACTGGGAGCCAGTGCAACTTGAAAAGCACTGGGTGAATATGCTCCCATGGCAGAGACCCCGTGAGGAGCCTCGCTGCAGCATTCTGTACCCGCTGGAGTTTCTGGGACAGCTTCAAGTGCAGCCCCGCGTAGAGCGAATTACAGTAGTCAAGCCTGGAGATGACCGTTGCATGGATCACTGTGGCCAGGTCGGGGCGGGAAAGGTAAGGGACCAACTGCTTGATGCGGCGAAGGTGGAAAAATGTCGCCTTGGCTATTGCTGTAACTTGCGCCTCCATGGAAAGGGAGGTGTCAAGGATTACACCCAAACTCTTAACGGAAGGCAATGGCACTAATTGGGCCCCCACAAGAGAAGGGAGTTGGTCCCTCATCCCCATGCCATCCCGACCTAGCCATAGGACCTCTGTCTTTGAAGGATTTAGTTTTAATCGGCTCCCACGAAACCATCCAGCCACAGCTTCCAAGCATCTGGTCAGTGTGTTCAGGGCCGAGTCGGTGTGGCCATCCATCAGCAGATAGAGCTGAGTGTCATCAGCATATTGGTGACAGCCCAGCCCAAAGCTCCGGATAATCTGGGCAAGGGGGCACATAAAGATGTTAAAAAGCATCGGGGAGAGAATTGCACCCTGCGGCACTCCACACACCAAGGAGTGGCGCGACAACATTTCCCTCCCTAGTGCCACCCTCTGTCCCCGACCAGAGATAAAAGAGCACAACCAGTTACGGGCTATGCCCTGTATCCCCACATCTGCGAGGCGGTGGTCCAGAAGATCATGATCAACCATGTCAAAGGCTGCTGACAAATCTAAAAGGATCAGCAGTCTTGACCCGCCTCGATCCAGTTGTCTACGGAGATCATCTGTTAGGGCAACCAGAGCCGTTTCGGTCCCAAAACCAGGACGGAAACCGGACTGAAATGGATCTAAAGCCGATGTTTCCTCCAGAAACCTACCAAGCTGTTCAGCAACCGCTCTCTCAATTACCTTACCCAGGTATGGAAGATTTGAAACTGGGCGGTAATTGGATAGGTCTAAGGGATCTAATGAAGTTTTCTTTCAGAGTGAACACACCACTGCTTCCTTCAGTTCCCCTGGGAATGTCCCCGTGTCAAGGGACAAATTGATAATTTCAACCAGGGGGGTCCGCGCAACATCTGGACACTCCCTAATCAGCCAAGACGGGCATGGATCAAGGAGGCAGGTGGTGGGCCTACCAACTTGGAGGAATCTATCCACATCAGTAGGGAGTATCCGACCGAAATGGTCCAACACTGGACCTGAAGTTAGTCGAGGGGCCTCCAGTTCAGTCACTGTATCTAAATTGGCAGGGAGGTCATGGCGGAGCAACAGGACTTTCTCCGCAAAAAAGCTCGCGAATGCCTCACAGCTGTGGGTCGAATTTGTGCTTAAATTTGGTTGTCCTCCTAAGGACGTTATTGATCTAATTATTCTAAAAAGTTGTGCCGGGCGAGAGCTAGCGGATGCAATGGAAGCTGCAAAGTAAGATTTCTTAGCAGCTTTCATAGCCATCTCATAGGCTTTCATAAGCGTCCTATAAGATGTTCTTGAGGCTCCGTCACGAGTCCGTCGCCATACTCGCTCTAGCTGTCTGAGATCCCGCTTCATTTTCGGGAGCTCCTCAGTAAACCAAGGCGCCTGGTTTCGACGGAGTCGCAGAGGGCGCTTAGGCGCGATCTCATCAATGGCTGCCAAGAGCCGGTTATTCCAGTCCTCAACAAGGTCATCTAATGAGTCGCCAGGAGGAGCAGGGTTCTGCAAGGCTTGTCGGAATCTATCAGGATCCATCAGTTTTCGTGGACGAGCCCAAATAGGTTCGCCACCCGAGCAGGGGAGGAGCAGGAAGTCAATCTTGGCTTTCAGAGCGTAGTGATCAGACCATGGCACTTCCACAGGGGGGAGCATGATCACATCTATGCCAGCCCCAAAGATCAGATCCAGCGTGTGGCCTGCTTGATGAGTGGGGCTCAAAACAAACTGGGAGAGCCCTAGTGTTGCCATGGAAGTCACTAGGTCCAGAGCCTGTGAGGAGGCGGTGGCATCGGCATGGACGTTGAAGTCTCCCAAAACCAGTAGGCTTGGGAACTCCAAGGCCCAGCCTGCCACCACCTCCAGCAGGTCTGACAGGGTGGCTGCCGGTGTGCTGGATGGTCGGTACACCAGCCAGACAGCCAAGCTCTCCTTGGTGCCCCACACGAGACCAACACATTCAATGCCGGAGATCACTGGTGCTGGCAGAGCTCTGAAAGAGCAATCCTCTGGGATTAACAACGCTCCCCCCCCCCCTGACCCACAGTCCGCGATTGATGGAGGACAGAGAAGCCTGGGGGTGTTATCTCATGTAGGGAGACTACTTCGCCTTCCCGTGCCCAGGTCTCCGTCACGCAAGCCAGGTCAATCCCCTGCGAGACAAAAAAGTCACGCATGGTGGCGGTTTTGTTGCCTATGGACCTGGCATTGCACAGCACCAATGACGGAGGTGGGTAATTAGAGAAGATTTTGATAAGCTTGAGAAATGAGCAAAAGCCACCTTGCCAAATGTTAACTACAAAACAAGGAGACAAAGAGTGAGGGAACGGCAAAGAAATGACAGAAGTGCACCTGATGCCTTAGATGCACTTTCTTCACGAGATAAGTTTAGGATAAATCCTTTATTCCTATATTAGATGCACTTGAAGCCAATTTAAAAAGAAGTACTGTGTACCATCATCCTTGGCTTCACTCAATTTTGTTTATAACACTTCCATTTTCTTCTAGTTGTGAGGGTGGGGGTTTGGGAGAGGCCTCACAAGTGGAGCAGGCTAGGGTCTCTCTTCCTCTAAATCCGGCCCTGGGGCGAGGTTAACATTTACCACATCTTGGGATGTGGCTTGTTGTTGTTATTATTATTTTTAAAAGTTTATATTTTAATTTTAAAACACTTTGTAGCTCCAAACATTTTTAATCCACCAAGGTAACTTTTGGGACATTTTTTTTGTTAGAAGTTTTTTAGAAGGTGACATGAATTTTAATTTGTTTTAGTTTATTTTATTGCTGTTCTAACATTCGGTATGTTTTAGATAATTGTTTGTATATTTTCTAGTGGTGATTATATTGTTTTACCTTCCTTTGTAAACCACTTAGAGGCTTTCCCCCCTTACAATCAAATGGTATGTACATTTCATGAATAAATAAGAGTAAAATAGTGATACAAGATATAGTCATACCTTGGATTACAGACGCTTCAGGTTGCGTTTTTTCAGACCCGTCGAAACCCGGAAGTACCAAAACGGGTTACTTCCGGGTTTTGGGGGTTGTACATGCGCAGAAGCGCTAAATCGCGCTTGCGCAGAAGCGTCAAATCACAACCCGCACATGCGCACAAGCGCCGCTGTGGGTTGTGAACACTGCGGGTTGTAAACATGCATCCTGCATGGATCACGTTCGCAACCCGAGCATCCACTGTAATAAATGTAAGCAAATGACTAGCCACTCTGAAACTTCACATTATTATAAACAAGAATATCACAGATTTTAATTGGTGTTTTTAAAAAGAGCAAATTTTGGTGCTGAATTAATAAGCCTGGATAGCGTGTTAATGTACAGTGGTACCTCGTGTTATGGACGGGATCCATTCCGGAGGCCTGTCTGTAATGTGAAATGCCCGTAACTCGAAGTGCTGTGTCTGTGCAGGCGTGTAGCACGATTTGGGGCTTCTGCGTATGTGTGAAGCGCAATTCAGCACTTCTGCGCAGGTGTGAGCGGTGAAACCCAGAAGTAACCCATTCCAGTACTTCCAGGTTGCCAGGGGACGTAACGCGAAAAGACGCAACATGAAGCAGACGCAACACGAGGTATGACTGTACTCTGGATACCATTACAGAAAGGGGTCTTGTTTCTTGTTCTTTCTTACCTTTTCTTTTGAATCAGTAATCCCTTGAGTGGATTTTGGTAAAGAAGCAGATACCCACGTATTAAACTACTTGGGGTTGTAATGGTTATTTTTTTTAAAAAAAAAGCCTTTCAACTAACTTATTTTTCCCCTTCAAAACAGTGAGCAGATCTCTTTATGTGTTTCCATCCTGGAGCGGTTACTGCAGATCATGGATCCCTTGTATGTAATCCAAAACTTTGGTGAAGAACTTCAGAAAGGGCTCTTCCATCCAGATAATTCAGTCAAAATTCTAACAATTGCTCAGGTATGCTTGATTACTTGTCTGTTAAAATGACATTTTTGGAGATCTTTATCAAGAAGGAGGAGATTTCTTATTTATAATGTACATATACATTAGGGCTCTGCACAGGATTTGGCGAGTCCTAAGCCAAATCAGGCAAATTTGGAAGGCTCTGGATAGGTTGGGACACATCCATGGATTGCTGAGTTGGGTTTAATGACCCTGAGCAACCTGTGACTTTCAGAGGACATCAGCCAAGAGGAAGAACCAGGCTAGGAGCGCAAATCTTAATGACTCCTTAAAATTTGTATGGCTGGTGTTTGGATCATGAATGAAATAGATTTATATTTGCTAAGCTTGCATAGGAATAAAGTAGTTCTCAGGATAAACCATTCTGTGGATGTTGTTTTTAGATGATCCACACACTTGTTGCAGAAGCTATCATTGGGTGATACAGATTTTTTAAAGTGCTCCACGTAGTTTTTTTTTTGGGGGGGCAGCTTTAATTTTTTTCAATCCAATCATTGGATTAGCAAAAGCAGTTTGGGGCATTGGCATTGTGAGCCCTGCTCCTAGGCCTCTTCACATCGAGGGAGTGGATAAAACTTTCCTCTGTCTGCATATCACTCTCCTTAAAAAACCCCCAACAACAACAAAGTGTGAGGAGCAAATGTATAACCCTTCCCTTCAGTTTATTTTTATTCACTAGTTCCTTAAAATGATACAGCTCTTTTTTTTTTAATGATTTTTATTAAGATTTCAGTAAAAGATTAAACAGAAAAACATAGAAGTACACAAATACACAGTACATAATCCAGAGAAGAATAAAAAACATAGAAAACAATAAATAAATAAATAAATAAATAAAAACCAGAACAATTAAAAACAATATCACCTTTTCATTTCCGTTTTTAAATTTACTTATTTTCTGAACCTCCTCATACCTCCCTCTTTTGTATTCCAGTCCAAATTGTTTGTCCAGCAATTTCTTTTCCACTTTTTTAATCCCAATCTTTAATCTTTAAAATGATATAGCTCTTCAACATTTTCTTTGTTTAAAAAGGCTGGTAGTGGGGAGTGGGAATGGAATGAACCTTTATTTAACTATTTAAACTTGTGCACTGAGTAGTTGTTGGAAACTGCCTAATGCCTTTAAACACCATGTTGAATCTGTAGGTTGGAAAGATAGTTGAAGATTCCAGTGCTGCTAGAGAAATCCTCAACACTCCTGAGTTGCTGAGGCAGGTCATTTATTGCATTGCTGATGAGAAACTAGCAGTGGCAAAAGAGGTAAGAGCTTTAAACTGGAGCCAGTTTAACAGCAGCTGGCTACAGAGCCTTCAGCATAATCATCAAGTGGGTGAGGTTCCTCTGATGTCAGCGCAAAACTGAGCCTTCAGCATTATTGGCCCAGCCATGGGTGGGCAGTGCTCTTACATTAGAGCTTTGCCAGCTGTTTCTGTAGGAATATTTAAATGCATGCTGAAGGCTTTTTGCGCTGTCAGACTTACGCAGATAATTAAGGGGGAATGTAATAATTAGCTGGTGATCTGTGGTTTTAATTTTGTGTGTTTTTTGTAAAACTGGTCTAACTTTGTGTCTAATTCTGCTGTCTATTTTTCTCCGGTTCACATAGCTATTCCCCTTTGTTTTCTAGGCCATCATGTCGCTGACAAAGGTAGCAAAAACTGCAGAGAGCTTGGAGGCACTGCTTGCGGGCAACTTGCTAGTTGACTTGAAAAATGTCATGACCAGGAGTGACATTGTTCGTTGCCGTGTGTATGAGGTAAGCATCCCTTTCCCCATAGTGTTCTAGCTTCCCCTTTAATTCTAATTCATTGGGTGGGGAACCTCTGGCAGTTTTTGCCAGCCATGCCAACTTGTCACTTGCCTGACAGCATGTGACATCAGATGTGGAATATTCACAGCTGCCAAGAAAAGATTGGGAATGCAATTAGCTCAGTGTTTCTCAAACTTGGGTCTCCAGATGTTGTTGGACTACAGCTCCCATAATCCCTGACCACTGGTCCTGCTAGCTAGGGATGGTTGAAGTAGTAGACAAACAACAGTGGGGATCCAAGTTTGAGAAACACTGAATTAGCCGCTTAGGAGATTCCCAAGGGCAAGATAGATAGGCATTTAGCCCTTGCCCTTGACCTAAGATTCCCTGCCCCTCAAATATAGAAGAAGTGCAAATTGGACTAATAGCATTAAAGTTCACAAGTTTCTGTGTAGTATTGCTTAGAATCACCTGGGTGAGTCTCTGGACCGATCTGGTTTTACATTAACACATGGCTAAACTGGGTACAGTCTTCCTCAATTTCCCTGGAGGTTTAAGTGAGTTAGTTATCTTACCTACAGTTATTTTTTATTATCATAACACTGGCAGCTCTCCCATCCTATTCATTCCCATGGGAACATGATTGTCTTAAAGCTTATATTGGGTTCATGTTGTCTTGCCTCCATTCCTAATTGCATCTTCCTTCCTCAAATGGGAGACACTCATTGTCAATAGCTTGTGCCCTGATACATGTTGCTAATAGTCCCATTGGCAGTTGCTCTAAATAATGTGATCTGAGCAGGTCATGATGCTCTTTTACTGCCTATAGGGTATGGTTGTACCCTGAACAGTTTGATCCTCAACTGGAGTTATGAGCATTGACTTGGTCCATGGTACCAGGCATGTACTAGGCATGTACAAGACAGTAAGGTAAAGGTACCCCTGCCCATACGGGCCAGTCTTGACAGACTCTAGGGTTGTGCGCTCATCTCACTCTAGAGGCCGGGAGCCAGCGCTGTCCGCAGACACTTCCGGGTCATGTGGCCAGTGTGACGACGCTGCTCCGGCGAACTGGCACCAGAGCAGCACACAGAAACGCCGTTTACCTTCCCGCTGTAAAGCGGTACCTATTTATCTACTTGCACTTAAGGGTGCTTTCGAACTGCTAGGTGGGCAGGAGCTGGGACCGAACGATGGGAGCTCGCCCCGCCGCGGGGATTAGAACTGCCGACCATGCAATCGGCAAGTCCTAGGCGCTGAGGTTTTACCCACAGCGCCACCCGCGTCCTGTACAAGACAGTAGTCTGCCTCAAAATGCCTGCATCCCGCCTTTCTGCCTCACAATGTGGCACAAAAGGTGACTCTCAGAAGATCCTGCAGTAAAATATAAGCAAAAGATATGGATGGATGAATCCAGTCTCTGTTCTGTTCTGTTCTGTTCTGTTCTGTTCTGTTCTGTTCTATGCACTCTGTTCTGTGTCACTTTTCTATGCAGTCAATCTTAAGTCCGTTCCTTCCTATCTCTGCACTAATATGTGACCTTTATTATGGAAAATCCACATGAAAATCCTACAAGGTATTCTGAAAGCTGCTATTAAGATCCCACCCCCCTCGGTCCTTTTAGTGTGCTGGTGCAGCCACCACCACCTGAAGGGGATCACACTGAGATTACATGCCCCCTCTTTATGAATATGATTGTGTGTGTAAATGTTGCTGTATCCACTTGTGCTGTATTGTTTTTAAATGCAGTGTTCTGTAAAATAAACCACAATAGGCCAATGCTTGTTATTGTTAATCCTTTAATGTGAAGTTATGATGCTATGAAATAAAACACATTTATATAGGTAAATAAACAATGGGGCTACAGATGCCCCTTGGAGCAATTGGACGCTATGGGGAACATTGTTCCAGGGTGTGGAGGTGGCAGTGGCCTCCTCATAGGCCCATGATATATTGGTCATGATATATGATGTTGATTCCTTTTAAGTCCTGTTGCAGCCACCACAAGGCTTGTAGCTATGACTTGAACGTTGCTACAGCCTCATTCAGTGAGTGAAGTTATAAGTGGAGCAAGCACAATTTCATGCATGAATGTCATATAGTGTGTATTTGTTGTAGGTGTTCTGTTTTTTTAAAAAGAAATAAATCTCAGTGTCCTTTTCTCCTGTGCTTCTGTCTTAGTTGGTTATCAATATCTCCTTGGTGTCGGCAGATTCATTGAATTACTGTGTGAACAGCGGATTAATATCAGACCTGATCGGGGAGCTGACGGGGAATGATGTGCTTCTCAGGTGTGTGGCAGAAGCAGTCATGGGCACTCATTAGATTGTTTCATATTATTTATGGATTTGGGAGTAGTTCTGCTTCTATTGAGTTAGTAGAAGGTTTTATTTCTTGGCATGCCAGAGTTTTGAGAGTTGTGCACATTTCTGCATGTACCTAACCCCTGCATTCTTTGCCTCTTGCTTGTCTCTGCCCTGATTCATACATTCATACTTTGGATACAAAAGCTGAGGCTGCTGAAGTGGCTGGAAGCTGTGAATCCTGGAAGACCTGCTATCTGTCTTGCAGGCCTTTTTTCCACTTGGTCTGGGAGGGTGGGGCCCTGACTGACTGACTCCAGCTACAAAAGCTGATACTGCTGAACAGACTCTAGAGCGGGGGTATTGTTGCTGTTACTGATACTAAATTTTGTATCTTTACTTTAGATAGTTTGATTTCACTGTGTACACTTTAATATTTATTGTTTAAGGCTATTTTTTTGTAATATTTTTTATTCTTGTAAGCCGCTTTGAGCATGGTTTCAACTTAGGAAATGTGGCATACAAATAAAATGATTGATTGATCCAGTGCTTACGTGCTAGAGGAGCAAGAAAGTAGCCCTCCCTTCTTACCACGCAGCTCAAAATATCTCAGCACAATAGTGCCTAATCATGCAGGGGCTTTCTTTGCACAGTTTTTCTTCCTCTCGCCATACAATCAGAAACTCAGGGTGGCTAAGAACCAATTGATAAACTATCACAAAAAACCCATCATTAAAACCACAAAGTCATAACAGTGATTCAGCAGTGAATAATACCAGTAAAACTGCTCATAAAACTAGTTTTACCTCATTATTACAAATGCATGGCTAGTATAAAAATACACAGTGCCTCCCTTCCACCTCCTACTTCTCAGACATGTCCTGTCTCAAACAGCAGAGGCTTCAGAGATGAGATGGCACAGTCCACTCAATTTGTTAGACTGAGAGCAGCTGCACTTGGGCTTCTTGCCTTGAGCTGTCAGCTTAGTAGCTATTTTACCAGGTTGCTATTTAACTGGGAGGCTTTATATCTGAATATGCTTATAATTTTGTCTTCTTCTTTCCTTTTATACTCTGTCCTGGTTTGTAAGCCTGAGGGCAGGGCCTGTGCCACTTAAAACAAAAACAGAAAACTTTGGCACAGTACCTAGAAAGAGTTACCAGTTAATTAAGTAGTATTCTCCTCCAGGAATTACTCAATGATGGACTGTTTTGAGGATGAAAGGAATCATAAACAATACATCTGCATGTTCTGTCTATGTTGCAGAGCTACGTGTATAGAGATGGTAACCTCTCTTGCCCATGTTTACCACGGACGCCAATATCTCGCCCAACAAGGAATCATTGATAAGATTTCCAACATAATCATCGGGGCTGATTCTGATCCCTTCTCAAGCTTCTACTTGCCAGGTGATTTAAAAAGTTTTCCTTCTTGGCATGATTTTACTTTGGTAATTTTTTTAAAAAAATTCACTATTTAGTTCAGGGACAAGCAGCCTCTGGCCCATGAGCCAGATTCGATCTCCTAGGCCTCCCTGTTTGGCCTTCCAGGCCGTTTTCCCCAAACTGTGCCTACCTGCCCCCCACCGAACAACAGCAGGTAGAGACATGGCTAGAGCTGCCCAGAGGAAAGGAGGTTTGAGTTTAACCCTGGTGACTTTGAGATAAAATGCATTGGGAGAATAGTAGGCCTTGGACCCTGAGTTGCCCACCCCCAATCCTAGACTTAAGTTTACTCTGACAGGTGACATTGTACTAAAAACATATCTGCTTGGCATGTAAAACAAAACCTCCCGGCCTTGACCATCTGGTCCTTTTTGTTTTTGGTAGGCTTTCTCTTCACTACATACATTGCTTGTGCACAATGTCCCAGTCTGTCTTTATTTTTCTTTCCAGATGCTATGTTCCATGTATGGTGTGACGAAACTCCCGTTGTTTTATTTTCTGGTTTTTTCAGGCTTTGTGAAATTTTTTGGCAACTTGGCTATTGTTGACAGTCCTCAGCACTTATGTGAGCGATACCCCGCATTTGTGGAGAAAGTATTCAGCATGGCAGAAAGCCAAGATCCAACCATGTTTGGCGTGGCAGTGGACACACTTGGGATCTTGGGGTCAACTGTGGAAGGGAAGCTAGTGTTACAGAAGAAGGGTCTGTACAACATTTGTGTGTATGTGTAGCTATAATCATATCAGTCTGAAGAGTTTGTCACAGGAATGTAGGAAGGCTATAAATGTACCCTGCATATTTCTAAACTTCAGTTTGAAAGGAGGTTTGATTGGAAGTGGGAAAATGATTCATCTCAAGTACAAGGGTTGCTAATGAATCTAATAGTCTCTGGAGGGAGGGATAGGGAATCTGTCAGCCTCCATGTGTTGCTGGCATTGGCCATGCTGGCTGGGACACATGGCGGGCAGAACCTTCTTCAGTGCTGCTGTTACCATGGCATAAGCAGCTAGGCTAGGGAGGGAGAGTCAAAACATTGTTTAAAACTTGGTTTTAAGATCTGGAGCCACTTTATTGACAAATTGTGGTTAGAGATTTTCTGGTTTTAGTTGTGACTCAAGCAACAGATCCATGTCCACAGGCAAAAATGATTGTTAATTCAAGATATTACTCTCCAAAGCAGGTATTGTCTAATACTGGGCTTGATGGAGATATAGTCTGGTCTCTGTATAAGGCAACTTCCTATGTAATGGAAAGCTTAAAAAAAGTTTGTCTTCCCAGGGAGTAGATTTCATCATGTGCTAAACAGAATAGGACATCAAGCAAAGAATGCCCCGACAGAGATGAGAGTCCGGTGTCTTGAGGCAATTTCATCTCTTTTGTATCTGCAGGTAAGTTTTATGGAATTGGAAACATTCCGTTTCTTGTGAAAAATGGAGCATTAAAGGTTTGAATCAGCCCTTGGAAGAAAGCAATAACAATTGGGTAGCTTTCTGCTTCTGTGATATCCACTAGTGATGAGTTAAAGCAACTCACATTTTTTCTGACTTGTTTGTCAGCCTTTCAGACTTATCAAAAGTATGAACAAAAAAGTGCTTTGAGAGTTTATTGAACGTTATGGTTCTGTATAATACCTTTAATAGATAAATAAACAGTTAAAGGAAAAAAATGTTGTGTTTCCACTCAACTTCAAACATTTGTGCACAGAACAAATCAGTGTCTGAAATGTGCATTTACAGACTTGCTTAAAAGCAGAATGTGACTATGCTGCCTTTGTTATAAAGGTTTGCATGCATGGAAGTTTTGCACACTTCATGTGTGTAGGTGGAGTAAATTGTAGGATGGCTTGAGGGTGATGTGTTCCTCTGACCTAGGCACAGCCAACGTGGTGCCTTCCAGATATTGGACTACAACTCCCATCATCCCATCCACGCTTTTGGCCATGGTCTGATGAGAATTGAGTCCTACAACATCTGGAGGGTACCACGTTGACCATCCTTATTCTGTCCCTCAAGACAGTAAATTATCAGCTTCATTTGCAAACTTATTTGCTATATTTTGCATACAGCCAGACCAGCAGACAGAAGACCACCTGGGCATGACAGAATCCTGGTTCTCCTCTCTGTCCAGCCAGCCCTTGGAACTCTTCAGGAGCATCAGTACCCAGCCCTTCCCTGATCTCCACTGTGGTGCTTTAAAGGTCTTCACTGTAAGTGCTTTTTCACAACAGAGACCTGTCTGATTGATTGATTGATTGAATGAATGTATCTAATAGTCCTTTTGAGAGAGCTTGGAAACCACAGCACTATCCAAGCCCATTGTTTGAGTTGTCTAGTCCTTGCAGATTTAATGAAATCCTGTATGGGACACCAGACTTTGAGGAATCTGGAGCTCTGCTCAGACTGTACCTTTCAACTGATTTAACTGTGAGATAAAAACAGAGCTGAAACTGAATGAACTGGCATTAAGTAAATGGGCTGTGGGAGAAAGTCTTGTGTCTGCCGTAGGCATGCAGGTTGCCTTCAGTGACAAGGGGGGGAAACTGGTGGCCATCCAGATGCTGTTGGACTCCCCCCCCCATCATCCCTGGCTATTGGCTATGCTGGCTGAGGCTTAAGGGAACTGGAGTCCAACAACATGTGGAGGGCCACAGGTTTCCTATCCCTGAGCTAAGATCCACCCCAGGATTTCACATGATTAATGCTGGCTACGATTAGGACATCCATCTCTAATTCTTCTTGATTTGTGTTCTGCCCATGGTGAAGGTGAGTTGAAGTCACCCAAGCTCTAGATCAGTGTTCCCCATGAAGTGTGTTGGATGTGTTTCATGTTTTCTGAAGAAAATCAAGAACATTGCTATGATGTATTAAGTTTGTTCTCCTCCAGGCTGAATTGCTGTTGGTGGTTTTCTTTTGCTGCTGCTATATTTTACTTTTAAGTGGTTGTTTTAGTAGGAGCATTCACTGCCCTGGAAATCCAATTTTTGGAACAGAAGGGCAGGAATAATGTCTTAAATCTTTCTCTTTTGTTAATGCTGTAGGCCATTGCTAGTCAACCTTGGGCCCAGAGGATGATGCTCAGTAGTCCAGGCTTTGTGGAATACATCGTAGACAGATCAGTGGAACCAGACAAATCTTCAAAGGAGGCCAAATACGAACTTGTGAAGGCTCTGGCCAATTCAAAGACCATCGCTGAAATCTTTGGAAACCAGCATTACATGAGGCTCAGGGCATACTTGCGCGAAGGGCCTTATTATGTCAAGGCTGTTTCGACCACAGCTGTGGAAGGAGCTGAATAACATTGGAACAGCTGCTCTCTGGTGATAATGGACTTCTGGATAGGATTTCACTTTGGATGTGGAGGGGGGAAAATATCTGAGGAAGGAATTGGTTTGGTCATTTTTTTCCCTGCATTTCTAACTCAGAAATTTCACATAGCTGGGAAATAATGTTGAGGACCACATTAAGGACTATGCCAGTCAAGTTTATCCTTATTTAAGAGTTGATGCTTAGTCAGCAGCTGGCATAGGGCCTACAAATCATGGGATCCTTTTATAAACAGTGGTTTTTCTGCCTTCTGTTAATTTCTCAGTGAGAGATGCATTGTTAACATAGTTGAACACCACAAGGTAGCCAGACTCCTAAAAGTGGTGAAAGCAGTTCAGCGGTGTGTGTGTTTTGCGTCTTTTGGCCTTGATCTTAAATGCTTTGCCTGTACTTCATTGATGCTTCCTCCAGCATATAAATTGCCCCAATTGTTGTTTACAGGAAAGGTGAGCAAACCCATTAAAACATTGGACCTGTGAAGGGCAGAGGGAGAGATCTGGCTGCTACGGGTGTCAAATGGGAAGGTTGCTGGGTTGTTCCAATTCAGATTGTAGTGAGGAATGCTCCCTGACATAAAATAAAGGTTGAATTTTGAGAAGGCTAGACTACGATCTCCTGGCATCCTGGCTCTTACAGGAAATCAGGAGGATTTTCTCCACTGTGTGCAGTGTGAACTGGTACAGCCCAGTAACAAAAATCACATAACTGGAGGTTATTATTATTATTGTTGTTATTATTATTATTACTTCTTTTCCATCTTAAGCTTTTCTACCAAGTGCAGTAGTGTCTTAGACAGGGACACCACCAGAAGGCGTTGGCTTGTGTTCTTAGTTGTTAACAGCAGCTGCAGAGACACAAAAGTTAGTATGACTAAACTTCAAAGGGTAACACTTTCTGCAGAGGGACCAAAGCTTTGAGGTGAAGAGTGATCTGGGTTTATTTTCACCACTACCTTCAGAGGTTGAGCAATTTTTCTCCATCCCATGCTATTTAGAAAAATCAATCCTTCAGGACTTCCTGGGAGGAGCTTATCTAGGTCTGTCACAGCTCTCAGGAGCTTCCGGTAGAGCTCTGAAAGTCACTATTAAGTGGTGTTCAACAGCAGATTTATTTGTTTACAGTCTTATTTCTGCAGTCAGATAACAGGGAATTAATCTCCAGAAACTCTGGAGTGGAATGTCCACCAATGAGGGATAGAGAAATCCTGTTGGGTGAGTGATCTGGGAGTGGGAAAGAATTTCAACACTGGCCCAAGGAGCACTTAAAATGCTGAGATTATTCCAGTGAAAAGACCTTCCATTCCCCCTTTCCTTCTGTTTTTTAACTACCTTTAGCTACATCTATAAATTAATTCAGAAATTACTTACACATCCATTTAAGTGCTCATGCGAAATATGACCTGAAGACTGATTTAAGAGGAGTTATTAGTGAAGGTGCTTGCTAGGAAATAAGCAGAAAGTGTGTTTTGAACTATAAATCGAAATATACACAGACAAGAGATTCTCTCTGAGAGGTTTTCTCTTGGGTTTGTTCTGTGGTTTCTTTGAGCCCCTGCTATGATTTATGTCACTAGAAAGAAAAATGACTTGTGTGGTTATATTAGTACTGTTTTGTGAAAGCTGTTTCACACTGCACAGCCAGGATGGGGAAAACTTAATAGGTTCAATTGTTTGAAGTATGTCTGCCCAATTATGCTTTGTGGCTCGTTTGAAATAAAGAGATTTCGTTGACTATTTTCAGTCTGAACATGAAAATGCTGCTCTTAACATGAAAAAGCGGACCAGGCAAGACTGGAATACATATGAAAACACAGCTGCTCAACTAGTGATTCATCCTGAGAGAGGCGAATTCTTTAAAATTTAAGAGCAACCTTATACAAAGAGTTATAGTTTTAATATAAGAGAACTGATTTGCTCAATTGACCCAGAGGACAATCTACTCTACGGATGATAAACTGATGCCCTCCTAGATGTTGTGTTATAGCTCCCATCATCCCTGTCCATTGACCATGCTGGCTGGAACTAATGGGAGTTAGCCTCCTCGACCTCATCTAGAGGGCTGCACAAGATCCCCATTTCTAATCTTGCTCTGCTTCTGATAAGTCACTTGCCACAATCTTGGATCCCTAGATATCATTGGATTGCAGTTCGCATTCCTCTTGCCCATTGGGGGATACTGGCCTAGGCTGAGGGAGTTGAAGTCCAGCAACATCTGACGACCCAGGGTTGGGAAAGGCTGACTTACCAGATGCCACTGAATTTTGCAAGAAAGTGTAAAAGCAACAACAGCCTCCCCTGTTCTTGATTGACTGTTACCCTAACTTACTTGAAAAGGCTAATAAGTGTTGGATTGGTCTATCCTTTGATCACTGATATTGGAACATGGAAGGGAGGAGAGGTGATGAGCTCCTGACTATTCAGTGTTTGGGTGGGTAAAGTCATCTATACATGTCCAAGGAATACTGTGGGAGCTGGTTGCTGCCACGCCTGGCTGTCACATTACCATCCACACCATGCACGGATGCATCATTTAAAGAACTTGCATCCACTCGTGGAGTGGACTAGTTCACATGACCTTGTGACTCCTGCTCGTGTTCTGTGAGTGTTCATCATCTATACTCTCCTGTTGTATGCATGTTTTAAATGGGAAGTTAAGAATAGAGAAAAACTTACACAAAGCACAAGTAGTCAGTGGAACTCCTTGCAACAGGATGCTGGCCATGGCTCCTAGCATAAATGGTTCAGCAGAGAAAATCCATGGTTAAAATCAAACATTGGAATGTGAGTTTTTTGGGTCAGTTTAATCAGCAAAATGGAGAGCCTCGTTCTGTAAGGCATCAACACTTAGGTGTTTAAATCCATCCAGGTATGTCATGACTTTGCAGGATACCAACCCATAATAAGTTTCTAGTACAGTGCAGCCCTTGCCATTGCTGATCTCGTCCCATTCTTGGAGCAGCTGGGTATCTCTTGCTGTGGAGGAGGTGAAAATGAACTTGTAGCAGCAGCGGTTGTAGCGAATGTGCTTTTTCCCAGAAAATCGAGAACTGTGAGCAGGCACCACACCAGCTGCTTTGCTGCAGAGTCCCACAAAGGCACCAGGAGGCAGTGAAAGAGGAACTTCTCCAGAGGTTACGTAGATCTTCCGAGCCACATCCTGTGAGATGACAAACGCAGTCGCACTGCAGTAATCGGGATAATATTTTTCTGGGTATTTTTGTTGAGAAACAAAGCCATGACTTTGAGGGTCTCTGTTGGGTTTCTCTTGATGAACCAGCCTCCCAAGGTAAATGTCTTCGGGATGGGTTCTTAAGTTGAGCAAGTACTCGACCAAACTTGGGAGGTTGATGAACATCTCCTCATCTGCTTTGAGAATGAACCGGGCCCTGGAGCAGAATGTTACGGCCCACTCCACAGCCATCAGTGTCTTCAATGTCTGGTTCTCTACAGAGTCCAGGAAGGAGCCTTGAATGAGGTCCTGATGCTTCTCCATCTCCTGGACTACCTCCAGCTGGGTGCCTTCTGAAGAGGGCTTCCCTAGCACAAACAAAACGAGAGTACCATATCCCCTGACATGTGTCTGGTTGGCCCATGTTTCTCTAATGGTGTTGCGCCTTGACAAGTTTTCAGGGCTGCCAAAGACTAGGACAAGGAGGAAGATCTCTTGGTTGGAGCAGGCCTCTGATCTGCTAGCTACATAAGCCTTGGAGATATTGGCCTTCAAGGGGGTCATATCCAGCTTCCGTGCTCTCTCCCTGGCTTCGAGGACCTTCATGTCTGTGTAGGTGTTGGGGAGTGCTCGCAAGAAGTATTCTTCCACGAGATCAGCTCCGAAGAACAAAATGTGGAAAAGAACAACATTAAAAAGAATGAAGCACCACTGATGGGTCCTTAGCCGGCAGAAGATTAGCTGCAGGGCAAAAAAGAGAAGAGGTTTAGTGTCTGCTTCCTCTTCAAGAGTGTGTTGTGCAGTGATTCTTCCACAACCATAATAATAATAATAATAATAATAGATTTATTATTTATACCCCGCCCATCTGGCTGGGTTCCCCCAGCCATTCTGGGTGGCTTCCAACAAAATATTAAAAATACATTAAAACATCAGTCATTAAAAACTTCCCTAAACTTCGGATGTTTTCTAGAAGTCTGGTAGTTGTTTATCCCTTTGACATCTGCTAGGAGGGCGTTCCACAGGGTGGGCGCCACTACCGAGAAGGCCCTCTTCCTGGTTCCCTGGAACTTGGCTTCTCACAGCAAGGGAACTGCCAGAAGGCCCTCGGAGCGGGACCTCAGTGTACAGGCAGAACGATGGGGGTGGAGATGCTCCTTCAAGCATACTGGGCCGAGGCCGTTTAGGGCTTTAAAGGTCAGCACCAACACTTTGAATTGTGGTCGGAAACATACTCATACTCAACCAACTCGCATCCTGCAACCGTCATCTGAGGCTCTTCTTCATGTGCGCCCCCCCCCCCCCGTGAGAGGTCCGGAGAGTGATAAAATGAGAATGGGCCTTTTCTATGGTGGCTCCCAACTTCTGGAATCCTCTCCCCTGGGAGGCTTAGCTGTTGTCTTCACTGCACATCTTTAGGTACCAGGCTAAAATGTTCCTCTTCTCCCAGGCCTTTGGCTAATTAAAAAATCTATGGCTTCTTAAACAGTGTGTATTTGTGGTTTTTATTACTGTGTTAAGTATTTTTATATAGTAAACCATCCTGTGATCCTTGGCTGAAGGGTGGTATAGAAAGTTAATTAATAATAATAATAATAATAATAAAAACACCTCCTCTCATAGTTGTATATGGACTACTTCCTTCTTCTGTGATCCTATATGAGTGCCTAAGATTACCAGACACGTTTTATATTTTGCATCATTCTTATTTTCACATGCATACTAAAGCCATGTGCTTTTACCCTCTTTTGGGAGGAGAGTGGTAGGTTTTAAAAACAGATTTTTTTTTTTAAAAAAAACTATTGGGTTTCTTTGTTGTAACAATTTGCCAATACAGTGGTGCCCCGCAAGATGAATGCCTCGCAAGATGGAAAACCCGCTAGACGAAAGGGTTTTCCGTTTTTGAGTTGCTTCGCAGGACGAATTTCCCTATGGGCTTGCTCCGCAAGACGAAAATGTCTTGCAAGTCTTGAGATTTTTTTTCCGCTTTTCGCCCCCTTTATCTAATCTGCTAAGCCTTTAATAGCCTTTAATAGCCTTTTAGCAGCTAATCCGCTAAGCCTTTAAGCCTTTAATAGCCGCTAAACCGCTAATAGCGCTAATCCGTTAAGCCGCTAATAGGGTTGCTTCGCAAGACGAAAAAACCGCTAGACGAAGACTCTCGCGGAACGGATTAATTTCGTCTTGCGAGGCACCACTGTACAGTTATCCAAATTTTATATTTTACAATCCCCATCCTCCCATTGACTTCCCTCATCTTCCCTTTCTGGTTTATGACATCACTTGTTATCTTCTGCATGTTAAATAACTATACATGTTGTTGCGCTGTCTTTCTTCATATTCTACTTAAATAAAGTTGTGAATGTTAGTCTTAGTGTGAATTTATGTTAATATGCACATTTTTGCAAAGCAATCTCCAATATACTGAGTTGTACTCAGTGCTATTTTTCTAGGAAAAAAGTGCTGGAACTCACCGTGAACACCTCCCTTGTTCTCTTAGAATGCCAATGGCACCCACTTGAGAGATGCCGGAACTGAGTTCCAGCTGAGAAAAAAGGCCTGGTTGTAATATGCTATTTCTACTCACTCATGTCCATTACTTTCTATGAGTCTATTCTCAGTTTGGCCCATTAATTTCAATGGGTCTACTCTGAGTATAACTTAGATACAACCCAATGTATTTTTGTATGCAATTTTCACTAATTTATGCATTATCAGGCAATCCTCGTTTTGTGCAGGGGTTCCATTCTGGACTCCTATGCATGTCCAATGGAGTCTGCATAAGCTTCCCCTTATTCAATCCCTTTTCATGACATTTGGGGGCTACACCTCGGTTCGGTGTGCATGTATGTGATCACGCTTAAATGGGGAGTTGCCTGTATATGCATTTTTGTACTTGGCTGGAGAAATATGAATGCCAATAGATGGTTCTGTTTTTGTTCACATACTGTTTCAGAAAGTGAAAATTAGGTAGGTTTGCCTTTAAATGCAAACCAAATCTAATTTCTCCCCCTTTCACTAATCTGCAGTATCATTCCAGAAGCCAGGATGGATGGCCCTGGAAGAAATGATGTGTCCTCAACTCTTGGCCCTACCAATTACAGTAGTTAAAAGTTTTCAGTGCAATCCTGTATCTATACTTAAAAGTAAGCTCTGTTGAGTTAAGTGGTCATATATTCCAATTCAAGCTGATTACAGATTCAAACAGATGTAACCCTAGTATTCACCCTATATATTTAGGGAAGGGGCAAATTCAGACGTGCAGGGTCCCCTTCATGATAGTTACAGCCATGCCCCTTCTAAGATTATACAACTTTTTTTACAATCTTACACAACAACAACAATAATAATTAGGGGTGCAGTGCAACAATCAATGTACATCATGTGTTTGTCTTTCAGCTCAATCTACTATTTTATGTGTACATACATGGGCAAATGACTGGGTGTGCTCCCAATATCTTCTTTCGGAAATTCCATTATATGTGACGGAACGTGCACCCTATTTTCTTGAAATTGAGGTGCCTTGTGTTTTCAGTGTTTCCAGATGCTTAGCTTTGGAACACTCACCCTTTTCTCTTTGTTGGTAGGGTGGCTATAGGACATTGGAGATAGTCTTTAGCGATTTTGCTGCAAAAATAATAACAGACCACCAACCCTGTGCAACTGTGAACCACTGGCTGTAGTTCAGTGGTAGAGCACCTGCCTCACATGTGAGAGCTCCTGGGTCCAGCCTCCAGCACAGGACTTGGAAAGGTCCTTGTCTGAAACCCCTGGAAAGCTACTGCCAGTCAATGTGGATCAGACTTTGCCAACCCTGTGTCCTCCAGATGTTTTATAATTACAACTTCCAGGAGCTACAGTGTGTGTGTGTGTGTGTGTGTGTGTGTGTGTGTGTCTGTGTGTGTGTGTGTGTGTGTGTGTGTGTGTGTAGGACTGATGGGGTTGTATCCCAAGACATCTGGAGGGCAGTGAGTTAGATGGATCCAATGGTCTGACTCAGTATAAGTCAGTTTCTTAGACTGGTATTTTGCGTAGCAGACCTGCCTTCCATATTGCACAGATGTTGAAGTTAATTTCATGTCTTTCTTCACTTATAAAGTGAGGTTTAACGTTTGGAACAGTCTTCATGTATTGACATGGTAGTCCAGGGGGCTGCCGATAAAAATATAGTTCAAGACTTACCTGCATGATGCTTGTAGGTTATGCTTGAATCTTCCAAGCCTTGAAGATCGTGTGCAGTTTTGGATAGATAGGCAGTATTTCTGCACTTGAAGCAGTGTTGGGCATGTAGGTCCAGCTGGATAAAGTTACCTCTGTGTTAACAATCAAGTTCGATTTTCTTTTTTCCATTCAGCTCTGCCCCTGAGCAAAGGACATGTAATTCCAGAGGGTGGTGATTGTATTACAGTGGCATCAAAACGAGCCAATTATCCTTCTGTACTTCATTAATTTCTGACACGAAGAAAAAAGCGGGCAAATGTGATATTAAAATGTATGAATGACACTTTTTCAAACTATAGTGTCATTATTGTTGGAGGTACTTTATAAAAATGAATCTCAAATATGCTTTCTTAGGTAGAATACAAAGGACTTCATTTAAGCAGAACTTCATCTGTAAGTTTTTTTAACAATACATATAAAGTATTTATTTTTGTTAATGGGATTTCTTCAATGAGTCACATAGGACCATAGAATTGTAGAGTTGGAAATGACCACAAGGGTCATGTAGTCCAACCCCCTGCAATACAGGAACAACAGCTAAAGAATCCCTGACAGATGGCTATCCAACTTCAGCTTAAAGATCTCCAATGAAGGAGAGTTGACCACCTTCCAGGGGAGTCCATTCCACTATTGGACAGCTCCTAACATCCTAAAGTTCTTCCTAAGGTTTAGTCGCAGTCTCATTTCTTGTAATTTGAATCCATTGGTTTGAGTACTACACTCTAGAGCCTCAGAAAACGAGCTTGCTCCATCTTCTGTGTGACAGCCCTTCATTTATTTTAAGACGGCTATCCTATGACTTCTCAGTATTCTCTTCTCCAGCTTAAACATACTGAACTCTGTCAACCATTCCTCATGATGCACCTCTAGAACTATGATCAAATATCAAAATACTATAAAGGTAAAGGGTAAAGGGACCCCTGACCATTAGGTCCAGTCGTGACCGACTCTGGTGTTGCAGCGCTCATCTTGCTTTATTGGCCGAGGGAGCCGGCGTACAGCTTCCGGGTCATGTGGCCAGCATGACTAAGCCGCTTCTGGCGAACCAGAGCAGTGCACGGAAACGCCATTTACCTTCCTGCCGGAGCGGTACCTATTTATCTACTTGCACTTTGACGTGCTTTGGAACTGCAAGGTTGGCAGGAGCAGGGACTGAGCAACGGGAGCTCACCCCGTCGCAGGAGTTTGAACTGCCGACCTTCCGATTGGCAAGCCCTAGGCTCTGCGGTTTAGACCACAGTGCCACCCACGTCTTCTTTGTTACCTTAAGGTAAAGGTAAAGGGACCCCTGACCATTAGGTTCAGTCGTAGCTGACTCTGGGGTTGCGGTGCTAATCTCGCTTTATTGGCCGAGGGAGCCGGCATACAGCTTCTACCAGAAATTCCTGCTATGGCTGAACCAGTGCAAATGCATTATATGGGACCAGGAAGACTTGGGTTCAAATCCTCAGTTGGACCATAAAGATTCCTGAATAACCTAGGGGTGAGTGCCGTCTCTGTAGTCTTACCTTGCATTGCAGGATTGTTGTGAGAATAAAGGGGAGAGGGGATATTGTAGTTGCCCTGAGTACCTTGCAGCCAAGATGAAATAAAAATGAAATGCAACCTTATAACATACATAGAAACATTTATTTATTGAACAAAATTAATACATTTTATTAATGTATTTTATTTATTTAATTAGTACAGTCAATTGCAGTAAAACCTCTAAGTGGTTTATAGTGTAGGAATGCTATAGCAGAGGATGCAAGAAAGCTGCCTCATATTGATGTAGGCTAATGGTACATCTAGCTCAATACTGTCTACACTGACTGGCAGTGCCTCTCTAGGATGTCAAGCAGGGGGATGCTGGGGATTCAACCTGGGACCTTCTACATTCAGGGAAGATGACCTACTGCTAAGCCATTTAACAACTTGCCTACTAAAGGGTGAAGGATCATAGTTCAGTGGTAGAGCATCTCCTTTGCATGCAGAAGGACCCAGCTTCCATCCTGAGAATCTCCAGGAAGGAGTAGGAGAGATTCCTGAAGCCCTGGAGAGCCACTGCCAGTCAGTTTAGGGAATGCTGAGCTAGGTGGACCAATAGACCAGTGGTCTGACCCTGCATAAGGCAGCTTCCTCTATTCCTAATTATTGGCAACCAAGAATGATATGCAGCAGAGTAAACCAGTTGGTAAGGTGGTGCTGTGGGTTAAACCACAGAGGACTTGCCAATCAGAAGGTTGGCGGTTCGAATCCCCGCGACGGGGTGAGCTCCCGTTGCTCGGTCCCTGCTCCTGCCAACCTAGCAGTTCGAAAGCACGTCAAAGTGCAAGTAGATAAATAGGTACCGCTCCGGCGGGAAGGTACACGGCGTTTCCGTGCGCTGCTCTGGTTTGCCAGAAGCGGCTTAGTCATGCTGGCCACATGACCCAGAAGCTGTACACCGGCTCCCTTGGCCAATAAAGCGAGATGAGCGCCACAACCCCAGAGTCGGCCACGACTGGACCTAATGGTCAGGGGTCCCTTTACCTTTACCTTTAAACCAGTTGGTGGTGGAGGAGGACCAGGTCGCTCCACACTCCTCCGTCAGTCTGCTTGGCTTCTGCACTAGATGCAGAGGAAGGAAAATCTTATCAAAAACCCATCAGGCTAATAGATTTCAAACAGATTGCTCCATCACTCCTCCATCAGCCTGTTTGATAGAAGGCCTTTTAAAGAGGCTAAAGGTAAAGGTAAAGGGACCCCTGACCAATAGGTCCAGTTGCGGATGACTCTGGGGTTGCGGCTCTCATCTCACTTTATGGAGGAGGAAGAGGAGTGTGGGGGGAGCGCACCGCCCCCGGCAGCACGATCCCCCGCCCCGTGCTGGGTGCCATGCCCCCGCAGGCAGTGCCCCCCGCCCCCAGGGCGGCACTCCCCACCCCCACCTGCTCTCCACCCCCCCCCCGGTGCCGGAGCATGAAGCCCCGCCCCTGGGTACAACCTTTCTCTTGCTACCATTTTGGCAACATGAGCAATGTCAGTTGTATCTTGCAATGGTCATTTCCAGAACAAATGAGAGGGAACAATAATATCTCCTGGATAGCTCAGGCAGTAGAGCATGGGACTCTTCATCTCAGGGTTGTGGGTTCAACCTCCACAAGATTTCTGCATTGCAGGGGTTGGACTTGATGACCCTTGTGGTCCCTTCCAACTTTAAAATTCCATTATTCTATACTGCAAAACAGGAGGATGAGTTTAAAAAAAGAAGAGAGGATTTTAGCTTGTGATGCACAGTGGGGTCCAGCAGAGGTCGGTGTTTCATTGCAGAGCAGAGATGTGAATTAATTTGGTAAAGTTAGGCTATGTATCTCAGTACCTGCACACAAACACACAAAATTACCGTACTTTTCCATGTATAAGACTAGGGTTTTTTTTACTTCAAAATAAGGTTAAAAATCTGGGGGCGTCTTATACACGGATAGTGCATATATGCCCATTTTCTAAATTTGGGGTCCCCAAAAGTAGGGGGCATCTTATACACGGAAGAATACAGTAGCACTACAGATTTATCCAAACAGCACCACCTTCTATTAATTCAATTGGAGGGTGCAATCGATTGGGGATTTCTCTTTCAGAGAATCATAGAATCTTAGAGTTGGAAGGGACCCCAAAGGTCCTCTATTCCAACCCCCTGCAATGCAGGAATCTCAGCTAAAGCATCCATGGCAGATGGCCGTCTACCTGCTGCTTAAAAACCTCCAGTGAAGCAAAGTTCACAATCTCCAAAGAGAGTCTGTTCCACTGCTGAACAGCTCTTACTGTCAGAAAGTTTTTTCCGAATGTTTAGTCAGACTCTCCTTTCTTGCAACTTGAAGCCTTTACAAGCTTCTTTGGGGGAAAAAAGCTTTATTCAGTAAATATTTTTTTATTATTTTAAAAATCAAGGCTAATTGTATCTTAGCAGCCAAAACTCCAACTATTACTGAGAGGGGGAAAAAAATCAGAAACTGAGAGAAACCAAAACCAACCAATTCTCCCATCTCTGAGGTGGAATCTACACACATATAAAAAAACGCTGTGAAAAAGCTTTTTTAAAAAACGTTTTGAAAAATACATTGAATTTGCCATAGATCACTGTTGCCATTTGTGTCACATTTGCATACTGCACTTTAAATGTTTTAGTTGCAGCTATGTAGCTGAGTGTGATTTATATCAGCCTCCTCCTGCTTGTACTAATTAGGGTCTCCCCCTCTTTTGCAAATGCAACTCAAAGCAATTAACAAATCATAGAACAATACAAAAACAAAACAGAGAAAAATATAAAACTCCTCATTTTTAAAAGGACTAAAACATCCCATCCACTGAAGGAGGCTGCAGATCATTCAAAGCTAAAGGACTGGTGGGAAAGAAATGTTTTTGCCTGGAGCCTAAAGGTAAGTAATGATGGTGCCAGGTGAGCCTCCCTGGGCAGAGCACTTCACAAGAAGGGAGCCACCACAGAAAAGGCCCATTCATGTGTTGCCACTCTCTGGACCTCCTGTGGGGTACGCACCTGGAGGAGAGCCTCAAATGACTTACAGCAGAGCTTTCAAACTTTTCATGTTGGTGACACACCAACATTTTTAGACATTCATCACTTTGCGACACGGTACAGTGGTACCTCTGGTTGTGAATGGGATCTGTTCCAGAGGCCCGTTTGCAACATGAAAAGAGCACAACCCACAGCGGCGCGTCTGCACAGACGCGGGTTGTGATTCACTGCTTCTGTGCATGCGCGTGATGTCATTTTGCGCTTCTGCACATGCGTGAGTGGCGAAACCTGGAAGTAACCCTTTCCAGTACTTCCGGGTCACCGCGGGACGTAACCTGAAAGAACGTAACATGAAGCAGACGTAACATGAGGTATGACTGTAATTCAGTTTCACTAGCAAACTTACCTCTGGGAGGAGCGTGGGGAGTATTCGTGCGACACACCTACACACTGCAGCCAACACACCAACATATCACAACACAAAGTTTGGAAAGCTCTGACTTGCAGGCCTTTGCTGCTGTTCTTGCTGTTATTATTATTACTTGTGGTAATGAATGCCTCTTCTGAGATGGTGACAGACACTTGCAACATCAAGCAGCTCTTGAGGGCAGTGGTGCTTCCGCTAGAGGGTGCATTCCCTTTTCAGCCTGAGGGCCACATTAGCCTCTGGGCAACTTTCTGGGGGCCACATGCTATTGGTTGGAAGGGCCAGAGGCAACAGTGGGTGGAGAAGTGGATGTGGTTGTTTATTTTTGCACAGTAGACTACTGTCTACACCTGCCACCCACCCCCATCCATTCAGACAAGCAGAGGTCAGGAACACATTCCAACCAGATCCAACTGGATTCAAAGTTAATCTGTTGAGGGTTATGTAGAAACTAGCCTGCTGCACAAAGGTAAAATTCGCATGTTGCTCTGCCCACTTTCGTTTCCGGACCTGCCCCAAAATGGCATGTGCTCTGAAAAAGTTCCTCAACCTTGCTCTGTTTTATGCTGAACCTGTAGTGTGGGCCACTGTGAGGTACAAGTGACAGTTGTTGTGACAAACCCCCATCTAAGTTCCCCGATTAGAATAAGAGCATTGGTGATCGTGCCAAGAATGCAATGTTTTTACGGAATGTGGAAGGGATCTCTTTCCTCACAGGTGCAAAAACCAGCCTGGCGCGAGCCGACGCCTCAGCGATTTGAACTTTCCAACAGCTGCTCTTGTGTCTCTCTGGACAGCTCAACTTGCCTCCCCTATTGCCTCAGCCTGTGCTGTGCACTGCCAAGTGGAGGCTGTGATTGCAATGGCCACTGATGTGCTAACCAGTTTGGAATACCTACAACATGAGAGAATGGTGTCCACAGATGGCACCGTGCCTTATGAGTCGCTAGGCTGATTTCAGTTCTTCCGATGTGATGGAGATTCTTTCTCGGCCTCCGTGGTTCTAAGTATCACATCTAATTGTTATAATTTAATTACTACAAATGCCAATTGTTGCAAGTAATGCAGAGGTGGAAAGCCTCCAACCCATGGGGCAATCTTGACCCACCAGAGGTTTTGATTTGGCCCACAGGGCCATTTCCCCCTTAAATCTCACCCACCTGCTAATAAAGTGGCATTAGCCCAATAGGTAGATGTGGATTGGTTCATCTACATGCCCTTGTTCCCTGCATGTGTAGGACTGAACTGACCTGGTGTGGGGAGTTCAGTGCTGCTCAGTTGGAGGGCATAAGGGAGTAATCTGCAGAGAATTCCCTCCTACATCTGAACCCTGTACAACGTGGGGAGTTCAATCTCTCTTGCTCGCTACCTTCGCTGCTTTTGCTGGTGTGCATATCTACCTGCGTGCCAATCACCCAACCACCTGTCTCAGTTGGCCTGTTGGGTGGGGAGGAGGTAAAGATCTTGCCTGCTGGGCCATAAAGGTTCCTGACCCGTGCAATAAAGCAAAGTGAACCTGGCTGAAGCTGAGGAAACGCAAAAGGGAGAAGATGGTGGGGGAAAAGTATTAGAAAAAGAATTTGGTCTCTCTGATATGGAAATGTGCTGAACTAGGGATTGGAAAAATGAGCAATTGAGAGACTAATCTGACAGATTTGTCTATTTCTCCTTTGACCTGATAGATCTCCACATTGAGGGCCATACTCTGTAAACCTGGGCACTGCACCACTGTCAGCCTAATCTACCTTGCTGTGAAGATAAAGTCGACAGAGGCATGCCATCTTGGGCTCCTTGAAAGAAAAGTGGATATAACTGTAATACTGTAGCTTAATTTTTGAAGCCATGTTTCTTATCATATACAGTGGTACCTCAGGTTACATATGCTTCAGGTTACATACGCTTCAGGTTACAGGCTCCGCTAACCCAGAAATAGTGCTTCAGGTTAAGAACTTTGCTTCAGGATGAGAACAGAAATCGGGCTCCCGCAGCACAGCGGCAGCAACAGGCCCCATTAGGTAAAGTGGTGCTTCAGGTTAAGAACAGTTTCAGGTTAAGAACGGACCTCCAGAATGAATTAAGTACTTAACCTGAGGTACCACTGTATAGTGTCAACATGACTAATTGTAAATTGCCTTGTGGGCCTTTGGGCCTGAAGGTGGGGGATAAATGGTACAATGAAGTCCATATTTTATGAGTGAAAGTATTCTTGAGTGTTCAAGGCTGCAATCCTAACCCCGCTTACCTGGGAGTAAGCCCCATTCAGTGGAGGTTACTTCATTTGGGCAAATGAGGTACTGCCAAACTAGCTCCAGTCTAACCTCAGCCCCTGCCCCCCGCTTCCCTTCTTACCTAAATCCATTCCTGGGGTGGCAGTACTAACTGTCAGCTTCATCTTCCTCCTTATTCTCAGTGTTGCCCAAGTAGAATTCAACAGAGAGGAGAATGGTGGTGGAACTAGAATTAGTTGGCTCTCCATGTCATTGGCTCTGGCATCACCTGCTGTTGAGCTGCTTGCCTTCCAGTCCCAATGGACACCAGCCATCACTGCCCCCACTGGATTCAACAGGACTTAACAGTGTGGTATAGTGGTTAAAGTGGCTGACCTTGGGCCATCCACTGCCTCTTAGCCTAAGCTACTTCACAGGGTTGTTGAGGGGGTTAAATGAGGAAGGAGAGAAAACAATGCAGAGAAAAAGGTGTGATATAAATTCAATAAATACTCAGAGTAACATGGTTAGTATTGTGCTTTAAGGAAATTAAATGAAACAGCAGCAACTGAGGTCTGCTTTGCATTGACCAGAGCAGTATGAGGAGGAGATGAGGTGATGCCTCGGCTCAGGGAGGTCAATTGCACGCCCTTCTTGCAGACATTGAAACCGAAACTAAACTCCACGAGAGAGTTGGGTTGCCATGGCAATGGGATTACTGCCTAATCGGGTCACCTTCTTATAGAGGGATTCTCTCCTAATTCAGTTACAGGACTTCAAAGGGTTGCTTCGTCTCTGCCCTTGGATGTATTACAACGAGGTCCTTTAAGTGGTTATTTCAAGCTGCTGGTGTGTCTCAGCGGATGCTCTGCCTCTGATTCTTACTTTGTGGAAATGGCGCTCATATTGAGGCCAAGAGGTGTAACTTCATGAGGTGTTTCTTCCTACTTTGCAATTTTCACCCCCCCACCCCATCCCCAACGAGAAAAGAGAACAAGTGAAGAAGTAGTGTTGGGAGAGGGATAATATATACCGTATTTTTCGCTCCATAAGACGCACCAGACCATAAGACGCACCTAGTTTTTGGAGGAGGAAAACAAGAAAAAAAATATTCTGAATCTCAGAAGCCAGAACAACAAGAGGGATCGATGCGCAGCGAAAGCAGCGATCCCTCTTGCTGTTCTGGCTTCTGGGATAGCTGCGCAGCCTGCATTCACTCCATAAGACACACACATTTCCCCTTACTTATTAGGAGGGAAAAAGTGAGTCTTATAGATCAAAAAATACAGTATATATATTTGTATAAAGTTGTTTTAAACTCTTTTTTAATACTGTGTTTTAATGTCATAGTGTTAGAACTCTCCCTGGGACCTTAGAATGAGGGGTGGGGGTGAATTGCAGGTAATTAATTAATTATTAATTAATTAATAGTAGTGATGGTAATGGTGATGATAATAGCAAAAAAATAATAACAATGTAGAATTTTGGTGGGGGATTGATCTAGGTGCAATCAGGTCTGGTGTCATCACCTGACAGCTCCAGCAGGATCCACCAGTGCTTGTACCACATTGGAGACTCTCCTACCTAGACGCACATTTTAAGTCACCACAATACTCTGCTACAACATGGCCTAGGACCCTCCAGAGAAATTTTAAAATGGCAGCTCAAGCCACCCTTCAAGTACTGTGGCTGCTTCCATTGCCATGCAAAAAGCCTGAGGCATATGCGACAGCATGGGAGCCAGTGTGGTGTAGTGGTTTAGAGCGGTGGACTCGTAATCTGGTGAACTGGGTTCGCGTCTCTGCTCCTCCACATGCAGCTGCTGGGTCTCTGCTCCTCCACATGCAGCTGCTGGGTGACCTTGGGCCAGTCACACTTCTTTGAAGTCCCTCAGCCTCATTCACCTCACAGAGTGTTTGTTGTGGGGGAGGAAGGGAAAGGAGAATGTTAGCCACTTTGAGACTCCTTCGGGTAGGGCTAAAGTGGGATATCAAATCCAAACTCCTCCTCCTCCTCCTCGTCCTCGTCCTCCTCCTCCTCCTCCTCCTCCTCCTCCTTTTCTTCTTCTTCTTCTTCTTCTTCTTCTTCTTCTTCTTCTTCTTCTTCTTCTCCTTCTCAAACCTGGGGTCAGCCCTGGGTGAAATAGTTTACAACCTTTTCAGGACAAGGATCCTGGGCAAACACGTATTTCAGAACCAACTTAACATCTTCCTATATTCATACAAATGTAAGCCTGTCGTCGCATGCTGCAGTTTGTGTGGTGACATGGCAGAATACAGCACAATGACAAACTTATTGGTGAGGTCTAATCGGGGTGTGGGGTGAGCAATGTGTATAAATATTTCGCTTATATTCATAGGGCAAGTAGCACTGCAGGTGTGGCTCACTTTTGCTCAGGCTGTGCCCCAGTATGCTTTGAACTGAAATAGTTCTTAGAAATGTTTTTAACAGTAACTGTTTTTAGAAGATTTTAACTGTAATTGTTTTTTTAAATTATTTAATATTTTTCCCCCTTTGCTTTGTTTTTATATTATATCTCTCTCTGCCTCTCTGGGTTCCTTGGGGAAGAAGGGCAGGATATATACCATATTTTTCTGTGTATAAGACTGGGTCTCCCCCCACTCCCTTAAAAATAATGTGAAAAACTAGGGGGCGTCTTATACACAGATACATCTCCCCTATTTTCTTAAACCTGAGTCCCCCAAAATAGGGGGCGTCTTATACATGGGGGTGTCTTATACACAGAAAATATGGCTTATTCAATAAATAAATAATAAAACTAAGGAGGAGGAGAAAACTGACAGGTAGTGCCACCTGCACTCCAGGCTGGTTGTAAGTAAGACGGCAGGTATGTGGGGGCTGGCAGAGGGCAGACTAAGGTTGGTGGGGCATTGCCCCATATCCCCTAATGGACCAGCCTCCACTGTCTGGTCAGTGCCTGGATGGAAAACTGGTTTGGGAACCCTGTATGTGTGTGTTTGCCAACTTGAGTTCTATTTGGGATTTGGACATAATCAGGAAATAAACAGATGATCTTGGCCGTCACTTCCAGACTGGCCACCAAGTCCTGACCTGGAATAGATAGCTCTGGCTGGATATCAGGTGTCTTGTTATGCTGAGCGAGGCTCATGGCTAGGGATGGGAACAATGGCTTGAGTGGAATTTCACAGAGACACATGGATCGTTGGCCTCTAGCTTGGAGCTATGCCAGGCATTCCTATTTTTGGCTTCTGAGTTTGCATATAAGCCTGCCGCTTTGCCTCTAAATTAGACACACGGCTCCCTCTCTTTGTTGGACAAGTAGCATCATCAGAGTGTGAGGATGGGCATCTATGAAGAAAGAGGGTAGGTTATTACCTATTATTATTATTATTATTATTATTATTATTATTAGCCTCTTGGGCTTGCTGATTGTAAGGTCAGAAGTTCAAATCTGCTCAACGGTGGTGAGCTCCCGTTGCTCTGTCCCAGCTCTGCCAACCTAGCAGTTCAAAAGCATACCAGTGTGAGTAGATAAATAGGTACTGCTGTGGCGGGAAGGTAAATGGTGTTTCCATTCACTCTAGCACTTGTCACAGTCCTCCATGAGCCAGAAGGCTGGCTCCCTCGGCCTGAAAGGAGAGATGAGTGCCATACCCCACAGTCGAATTCAACTGGACTTAACTGTCCAGGGGTCCTTTACCTTTTATCTATTATTATTATTATTATTATTATTATTATTATTATTTATTATAAATTGGGTGTGTTTCCCTTCCTGTTGGAGAGGAGAGGAGACACTAGCATGGAATGTGTGTTAAAAATTCAAAGAACTGGATATGTGATTCCCTCAGAGCTGTGGGCCATTTTTATTCTTTATTCCCATTTATACCCCACTTTTCTTCCAAGGAGCTCAAGATGGTGTACACAGTTCTTCACCTCCTCATTTTATCCTCAGAACCCTGTGACCTATAGACTGAGAGGTGGTGACTTGGCCAAAGGTCACCTGGTGGGTGGGGATTTGAACCCTGGTCTCCCAGGTCTTAGACCAGCTCTCTAACTGCTACACTGCACCGGCTCTTCTAGTGGAGATGGAAGTAGCATGATGATCATAGTGTATAGGGACTGAGGGAAGAAGCTGAGACAGATGTGTGCAATAACTGTAGGCTGCTGGATCTGAAAGATGAGTGGAGAAGCAGCATTGTGGGAGTCTGAGCTGGACATGGATACGTAGTGAAATTGGGCCTGGATCTGGACCTAAGGGAACCTCAAGTTATGTCAATATATTTTGTGTGAGGATTCAAGTGCATACCAGGAAATTGAGGTTTGCACAACTGAAGTGCATTAAAGCACTTTGTAACCATAGCACAACAAATCCACTTAAAAGACAACAATGGACCTTTTGTGCATCAAAAAGTGCAGAATGAATGTGTGACTAATGGGAAGATACATAAACAACATGGAAGCAAATCAGAATGAATGCTCATCAACCCATGACCTCCTCACAAACAAATCAGAACAAATGCTCAATAAAGCCCAGATGCGATCTAACCTTTGCTTTTTTTTTTTTAATTTTTGCATGCAAATCATGGTGAATGTTCAATAAATATGCCATCTGGAGGAGTCCTTAACTTTTAATAGTTCATTCATTAAATTTGTATGCTGCCTCCCTAAACCTGTGAGGGGTAAGCTGAGAGAGCAATGCACAAGCTCTAAGGCAGGTGTGGCAAATCTTTGGCTCTCTTGATATTGCCACACTACAACTCCCATTAGCCCTAGCAATCATGGCCAATGGGCAGGGATTGTGGGAATTGCCATTCAGTAACATCTGGAAGGCCCAGGTTCTCCACACCTGCCCTCAACTTTATGGCCACCGCTCTGCATGCTGAATAAAAAAGGTAGAAGCGCATTAGTGTGCCCATGCTCTCATCTCTGCAACATAGGTCAGGTCATGCTATATGTCAGTCTCCCCAGTAATTGTCTCCTCTGATTGGCAGTAGTTCTTGGGGAGTGCAGGACACCCTTTTCAAGCCTGAGGGCCCAATTTCCTTGTGGACAACCTTCCTAGAGCCTTAAACTGGTGGTGAGCAGGGCCAGATGCGGAAGTGGGCGGAGACAGCACAACCTAATCCACCTCTGCAAAACCAGTCAGGATGGATGCTCCACAGGAGTGCCAACCTGAACAAAATATTGGGGGGAAGGCAGGTAAGCCCCATCTTGCATAATGATCACAAGATGTGGTGCACACACACCATTTGAATGTCCATTATCTCTGGTGGTGGGATGGTCACCTGAAATGACCTTGGCCCCTAGGCTCCTATAAGGCTCAATAAGCATATTGTCCAGATGTGCCCTGAATCAAGGACATGGTCTAGCTAAAGGTAAAGGGACCCCTGACCATTAGGTCCAGTCGTGGCCAACTCTGGGGTTGTGGTGCTCATCTCGCTTTATTGGCTGAGGGAGCCGGTGTACAGCTTCCGGGTCATGTGGCCAGCATGACTTAAGCCGCTTCTGGCGAACCAGAGCAGCGCATGGAAATGCCGTTTACCTTCCCGCCGGAGCAGTATCTATTTATCTACTTGCACTTTGACGTGCTTTCGAACTGCTAGGTTGGCAGGAGCAGGGACCAAGCAATGGGAGCTCACCCCGTCGCGGGGATTCGAACCGCCGACCTTCTTATCGGCAAGTCCTAGGCTCTGTGGTTTAACCCACAGCGCCACCCACATGGTCTAGCTAGATGCTTCTAAAATACCCCTGCTTCCTATTTGGAGTCAGGATAGATCAAGCCATTAACTTTTTAAATTTAAAGCCTTCTCGCAATGACTCGAGCTCTTATATGGCATTCCCTTTGCGAGGGCTGATGCTCTCAAAGTCAACATCTCAAAACTTCTCTGGGATAGAATGGCAGCTTGCATGTTTGCTTTTGGAAGCTGAGATGTTCCTGAGGGTAGAATAATAACAGGGAGGTCTTGGTTTGTTCCAGGGAACGGGTTGAACCGAAGAGGAAGCCCTTTAGCTGGAGAACCAAATGTGCAGTGTCCAACCGAGGACGTCCCTTGGAACTTGTTTATGCTAGTAAGTATAACACGGCGTCCTTTCTAGCATCCCATTGGAAACATCCATCATTTTTTCTCTGGCATTGGATCCAGTAGGGGCAGGGGTAGAAATGAAACTCAGGTAAGTCATCTGGCTCCTTTCAGGAACTGAGGCAGAACACTAGTATCATTCCCAAGCCTGGCAGCTAGGAGCTGACTTATGCAGTGCCAGACCATTGGTCCATCTAGGTCAATGTGCCAACACTGGTATCAGCTGTCCAGGATTTCAGACAGCATTGTTCTCTCAGCCCTGGAGATGCTGAGGATTGAACCTGGAACCTTCTGTGTACAAACAAATGTTCTGCCGCTGAACTCCGCCCCTTCTGTGTTCCATGCTCTTTAGTAGAGGTAAGGAATGTCTATTTTGGGGAGCAAATCCTGTTCACTCTCTGCCACATCCCTTCCCACCTCCCTCTCTCCCTCCCTATCTGCCTGCCACCCTCTTCCCCACCATTACTTATTCATCATTAGTGTCATCAAATTGGAATGAAGAAGCTCAATCTCACCAATCTGGTGCCAGAGGCTGACCACTCCTACTTTTTATATTTTATTAAGAAATTTTTGTGAGGCAGGGGTGGGGCATGTTGTTTTGTAACGAGAACAGTTCTTGTCTTACAGAAGATATATGTAGCTTTATAAAAATAGTATAGTAGACAGACAGCAAGCTTTAAAACCCACTTGTAAATTGCCTATACTCGTACTTACTGGAAGAGATGTTTTCATCACATTGAAGTTTTCTTAAGATCTTGTGACCCATGCCTGCTAACTCTGTAAAGTGAAGAAGAGGTTGTGTTCCTCTGGAAACAGGTGGCGATGGGTGGAAAATAACAGAGAAGGCTTGACTCATCCATGCCCATCTGCAGATGCCAGTTAAAAGTCAGAGCTTGCAGTTGCGAAATGCCAGGATCTGGTCCTGCCTTAAATCCATGTATTGGACTCGAATGTAGGAACCTTCATTATATTTATTTTGTTTCATTTATTTGTTTATTGCATTTATATCCCACCTCTCCCACACAAGGAGCTGAAGGTGGCAAACATGGTTCTTCCCCTCTTCATTTAATTCCCACAACTTCCTCATGGTGGATTCACCTTTAATTGTGAACTGAAACAGATTTCTCTCCCACCCCTAGTGAGGACCCTGCTCTGGGAGCTGTTGGTGAAGGGTGGGAAATAAACTTTTATATTTATTATCATTATTATTAAGTTTGCCACCTTCAGCTCCTTGTGTGGGAGAGGTGGGATATAAATGCAATAAACAAATAAATGAAACAAAATAAATATAATGACGGTTCCTACATTCGAGTCCAATACATGGATTTAAGGCAGGACCAGATCCTGGCATTTCGCAACTGCAACCTCTGACTTTTAACTGGCATCTGCAGATGGGCATGGATGAGTCAAGCCTTCTCTGTTATTTTATAACAGAGCAATACTTATAGTCTTCTGGGCCTGTTATACATAACACCACTCCCTTTGTAGCTGATAAGATTCACATAATGGGCATTTTGTCAGAAAGTCTATTTAGGGGAGCTCTCAAAGGATTGTTTTTAACACTGATTCCTTTCCTGTCAATAAAGCTCTAGAGTGACCCACAATTTTGTGTATAGGGTGGTAGAGGATCATGACCCTCCTCATTAAAATTGTGAAGAGCTGATTAATGGATCCCTCCCCAACCCAGTTAAAAATCCACCCCCAACATCAGCTCTGTTAATGACTTCAGCACAGAGACCCCTTGGTTACCGGGGAAAGATTATGCTTTGCAGGCTGACAGGCTGTCAGTCAACGAGGGAGAAAAGTTCACACCGGTCTCTGGAAATAGAGTCATTTAATGAGGAAATCTATTGCTGCTTTACAGTTGGCAGAGTGCTTTCAGCCATGCATCTGTTTCCTCCAAAAGCTCTTTAGTGGTAAGTTTTTAAATAATTGCTTGACAGAAATAGGAGGGGGAATAAACCAAGCACAAATTTATATCTAGTTCTGGAGTCAGGCTTCCAGTATACCTGAAAGACCACCTCCCCTACACAGAACTGTAACATCACTTATATAGAATCATAGAATCATAGAATCATAGAATTGGAAGAGACCACAAGGGCCATCGAGTCCAACCCCCTGCCAAGCAGGAAACACCATCAGAGCACTCCTGACATATGGTTGTCAAGCCTCTGCTTAAAGACCTCCAAAGAAGGAGACTCCACCACACTCCTTGGCAGCAAATTCCACTGTCGAACAGCTCTTACTGTCAGGAAGTTCTTCCTAATGTTTAGGTGGAATCTTTTTTCTTGTAGTTTGGATCCATTGCTCCGTGTCCGCTTCTCTGGAGCAGCAGAAAACAGCCTTTCTCCCTCCTCTATGTGACATCCTTTTATATATTTGAACATGGCTATCATATCACCCCTTAACCTCCTCTTCTCCAGGCTAAACATGCCCATCAGAGGAAATTTTCCTCCTGACACCACACCTTACAGAATGGCTTTAAATTGCTCCTTTAAAAGGACAAATTCACAGAGGGTAAGCCTATTGATTGCTGGTTCCCCAGAAGACTCAGCTGGACACAACCCAGCTTTGCTCCTCACCCCCTCTGCTTGAGGCTGATGGAAATGGCACTGATAAGACAAATGCCATCCCTTCCTTCTGACCTTTGACTACTCACACTTAAGATTTCAGTTCTTTGATCTAATCTCCTTCCACCCTTCTTCTCTCATCTTATAGTTGGGGGGTTGAGCCCTAAGGGCAATGTCAGTGGTGTGGAGTGTTACAACCCCCTGGAACATGAGTGGAAGGTTCTGGGCTCCGTCTCAAGGCATCGGACTGGAGTTGGAGTGGCTCCCCTCAATGGCTCCATCTACGCAGTGGGAGGCCATGATGGCATGGTGTGCCTCAGCAGTGTTGAGAGGTAATTCTGCCGTGTGACTGGGTTGTTTTAGACTTTTGTGGGGCTGGTGATGGTGGGGCAAACTGGAAATGCGATGGGAAGGAGCTAACTGAAGAGGAAACTTCTGTTGACTAGGATTTGCAGTTTCTGTGGTGGCTCTGCATGTGGTTATCCCTTTCATTTGTGTAGAAGTAAGAAGGGCAAGAAAGGGACGTGGGTGGTGCTGTGGGTTAAACCACAGAGCCTAGGACTTGCTGATCAGAAGGTCGGTGGTTCAAATCCCCATGAAGGGGTGAGCTCCCATTGCTCGGTCCCTGCTCCTGCCAACCTAGCAGTTCAAAAGCACGTCAAAGTGCAAGTAGATAAATAGGTACCGCTCCGGCGGGAAGGTAAACGGTGTTTCCGTGCGCTGCTCTGGTTCGCCAGAAGCGGCTTAGTCATGCTGGCCACATGACCCGGAAGCTGTACGCCGGCTCCCTCGGCCAATAAAGCGAGATGAGCGCCGCAACCCCAGAGTCGGTCACGACTGGACCTAATGGCCATGGGTCCCATTACCTTTACCTTTTAAGAAGGGCAAGATGGCTTTGGGGCCTGCTTGGCATTTTTCTTTTATGTCCATTCCCCCCAAACTACTATACTGTCCTATACAGCATAGAGCACTGCTGGATCAGGCCAAAGTCCCACTTAGTTCATCATGCTGTTCTAATAGTGACTGACCACTAGATGCATGAATTGGGGAGCAGGGACATCTTGCTGCCTGGGGCAAAACAGAAAATCCCCCCACCTTCTCCTCTTTTGCAGCCCCCTATCTCCTTTCCTGCAGCACTCCCTCACCTCCTCCTCGGCAGCAGCCCCCCTTCTCTGCCCCCCACATGCCAAAAGTGGTGATGATGGTATAAAGGGCCAGAGAGAAGCAGGTGATGAATGTAAGTGGGCGACCACACAGGTGGCAGTCATGGCAAGTGGTATGCTTCTCAGAGGCCAGATCTGCCACCTCAGGTGATTGCCTTGCCTTGCCTGATGGGAAGTCTGCAAAGTAGGATCTGAGGGCAATAGCACTCTCTTTCCTTGTGATTTCTGGCAACTGGAGTTCAGGAACATGCTGCTTCCAATAGATGAGGAAGAGCATATCTCTCAGGGTTAGTTAGTGGCTATTGATTTCATTATCCTCCATTAATTTATCTAATCCTGTTTTAAAACCCAACCAGGTAAGTGGCCACCACAGCCTCTCGTTGGAGTAAATTCTACCCTCCATGCAGGTAAGAAAGAAGCATCATTCGAGTTCAAGGACACATTCCAGCCAGGCAAAACCACTTAAGAGGGTACAAGGCAAGACTGGTGATGGCTGTAGCCTGGGGAGGAGCCATAGGGCCGGACAGAGCGAGGCCTGGAGGGTCACAATTGGGCCTTTGGCCTCTGGATCTCCATCCTTTAAGGCCCCCTTCAAGTCCACGATGGTTTAACAATAATCTGAAAGAGGTCGATGGATACGCCAATCACATCCTTAGTGCAAGTGCTGAGTTCTCAGAATTTGGCAGATCTGAACCATCCAGCCAGGGCTACTCAATCAGAAACATGAGAGGAGACTAAAGTAGTCGTTGAAGGACTGTAAAATAGCTATGACCCTAAGCAGGAGGAACAAATAGGACTGACTTTCCAGAAAGGAGGGTGGCTTGGCCATAAATAACTACCTTCATGAGGGGTCCAGGTGGTTGCACCATTAGCAATGCAGCAACTTTGGTGTAATCTTTTTCTTATTAAAAAACAACAACACAAAAAACTGAACAGAGTGTTGAACTTAGACCAGAGTTCATAATCCCTGTCTGTTGAGAAAGAAACTTTCTGGGTAATCCTAGGCCAATGTAGCTTAATTTTCATCTTATTCTGAGGATAAAATGGGGAAAATTGCTGTACCAACCTGAAGACCTTAGGGAAAGTGTAATTTAATTTAATTTTTTATTTAATTATGTCTTACATTTGTATTCCACCTCCCACCCCCACCCCAAGGAACTCAAGAAGGCATGCATGGTCCACTTTCCTCTCCATTTTGTCCTCACAACAATCCTGTGAGGTAGGTTAGATGGAGAGAGTTCAACTGCCCCAAGGTCACTGAGTGGAGATTTGAAGCCTAGCCTCCTAGGTCCTGGTCCAACACTGTAACCACTACACCAGATTGCCTCTACACTATGCTGACTTGGAGGAAGCGCTGAGATACCAATGCTGAAAGATTTTATGACATTCGCATATTGTTTTGCAAATTAGGGATTGGTCAATACTAGTCCTACTCAGAGTGCACCCTCTGAAAATGATGGAAACAATACACTTAGATCCTTTAATTTCAGTGGTTCAACTCCCGAGTAGGACTGAATGGGATACAGCCTTTAAATGCAAACTGAATTTAATTCATCCCGCATCCCAAATCATGTCTTTAAATCCCCACAGCATAGCTGGAAATACTCTGGGGGAGGGTAAAGTGACCTGCCATGGTTCTAGTGACAAGTGTCCCAGGTGTCTGCAGGGGCAAATGAGTATTTTGGTGCTCCCTCCATAAAAGCTGTATTTGTTTTTGGTAAGATTTTCACTGCTGCATCTCATGAGTTCAGCCCTTTTCTCCCCATCTCTCCAATTTCCTCCTTAGTCACTTCTGTTTTCTGTTCCTTTTGGCTAACCCTGGGGACTCGCTCACTTTCAGCCTCACTGGAATGCCTCCCCCGCCCCCCCCGCGACCATGCCAAAAGGAGGGGCCAAGTGAGAACTTCTTCACCTGCCTTTCTTTTTAAAGATGACTGATTCTGAAGGGTGCTTGTTTGCCACAGGAAAACTCCCAAGGAATGTGACTGGTCCCTTGTGACAACATCAAAAACCAGTTTCTTGCTTGCTTGGAACACTGAGTGGGTAACGGGGTTGTGCTCCCTCCAGGGTGGAAAAGCTGAGCTTCTGTGGCTGGGGTGCTTAAGAACAAAAATATCTGTTTAATGAACCCTGTTAGACTCCAACCTCTCATTTATAGAAATGAGGCCAAGCTGAGAATCCCTCTCTGCTGACATCTTTCTCCCCTCTCTAGCTGATTCAGAATGAGCCCATCACTTCCCTCTTGTTCCTGAGCTATTTCTCACCTGATTTCATGCACTGACCTTATTTCCTAGGACCTGCCCTTCATAAACCACTGCCATTATATTTTCTGTCTTTGGAGAGGCCTGTTTAACAAAGATTTTTTTTTTTTTTTTAAATTAGTATGAATTGTTAGTTTCCATCATACCACAGGGTACACCTTCCTGTCCTGGAGGAGAAAGCTGATGGTGGCTGCTAGCCATGATGGCTCTGCTCTGCCTTCGCAGTCAGAGGCAGGAGTGCTTCTGAATACCAGTTGCTGGAAAACACAGAAGCAGAAAGTGTGTTGTGCTTAGGTTCTGTCTGCAGGTTTCCCACAAGCACCTTGTTGGCCAGCGTGAGAAAAGGATTCTGGACTAGATGGGCGAGTGGCCTGATCCAGCAGGCTCTTCTAGTGATGTCTTTCATTATTTAATCCAGACTAAACAGTCCTAAAGGGACTGGCGCTGTGGTCTAAACCACAGAGTTTAGGGCTTGCCAATCAGAAGGTCTGCAGTTCGAATCCCCGTGACGGGGTGATCTCCCATTTCTCGGTCCCCACTCCTGCCAACCTAGCAGTTCGAAAGCACGTCAAAGTGCAAGTAGATAAATAGGTACCGCTCTGGCAGGAAGGTAAATGGCGTTTCTGTGCGCTGCTCTGGTTTTGCCAGAAGCGGCTTAGTCATGCTGGCCACATGGCCTGGAAGCTGCATGCCGGCTCCCTCGGCCAATAAAGTGAGATGAGCGCCGCAACCCCAGAGTCATCCGTGACTGGACCTAATTGTCAGGGGTCCCTTTACCTTTAACTTTAAACGGTCCTAAACGTGTGCACCTTTTGTTGTTGTTGCATGTTTTAAATTGCTTTTGCTGTTCTTATTTTCAATCAGCTTGAGATGATTGCGTAACGGAAATTACGGTAATAAATTGATTGTGGTGGTGATGATGAAAATGTTGTGCAAGAAAATGAAAACATCTTTACCTGGATCCAAAAGGACTAGCAGCAGTTCTCAACCTGTGGGTCCCCAGATGTTGTTGGACCACAACTCCCATCATACCTGAGCTCTGGCCTTGCTGGCTAGGGGTGATGGGAGTTGTAGTTCAGCAACATCTGGGGACCCACAGGTTGAGAAAGGCTGGACTACAGGCTTGTGAAAGGGAGTCTCTGTAGGGAGAGCATTCCATAACTGAAATGCCAACACCAAAAAGAACCCCCCGCTGGAAACCACTAGCCATACCTCCCTTGGCTGGGGGCACCTGGAAAAGGGTCGCCAAAGAGGATTGCAAGGTCTGGGTAGGGACATGTGGGAAGAGGGGATCTTTCAAGTGTTTGGAAGGCCCAAAGGGCCTTTAAAAAGGCAAAGCCAGTCAGCCTCAAAGATGGACTGGAAGGAACTGCAGATGATGACACAAATCTGATGGCATAAATATGATGAAAGCACCCACAGTCCTAGCAAACAACCTCATAGCCCTATTTTGGAGAGTGGTGGCTGGCTCCCCTTGGGACTAGCAGGGCTGAAGGCAGAGAGCCCAACCGCAGGTGGTGCTAGAGCCAATGAGAGGTGAAGCCAACTCCATCTAATTTTGTCCTCTTTCCTGCTGAGCTCTGCAAGGGGCAACACTAAGACAAAGGAGCTGACAGCAAGTTGCCACCTCTTGGACCAGTTGTAAGGAAGGAGGCAGGCAGGGAGCTGAGGACAGACTCAGGCTGGTGGAGCAGTTCCCCATTTGTTCCTCATCTGGGCCTAATGGCCCAAGCCTCCACTGCTGCTCCCCCCTCAAACTACTTCACTTCCTTAAAGGTAAAGGGACCCCTGACCATTAGGTCCAGTCGCGGACGACTCTGGGGTAGCAGCGCTCACCTCGCTTTATTGGCCGAGGGAGCCGGCGTACAGCTTCCTGGTCATGTGGCCAGCATGACTAAGCCACTTCTGGCAAACCAGAGCAGCACACGGAAACCCCGTTTACCTTCCCGCCAGAGCAGTACCTATTTATCTACTTGCACTATGACATGCTTTCGAACTGCTAGGTTGGCAGGAGCAGGGACCGAGCAACGGGAGCTCACCCCGTCGCAGGGATTCGAACCGCCAACCTTCTGATTGGCAAGCCCTAGGCTCTGTGGTTTAACCCACAGCAGTGGCGTAGCGTGGGGGGTGCAGGGGGGGCCGGCCGCACCGGGCGCAACATCTGGGGGTTAGGGTTAGGGGGCGCAAATCCACGGGTTAGGGGGCACAAATCCACGGGTTAGGGGGCGCACGGGTTAGGGGGTGCTGACAACCCACGCTACGTCACTGACCCACAGCGTCACCTACGTCACTTCACTTCCTTAGAAACATGTCAAATCAGTCCTGCTGCTTTTGGAGGCCCTCCTCCTCCTGAGCTGAGTCCTAGATTTCTGCTCCCAAATCCTGCCCCAATGGTGCCAGATCTTCTCAAGTGGCTTTAAAATGGAAAATCTCAAGAGAAGGGAGCAGATGTTTTTTCTGTCCAGCACACATGCATGCAAACATATGCATAGAGATGTCAAGGCAGCAGGTGAGAAATAATATATGGACCCTTTCCCTTTCCCTCGTTGCAACAGAGTTTTGCCAGCAGCATCCATCTCATCAGTGGAATGAATGTTTTTTCAAAACAGGCCGTCCTTGGCCTCCCCTGCGCCTCTTTAGCCACCCACGTGATTACTGCTTCCTCTGATTGATAGCTTTGACAACCTATTTACTATGTGATATTTCTCGCTAAAGGCAAACTCAGTGCCTCTGGCTCATTTTGCAAGTGTTGCCAGGAAGGGAGGGCTGGAATCCCACAGCTAAATATATGCTTAATTGAGTGGGCAGGGGGGTGCCAGTAATGCGTCATGCCGTATTTGCAGCCTGCGGTTGGCTTCAGCAGGCTGCCTGTCTCCCAAAAGAGATTGCTTTACTGCAAGGCTAGCTCAGGGTCCAATGATGTAAGACAGAAGGATAGCTGGGTTAAAAAAAATTGTTGCTATCTCTGGTTGCTAAGTCAGGTTCTTGGCTATATGGAGGCACTTGCTTAGCCTTAGCATTGCATTGGAACGTCCTTACATGGCATGGGTGAGTGGTCTTCATCTGGATGAGCGAGACTCAGCCCCACCAAGCACACTTTGCCCATAGCCAGCCCACCTCCTTACTTATAGCCAGTCCAGTGGGCTACAGTGGTACCTTGGGTTAAGTACTTAATTCGTTCCGGAGGTCCATTCATAACCTGAAGCACCACTTTAGCTAATGGGGCCTCCCGCTGCCACCGCCACCGCACGATTTCTGTTCTCATCCTGAAGCAAAGTTCTTAACCCGAGGTAATATTTCTGGGTTAGCGGAGTCTGTAACCTGAAGCGTATGTAACCCAAGGTACAACTGTATTGCCCTTCTTCCTCTTTTAGCTTCAGTGTTTCTTTTGTAGAACTCCTATGGAAACTGTTATGTACGGTGGAACCTCCACTCACATATGAAATCCGTTCCAAAGGTCTGTTTGTGAGTCGATCTGGGTCGCTGGTAGAAGCACTATTCTGCGCGTGTGCATTTGGCGGCAGTGCTATTCTGCTCATGTGCAGACGGCAGAAGCTGCTTCTGCACATGCGTGAATCACGGCAAACCTAGTATTTACTTCCAGGTTTGTCACAGTCGCAAGTCGAATTGTTCACGAGTAGGGGCGATGGTAAGTCGAGGTTCTACTGTACTAAGCTTGGATCCTAGAACAATAGGCAGGTAGGATTCTGGAAGGCAGCAACCTGATTGGTCTGCAGGAGCAGCCCAATCAGGCTTCAAGAGGAAGTGAATCAGCAACTGGATTGGCCTGCAGGAACAGTCCAATCAGGCTCCAGGACGGAAGTTGAATCAGCCAATCACACGGGACCCATTGTGTACATAATGTATATATAGCCAGAGGTTTTAGGGAAAAGCACTCACTGTTTACCATGAGCCGAAATAAAGAGCATGAAATCAACACTCAACTCTGAGTATATTTTGGCTGGTTCTGTCTCTCATTGGCTGTGGTTGTCATTAGCTCCACCTTCTGTGGGCATCCCTGCCTTCTGCCCTCCTGCTCCCAGTGGGCCTTCATGGTCTGCCTTAGCAGCTTCTAACTCTGTTCCAAACCATATATTCCTAGCAAATACTTTCAAAGACTCAAATCTTTGTTTAGAAAATGCCTTTGAGGGTCTTAAACCCCTAGAATATCCATGCAGAAAATAAAGGAAGGAGGATTTGGGATCCCAGATTTAGAACTATATCATCATGCCTATTTACTGTCAAGTACACAGTTCTGGAGATCTGCAACCGATAATAACTGTCCAAATTAGGCATCCCTGGAATACTCTTACGTAGCACCTCTGCAAAGATGTGTAGCACTCGGTTCTAAATACATCAATACTTGAGATGCCATTGAAAGAATTTGATCAGTTTGAACGATACAGCACCACGTATGTCTTCACGAGTACAGTTTCTTGTTTCTTCTTTTTTTTGTGTCTTATCTTATCTCTGTGCACTTGCAATTTTGTACTTTTTGTTTTTCAATAAAGAATGTAAACTAAAGAACAACAACACTGCAACTCTGTTTCATCTTCCTTCTTGTGCTGCTGAAGGTACGATCCTGAAATCAACGAGTGGAGGAAGGATGTGGCGCCGCTTCGTGAACCCAAGCAGGATGCGGCCGTGGCTGAGCTAGGAGGCTACTTGTACTGTGTCGGTGGCTACGATGGGCTCCTATGTGTCAATACCACTGAGAGGTAAGCTGCATCCAATGGATGCCCTTTGGGTGTGATGATGGCAAGATGATGATTGTTCTTGTACATTTGTTCATTTATTTGGTTTTCGTTAAAAAGATAAACCAGTGTCCACCCTGCCTTTCGAATAGAGATTTTCCAGTGGGACTTATACTGAATCAGTCCTAAAAAGAAACGATTAATTAAATGGAACACTATGAACTTTTGATACCAATAATTATTTAATGGTCCCTTTTCTTTATTGATTAATTTCATATAATCAGTTTGGTGATCTATATAGCTGCATGTACGTTTAGTAAGTACCGGTATGTATTTAACACCATTAAAAAACCCCACAATCTTCATATTATAAAGGAGCTTTAGTGCACTAGAAACTTTTAAACGCTCCTCTGTTGTCTAGAAATGCGCCATTACTGTTATTTTGTTATGATGTGGTGGTTGTTAATTATTTCTTAATTCACCATAGAGCTCCAGATAAGGTTACAACAGTGTAAAAATACAATATTAAAATTAGTTCAAGTGTGTAATCAGAAGAATAGGGTGGGTACACACACACACACACACACACACACACACACACACACAATATCAAAGAAGCCTTTGTCATCTTCAGCATATGACAAAAGCTATACAACGAAGATGCCAGATGCACCACTGTGTGTAAGGAATCCCACAGATTTGGGGCTGCTACAGGAAGTTTCCAGACTCTCAAATTTTACTTCTGTGGACCTTTGTTAATACTCAGTAACCTTTGACATATTATATGCAACTCATATAACTGTGCTTCCCAATTAACAACATGAATGTTGGACCATCTCAAGTATTTGGCATAACCAAGTCTAGTGGCAACAGTCATCTATAATATTAACTCTCTTAAATATGCAGGTACTTTCTTTGCATAAGTCAATACCAATAAATTATATTCTGTTTGCATCCATCTTATTCTTTCTATTGCATCCTTTGTGCCCTTTGACACCCTCCGTCCAGTGAATTAAACACTGGTTCAATTGTTTCTAAGCATTTTCACAATTGTATATTTGTCTCTAGATATGATCCACTACTCAACAGGTGGTGCAAGATGGCACCTATGAATCGTTGCCGGAGGGGCCTAGGCTTGGCAGTACTGGATGGCTACTTGTATGCTGTTGGAGGATCTGATGGCTACACTACATTACATTCAGGTAACAAGAAGCTCTGGTTGTAGACAGGAGTCTAAAGAGGAGATGCACCCCCCCAAAAAACCCACCCTCCAACTGTTAGGAAAGATTGCAGCTTGGATGCATTAGATTGGAATGATCACTTACAGTTTCTGGAGTTCAAAGGCTTTATTCATGCAGAAACAGGTTCATCTGGGCAAGAACTATTTACAGGATGAGTAGAGGTGAAAGAGAGAAATAGACATCTTGTCTCAACATGTTGGGAGAGAGAAAAAACCAACTGGATCAGCTTTTAGGGGCAGAATTCACTTAGACAGAGACAATGCAACCAAGTGCTGGATAGATTGATAGACAAACAGTGCCCTCATGTGGTTTAAAGTAACACATACATTAACATGAAGCTCAGTGAGAAGGAATTGTATTTGGTTTTTCTCCAGCATGAATCAGCAAGTGTAAACTAGATCTCTGTGGCTGTTGCTACTGGTTGCATACAAATTGGCAAATATGCCAACTTTGGTTTCTCTCAGGTTCTCATTTCTCCAGTCTTAATTCAGTTCTCTGCATTTCCATGTGAGTGTGTGATTTTTATTTTTAAAGATGAAAATTCATCAGCATTTTAAGTTTGAGTTTCTCCGCATGTACACATTTTTGTGTGTGTGATTTTGCCTAATATACACATTCTTGCAAAGTGGTTTCTCCAAACACACTTTTTGTATGTTATTGTCATAAAAATATGCATCCTTTTAAAGCACACTTTGTACCACCATAAGCATTTTTGTACACCACTGCTTGGCTGGAGAATGGCATTGCAAAATCCAAAGAAGTGCAAATTTCAAAGGAGAGCTGTGTTTGCCTATTGTTTCAGAAAGTGTGGATTAGATAGGTTTGCCTTCAAATGTAAGCTGAGTCTAATTTCTCTCTCATCCCTAACTGGCCCCCAGTGCTGAAGTCAGTGGTGATATCCAGTCCTGAGAGAGCACCACATGCACACTGGAGCAAATGTGAAGCTTTGAATATTTACACTAGAGCTTTCCAAACTGGGTGTCATGACACGTTAGTGTGTCAGCTGTAGTGTGTAGGTGTGCCGTGCAAACGCTCCCTGCTCTCCTCCCGGAAAGGGGTTAGTTTAACCTCCGGTTTGCTAGTAATAGTGAATTACTGTATTGCAAAATGATGCATGTCTAAACAGTGTGCCACCAACATGAGAAGGTTTGGAAAGCTCTGATCTAGACTGTGGCTGCATTCACATGGTAGTTTTTTTCTGTTTCCCTGACGTTTCCCTAGCTATTAATTTTCACATTATTTTGGGGGGTATAAAAGCCACTTCCAGAAATCTAGCGGAACTTAGTGGAAGCGCGCCCCCCCCCCCCTTGCATCTTCCTTAACCTGGAAAATTTTTGGGAGTGAAGTGACAACAGTTATTTCCTGTTGTTTTTATGGGAGAACAGAAGCACACATGTGGACAGGGAATGCTGTTTAGCATTGCTGTTTAGTGATGTTTGTTGTTGTGTCACACCATGCCCAGTGACAGAACTTCATACTCTGGCACTGGGGGAGGTGGCGGACAGCAGGCGGGGGCGCACGTCCTGGGGGCATGGAACGCCACCTGCAGGGGGCGTGGTGTGCCACCTGCGGGGGCGTGGCACCCAGCAGAGGCAGGGGGGCAGCCGCAACGGCATCCCACTGGGATTGCACTGCCAGGGGTGGTATGCTGCCCCCTCACTCCTCTTCCTATGCCAGTGACCATGCCCACAAGTGTGAATGATATTTAGTATGGCATGCCGGCACACCAGTCAAAAAGCCACACTTACATTACACCACAGGTACTGGGCTGCCAAAGGAGCATGAGAAAACAGGGAAACTAATGCAATAGTTCCCATTCCTGAATGCACCCTGTGTCTCAATTTTATTGCCTCCTCCAGTGGAGCGCTACAATCCCCTGGAAGACAGATGGACTCCCTGCCCTCCCCTGAAGACCTGTCGAGAGAACCTGGGTTGCGTTACCTTTCAAGGCAAGATCTATGTGGTTGGCGGGAGAGATGACCTCACTGAGCTGTGCAGTGTTGAGCGGTTTGATCCTCTTGCCAATGAATGGTCTGCTGTCACGCCCATGAAGTCAAGAAGGAGCAAGGTATCAGTGCTGTGGGAACTCATCACAGCAACGTCTAAACTTATTTCAATGCGTTCCGAACTTGTAGGAGTAACTCTCCAGCAGACCATAGCGATCTACTGGGTGCATAAGGGATGGAGCTGTTTACTCCCAAATGAGTGTGTTTAGGATAGTGGCCTAAACCTTCAATCGATTTAGGCTGCCATCCCAGTGTTCACCTACCTGTAAGCAAGTCCCACTGAACTCAATAGATATGTATAGGATTTATATTTATATTGTAGATAGGTATAGGATCAGACTGTTGCTTGAAACGATACTTGCAGCTCTGCTTTATTTATTTTTTATCTGTCTTCTTGGTTTCATGACTAGATCAACCCATGACAGAATGTTAGGAAGATGGGCACACTCCTCAGAGTCAGACCCTTGGGTCTATTTGGCTCAATATTGTCTGCAATGACTGGCAGGGGCCCTTCAGGATTTCAGACAGGGGTCCTTCTCAGCCCTGTATGGAGATGCTGGGGACTGCACCTGTTGCTCTACCACTGAGCTGTGGCCCTTCCCCTTAAAATGACAGGATTCTGCCTTATACCAAGTGAGGCCGCTGGTCCATCTCACTGGTCAACAACAAATTTGTTGTCTGTGTTTTTTCAGATGATTTAGGATGAATCTGATGCGCTGAATCCAAAAATCACATTGGTTTTGCTCAGTCAGGTCAAGTTTTTGAGCTATGGCCACATGTCATTTTTTTACGTTTTTGTTCACATGTACGCTTGTGTGGTGCATTTTGGAAGAAGTTGGTGGGGATAAAATGCCATGTAGAATAATTGTTTTGATTGGAAATGATTATTTTAATGACAAGAAGTATTCAGGTCCCATAGTTCTGGGTGATTATGTTGAAAAGGGATCAGTTTGAAGTCATAAAACCTCAAAATCTTCCATAAATTGGTGCGGCAAAGCATAAAGTTATTTTGGTATTAAACTTGGTGACCAGGATAAAGCTTGGGTGCCACACATGGTGTGCAAGGCGTGCACCGAGAGTCTACGTGGGTGGACCAATGGCAAGAGGAGTCTGAACTTTGGAATTCCCATGGTTTGGAGGGAGCCGACAAACCATGTCACTGACTGCTACTTCTGCACTGTTGATGTGACTGGGATCAACAGAAAGAACCGGAGCAGCCTCAAGTATCCTGATCTTCAATCAGCACGTCGTCCTGTAGCTCATTGTGATGAAATTCCAGTGCCTATCTTCGGAGAACTTCCTGACGTTAGTGACGAAGATGCCTCCAGTGCTGAAGGACATGAAGAAGAAGAAGTGGTTCTTGAAGATGATGCTCCACATCCATTTTCCCAAAAGGAGTTGAATGATCTAGTTCGTGACCTCAGCTTGTTAAAGGACTCTGCCGAACTGTTGGCATCCAGATTGAAGGGAAAGAAACCTCCTCTCTGACAGTGCTCGCATCAGCTTCTTCCGCAGCAGGCATCAAGAGTACCTCCGTTTTTTCTCGGAAGAAAAGGACTTGGTGTACTGTGCAGATATTGTGCAGCTTCTGCTCAAGCTTGGAGTGCCACAGTACGAACCCAAAGATTGGAGACTGTTCACTGACAGCAGCAAGCGATCACTGAAATGTGTTCTGCTACACAACGGCAACCAGTTTGCCTCTATACCCCTGGCTCACTCGACTACACTGAAGGAGAACTATGAAGCGGTGAAGTATGTGCTGGAGAAAATTGGTTATGATCAGCATAAGTGGTTTATTTGTGTTGTCCTGAAGATGGTGAACTTTTTGTTGGGACAACAGTCTGGCTTCACCAAGTACCCATGTTTTCTGTGCATGTGGGATAGTAGGGACCGTGCTCAGCATTACACAAAGAAGGATTGGCCTGTGCGGGAGGAATTGGTGCCTTGCAAAGAAAGGAACGTCATCAACGAGCCTCTGGTGGACAGAGACAGAATACTCTTCCCACCGCTGCACATCAAGCTCGGCTTAATCAAGCAGTTCACCAAGGCTCTGGACAAGGATGGTGACTGCTTCACTTACTTCTGCCAGGCTTTTCCCGGATTGACCATGGAGAAGTTGAAAGCTGGCATCTTTGACAGTCCTCAGATCCGTCAGCTCATCAGAGATACAGAGTTCGGAAACTCAATGAACGAAGTGGAACTGGAAGCGTGGAAGGCATTTGTTCTGGTAGTGAAGAACTTTCTTGGCAACAATAAGGCCAGAAACTACGCAGAACTTGTCAACAACATGCTGACTGCTTTCAGAAACCTGGGCTGCAACATGAGCGTCAAGATGCACTACCTATTTTCACATATGGACCGGTTTCCTTAGAACCTGGGTTCAATGAGTGACGATCAGGGGGAGAGATTCCACCAGGACATGAAAGAGATGGAGACCAGGTATCAGGGTCACTGGGATGCAGTCATGATGGCTGACTACTGTTGGACTCTGAAGAGAGACCTCCCTGCCGCTGAGCATTCCAGGAGTTCCAAGAAATGGAAGTTCAAGCCCTGAAGTTTGAAAAATGGTGAAGCAACATGCAATTTACGTGTACTTACCTTTATCAATGCCCACCATTCAGTTTACAGTAATCAATGTTTCTATCACGTAATCAATATATGTTGTTGGAAAAACATTTTTTTCTCTTAAAAACATATATAGGATGATATGTGTTGACAAAAATCAGCTGATAATGCCACAAAAATGTAATCGATTTTGTCACAAGATCTGATTTTTTTCAAATCAACATAGCACAAAAACCTGACCTGATGGAGAGAAACGGATGCCATTTCCTGATTCAGCAGTGCAAAAATACCCTAAATCAATTGTAGAAATCTAGACAACATTCAAAAAGTAAAAAATTGTTGCCCAGTGTAGGCATTGTCTACCCCATGGGTTTCATCTGGCGCCTTTGTTATGCACCTTTAGGCACCAGGCAAAAACGTTCCTTTTTAAACCAGGCCTTTGGCTGATTGACACCCTTTTAAAATGTGTTGAAAGGGGGTTATTGAGTTGTTTTTATTTTGATTACGTGTTTTGTGTTTTTATATTGTGATTTTATCTTGTGAACCACCTGTGGGTATAGGGTGGTATTCAAATAAATAGTAATAGTAATAGTGGGACACAGGTGGCGCTGTGGGTCAGACCACCGAGCCTAGGACTTGCCAATCAGAAGGTTGGCAGTTCGAATCCCCGTGACGGGGTGAGCTCCTGTTGCTTGGTCCCTGCTCCTGCCAACCTAGCAGTTCAAAAGCACGTCAAAGTGCAAGTAGATAAATAGGTACCGCTCTGGTGGGAAGGTAAACGGCATTTCCGTGCACTGCTCTGGTTTGCCAGAAGCAGCTTAGTCATGCTGGTCACATGACCCGGAAGCTGTACGCTTCCTCAGCCAATAAAGCGAGATGAGCACCACAACCCCACGAATGGACCTAATGGTCAGGGGTCTCTTTACCTTTAATAGTAATAGTAATAGTAATAATACCCTGACTATGTAAACAACGGCTTACTAGAGTTCTACACAGGAGTCTTTCTTCAACCCTGTCTGGAGATGCCACATGTTGAACCTGGAACGTTCTGCACACAAAGCAGTTGTTCCACCACTCAGCTGCAGACCTTCCACAGTCATTGCATGAAAATTTATGTGTGTGGTGGCAAAACTGAGAATTCTCTATTTACTTTTAACAATGAAGGTGAGCCTGGTTCCTGCCAATGGTTACCTCTTAGCCATTGGGGGTTATGACGGCACTGTCCACGTAACCACTGTGGAAGCATTTGACGTGGAGCTAAATGGATGGAGGTAAGCTACCATCCCCTTTCAGTGAGGCTGCTCTTATGGGAGTTTCCTGGCCCAGCAACACAACTCTTGAGACCTTGCATGGCCCCCCCTTGAGGATGCGGGTGGGGAGAGGAGCCCCCCAAGTTCTTAGCCAGGGCGGTCCAACCTCTCAGTCCAATGATGGACTACATGGAATTGGCAGAAATGACTGGCAGAATCCGTGACCAGGGAGAAGAGTCGGTGGAAGAAGATTGGAAGAAATTCAAAGACTATTTACAGAAATATTGCAAAATTAATGAATGTTAGAATGATGTTGGATTGAAGTTAAGTGGTTTCTAGCTGTACAGGCACAAAAGAATATGGAAAAATTGGTTTTTAATATGTAAAATGTAAAATTTAAAGTTATATTACATCAAGATTAAAGATTAGGATTAAAAAGGAGGGAAAGGAATTGTTGGATTAACATATTTAACTGGAATACAGAAGAGGGAGGTAAGAGGAGGTCCGGGAAACAAGTAAACGTAAAAGAAGTGAGGAAAAGATGAAATTGTTTTTAATTTTTTTTTCTTTTTACTTTGTATTTTTTCTTTTCATTGTCAACTTTTTCTTTATTAATGTGGTTTCTTTCTTTTTTTTTCTGTGAAACTTTAATAAATATTATCTAAAAAAACCAACAACCTCTCAGTCCAAGTGGGCTGCAAGAGTACTTCGACACAGAGCCCGGGGGCCACACACAGAATTACATTTCCCATATTGCAAATATGCAGTGTAGTTAATATTATTTAATATACGCAAGTAAATGATATTATTTATTATTAATTAAATAATATTTAATATGCACAATATATTTAACTGAACACACACACATGTACACACTTAATAGATTTAATATATTTATTTATGCACGAACAGAGGTATGCACTTTCGTTAACAACACAGACATCGAGTCCCTGTCAGGATAAAAAGGCACGGTATAGTATTAGTAGTAATAATAATAATAAATTTTAATAACAAATTTTATTTATAGCCCGCCCTCCCGAGCCAGAGCCAGGCTCAGGGTGGCTAACAACAGTCAAATTACAGTAAAAACGTAACAGGAGGGAAAGGGAAAAAAAACCAATTTAAAATACAGGTTAAAATGCAATTTAAAATGCAGCCTCATCAAGACCATAAGGGGAGGGCAACATAAGGGTCAGACTGAGTCCGAACTGAAGGCCAGGCGGAACAGCTCTGTCTTGCAGGCCCTGCAAAAAGATGTCAGGTCCCACAGTAGTAATTTATTTTATAAGGCTTGTAGTCAAAAGGATTTGAGCCTCTTATGGAGCCCGTAAATAAATACAGCCCATGAAAAAGGAGGAGGCGGAGGCGTGCAGGGTGGGTGGGGGTCATCCTCCTCACCTCAGAGTGGAAGACTGAATCTGTTCCAGATTCCAGAGTCTGGAGGGAGGGCTACCTTTGGCTGCTACTGGGGGCCTGTTATTTTGACTTTTATGCACAATTTCCTTTAGTTGCTGCTAGTTTATTACCAGGCTTAAGCTGTAATTTCTCTCAATCTTGTGAGGCAGCCTCTGATTTCCCAAAGGCCAGGAACGTGCAATACAAGCAGAACGAGTAACGAAACGGGGTCTTCTTATGACACACGTATTAAGGCAGACGCTTCCACCAACTCCTCAGTATTATTATTATTAATACAGTAACTTGCGTCGCTAACTGTCTGCTTGCATGGGGAGGGAGGAACAAGTTTTTGGAAGAAAGGAAGCCGCCTCCCCCCGCCCCAATGGCTTCCTCGATCAATGCTGTGCCTTCAGAAGCAGGAGTGAAGAAACTTGCAGAGCCCACCTTGCATCAGGAAGGCCCCCAGACCCCAGCCTGGCCTTGGGAGGTAGGAGGTGGGAGCCACCTGGTGTGGTGATGGGTGAGGGGGGGAATATCCCCCCACCCCCCATGGCACATGACCTTGGAGGGCCTGGCTCACCTCAAGTGTTTTTGCCGGGCCGAAACGTATTCTTGAACTCTTGCTCACCTGGAATGAGGATAGCAAGGGATCTGTGAGGAAGTGTGGAAACTGGCCTGCTACACAAAGGTGGCATTTACATTAGTTGCTCCACCACTTTTGCCTGAGGCCTCACCTATGTGGCCCCTGGCATGTCACGAAGACTGGAATATGGCCCTCAGGTAGAAAAATGTTCCCCACCCCTTGCCTTTGCATCAACAGTATACGCTCCATTAACAGCCTCTCTCTTCTCTTGCAGACGTTTTGGAAACACGCAAACCTGCCATCCAGGTGGAGGTGTCACTGTGATCAAAACGGCTCCTGATTATCTGGAACTTTCTGAGTCGCCTTGGAGCAGATAAAAAAACAACACACACAGCAGCAGCAAATTCTGGACTTCCTTGTTTGGTGTTTAGTATACAAATGACGCACGATGCGTTACTAAACTACATGCTTGACTTCTTCCTGCTCTTCCCCCTCTTTTGATTGTGTCACCTGTGTCAAATTTTAGATTGTAAGCTTCTTGGGGCAGGGACCCCTTGCTAGGCTGCAAAATGCCCATGCCCATTGGTGACCCATATATCAATAATAAGCAGGAGACAATGACACGGTGCTGATGTTTTAAGTGTTAGTTCTGTGTATCCCAGAATATATTTAGTTTGTTCTTTTCCTGAAAGTAACTGAAGCTTTGCAGGAAGTGGACTAGATGCCTTGGAAGTACCTTCAAACTCTACAATCCTATGCTTCAATTGCTTAATTTGTAGAGGTGCTACATAGTTGTTAGGAGCTTGTCCTACACTCGAGTAGGACCCTGGCAGAGACACATGCCCGACTGGCATGTTCCCTCCCTCCTGGTCAATCATTCGGGAGCTTCAAAAGCTTTCTTCTGCCCAAACATCACAGCGACCAATGCCAACAGACACCGGCACACTTAGGGATCCACAGAGTCTTTGCAGCTTGTGTAACAGACCTCAGCAACTCAGCATTTTGGCTAATCTGCTTTATTTACATATAAACACACACGGAGCACTGCAACGTGGCTCCCTCTCTCTCTAGCATCAGGCAGCAAACAGAATGAACAAAGGACAATAGTCCCACTTCATGGAACACAGAAACACAAACATCCTGTCTCCGTCACTTCCCACTTTGTGGAGTCAAAACATATACTGTCATGTGATGGACAAAAACCCCATGACTGCAACCATGGAGCAGGAATTCTAACAGTTTACTGGAGGAGGAAGACTCATCTTTTTCCGTCCGACAATTCTTTATTGAATGCCTCTCGTCTGCCCTAAACCACAAAATGAACAAACACGCTCACTTCCAGGCCCACTGAATACGCCTCCTGAGTTTATCTTCAGAAAGGCATGGGAGACAGACTTAATATAAGGCACTGGTCACTAACATGGTCTCATGGGCATGCACAGAAGTCTTCCATGGTGCCCACAGGGTCCCCTCTCCCACCCATCTTCCAGATGCAAGTAGTTCCTTACCAGGGATATAGGAAGCTACCTTACATTGAGTAAGAGGATTGGTCCAGCTATCCCAGTACTGTCTACACTGACTGTCAGCAGCTCTCCAGCATTTCAGGCAAGAGTGTACCTAGATATGCTGAGAACTGAACCTGGCATCTTTTCTGCTGTGTCACTGAGCTCTTGTCCTTCTCTAACACCTAATGTTAAGATTCCAGCCTTCATGGTTCTGAACAAAGGGTTGAATTAAGTAGGAACATGGGAAGGTGTCTTACAGCGAGTCAGATGACATGCTTCAGTATTGACTACACTGACTTGCATTAGCTCTACAGGGGTTTTGGGCAGGGGATATTCCTTGCCCTACCTGGAGATGCTGGGGATTGAACGTGAGACCTTCTGCATGCAAAGCAGATGTCCTCCCGCTGAGCTAGAGCCCTCCCCTTAGCCCATAGAATAAGTGGTCCATGCGCTTGTGTGGTGCCCAGAGATTCCAAAAAGTCGGCAACTTTTAATGTAAATACAAGCTACATTAGGGGAGGCAGGTATTTCTTATAACTTTCCTATGCTGCAAGAGAGAAATTGCCCAGCAGCAAATTTATGAGTGCTGTTGGAAGCTAGGCGCAAATGAACAGGTATTATTGCTAGTTCCCAAGTGGCGAGGCTCTGCTGTTTGGCTAAACATAATAAACAAATTTTTATTAAAGGGTGGAATTAGAAGCTGGTCTCATGCTCACCACTCATTAGAGGGCACTGCTGCATTAGTAGATTCACCCAAATTCGCCTTCGTGGTTACACTCTGAATTCCTATTGCCTTTTAAGCAGGGTTCTATTCTGTTTTGATTTGCTTTTAGGGAGGGGGTTATGATGGAAGGGATATTTCAAAATGTGGCCGTGGAGTTGCTAGTCTTTATCCCAATCATCAAAACCACCCCTGTCTATTATTCTGTTTAACGCAAAGCAGAGCAGGTTGCAATCTCTGCTGCTGTGACCTTAGGCCCCGAGGCTTAAGGAGATCAGTATACGGTGCTCTTCAAGGACGTTAATACTGCTGTTTTTATTTTCTTTTAGTGTGGTGTATGTAAAGCGAATCTTCCCGTCCTGCTATGCTGTTTCCCCTTGAGTGTCTTTCGACATCTTGAAAGTTTAAACCAGGGGTCAGCAAACTTACCGCACCTCAGGCCAGTGTCTCCAGTGCCGATCGCGCGGTGGGCCAGAGGGCGGGGGAGCGCATGCCCATACGCTTGCACACACGCTATTTCCAGCGCACTTCCGGGTCGGAGGAGCACCGGAAAGCTTGTGCGCATGTGCACGGGCCTCCTCTGACCCGGATGTGCACCGGAAATAATGCATGTACATGCGCAAATAACGCTTGCGCATGTGCACAAGCTATTTCCGGTGCTTCTCTGACCCAGAAGTGGGCAGCTGTGCAGCACAGCACAGCACCGGTAAGAGCGGGCAGTGGCGGTTGCCGTGGGCTGGATAAACGAGTCCCTCAGGCCTTATCCAGCCCGTGGACCTTAGCTTGGGGAGCCCTGGTTTAAACATTGCTAGTATCTATATTTATAGCCAGTGGGGGCTGGTGCCCATCGGGCAGGTGGCAAAGAAGGCAGGGATCCCAACAGCAGGTGGCAGCAGAGCTAATGATGGGCAGAGCCAACAAATTCTACTTTTTTCCCCATCCTCCTCCTCTCTACTGTGTTCTACAAGGGGCAACTCTGAGACTAAGGAGGAGGAAGGAGGCAGCGCCACCCCCTGGACTGGATCTAAGGAAGAAGGGAGGCAGGTGGGGAGTTCCTGAGGACAGGCTGAAGTTGGTAGGGCAATGCCCCTATTTGCTCCCATGGATCAGCCTCCACTGCATGTATCTAAATCAAGGGTGCTGATATCTCCTTTGAGGCAACCACCAGTGTGGTGTACTGGTTACAGTGCAGACCCTCCAAGTGCCCCTATTTTCTAGGGACGGTCCCATGTTTACAAAAGGTGTCTCAGATTTGATCTCAGAACGTCCTGCATTTCCTTAGGATGTTCCTATTTTCATCAGAGAAATATTGGAGGGTTGGACTAGGACCTGGGAGACCTGGGTTCAAATCCCCACAGGGTTGTCGTTGTGAGGCTAAAATGGGGAGGAGAAGAACAATGTGTGCCACCTTGAGCTCTTTGGAGGAAAGGTAGAATGTAAATGCAATAATAAATAAACAAATAAATAATTACAATAATCTGTTGTTTGTTTGTTTTTAAGATTCCCTTGCTGGTTTTTGCTGTTTTAAAGGATGTTCTTTAGCTGTTGTGCTTATGACAATTTTTAGATTTCCTTTTTTGTTGCTGTTTTCATATATTTATAATGGTTTGGGCTGTTTATACTCTAGTTTGTTTTTGTACTTTGAATGGATTTTGAAAACGCTGCCCAAAAAAGCAAGGCTGTATAAGCAGTGTATAAATGTAGCAGGAAAATAAGTAAACCCAAGTTCAAAAATAAAAGAAACTAAATATATAAAACAGAATAAGGATTCCTGGTTAATATAATTTTCTGATTTATGGGATATTTCCAACCCTCCATTCATTCTAAGTTTTAACAAAGCTGCTTAAATAAGCAGCTGAAATAAGTCTAAAGAGAAAAGAAATCCTGATAGCATTTCACTGAGAAAACTGGACAAAGTCTGTGTAATTTGAGGAGAAAAGAGCAGAGAGGTTCCCTCTTTCTTTCTTCAGACCTTGTACCTATCAGGGAGACAATTCAGCCAGAGGGAAAACTCCTTCAGAGCTACACAGCCAATCAGGGCATGCACTACCTCAGTAAACCTCATGCCACACTGTCTGGTTGCCAAGCAACACCTCTACTCACATCTTGACTTACTGCTAATAGAATTAACCCTTAAACTGCAAACTGAATGATCCCTGCTGCTGCACTTGCAACAACATGGTCTCAGGGTGGGTACAGTACAATAAAATGATTAAAAATCACTATGATAAAAACCAACTGACAACAAATTACAAGAGTTTTTGTAATTTAAAAAGTTAGCATATATCCTTAAAATACGTTTTGAGTTTATTTCTCACCCAGCCCCTAAACAGTGGGTGGGGGAGAAAAACAACAAATCAAATTACATCTCAGTCCTACTGCTACCAGCCCTCAATTGACCCCAGCTGTTGAGGAAGGGGATTCAAAGATTGGTGGGGGAGGAAAAGGAAGGAATTAGTTACCTCCTCTGTACCAAAGAGTGCATCTGTACTGTTGCTATTTTGAGGTGGAATTCAATCACATACTGGCAAATTTAGGCTGCACAATTAAAGTTGGTTTGTTTCTCCCGTACAACAAACCCACTCCTACCCACCCCGAAATCCAGACTTGACAGGAAAATGCATTGGAAAGTAGAAGCTGACAATTGCTTGACCCAGCACTGGTCCCATCTGCACTGTGCATTTAAAGCAGTATCAAATCACTCGAAAGAGCCATGGCTTCCCCCAATGAATCCTGGGAACTGTAGTTTGTTAAGGGTGCAGAGACTTGGTAGGAAAATCCTATTTTCCTCAGGGAGCTACAATTCACAGTTTCCTGGGAAGAGTGACTCTAGAATTGTAGCTCTGTGAGGAGAATGGGGTCTCCTAACCACTCTTGATGCTTTTGAATTATGGTGCTGGAGGAGACTCTTGAGAGTCCCATGGACTGCAAGAAGATCAAACCTATCCATTCTGAAGGAAATCTGAGTGCTCACTGGAAGGACAGATCCTGAAGCTGAGGCTCCAATACTTTGGCCACCTCATGAGAAGAGAAGACTCCCTGGAAAAGACCCTCATGTTGGGAAAGATGGAGGGCACAAGGAGAAGGGGACGACAGAGGACGAGATGGTGGGACAGTGTTCTCGAAGCTACCAGCATGAGTCTGACCAAACTGCGGGAGGCAGTGGAAGACAGGAGTGCCTGGTGTGCTCTGGTCCAGGGGGTCATGAAGAGTCGGACACAACTAAACGACTAAACAACAACAACAACTACTCTTAGCACCCTTAACGAACTATGGTTTCCAGGATTCTTTGGGGGAAACCATGGCTCTTTCAAGTGGTATGATATTGCTTTAAATGTACAGGTGGGGTCTGTCATCTACCAACAAATCAGAACAGATACTTCATAAACAACTGATAAACAGGTTACCTGGAAGTGACCACCTTTTGGTGTTTGTAGTCCATGCAGTGTGTCCCATGGGTGGTAACTACATTTGCACAAAATATCAGCGAGGCAGTTTCTCTCAGTTTTCCCTTCCAGTCTTAAGTTTAGTTCTCTACATTTCCATATCACTTTGTGATTTATTTATTTTATTTATTTAGACATTATTTATTTATTTATTTTATTTATTTTATTTATTTAGTCTTCTTGAGAATTCACCAGCATTTTAGTGCAAAATTCTTCTAAAAGGACCCACTTTTGCTTTCATTTTTTGCCCCAGTACACAGATTTTTGGCAAAGCTATTTCCCCAAACCTAATACATTTTTGTACATTAGTTCCATTTTAGCGGGAGAACTGCATTGCAAAAGGTGGAGAAAGGCAGATTTTGAAGGATGGGTGTTTCTCAGTTTGTTTATTGTTTGGGAAAGCATAGATTAAGAAAGTTCGCCTTAACATGTGAACCGAATCCAAATTCTTCCCTATCCCTAAAACGAGCTTAGTGTGGCCCCTTGGGGATCTGTACCATTTATTAGACTGTGCTCCATGTTGCTGGAACCGTGGAAAGCTTCTCTGTGATGGGTGACTCACCACTTCTGTCTTCTGTGAATTTGCTGCTCGCTCTTTTGACATTTCCTTGCACTTGGCTTCCTTCCTGCTGGAAAGTGGTTGTCAGAGGATCTTCCCGCAGGGACCACCACCTTTATGAGTGCGAGCTCAGAAGCCAAGACGATGAGCTGCTGATGGCCACAGAGAGACAATCAAATGGCCCCAAGCTGCCAAGGTATCCAACTAAAACAACTAAAATCAAATAAGAACCGTGCACTTACTTTATTTAGTATATTCCAAACAGTGAACGAATGAAGGTAGACCTGTTAAGATAAATATAGGATAAATTATGCTACTCTGTCTGAACGTCCAACCAAGTGTGGAATTTATACTTACAACAAGCATGTAAGTTAAAACAGTGCATACTCAATTTATATTTTCATGTATGCTACTTAAAGCAAGTCTGGGCATATTCAGATAAATCAGAGCCATAGCTACAGTGGGGTTAGCCGGGTTTTTTTGCCCCAGGTGAAGCCTCCATAGGGGTGCCATTGAGGCTCCCAGTTTCTCTCTGTGTGTACACAGATGTGCATGGTGTGTGTGTGTGTGTGTGTGTGTGCGCGCGCACGCCAAATTGGGTCTTTGACCAGTGAAAAGAAGCCTAGTTCTGCCCCTGGATAAATAAAAGATACTAGGGGTTCGGCTCACTCCACTCACTACTCCCTTGCCATGCTCCCCCTTCTCACCCCAGGCAGCTACTAGCCTCACTTTAAATAAATAAATAAATAAATAAATAAATAAATAAATAAGGATTTTCTTGTTTTACAGAAGTGTAGTGCCTCGTATTTTTTTTTCATGTAACATTTTTACATGTCCGTTTCATTTGTTGAGGCATTAGGGGGAGAAGAAAGAAAAAAAGAAAAAAGAAAGGGGGGGTGGAGAGAGGGAAGATGGATAGGGGTGGGGTCGGGTGGCGGTGTTTCTATTATGTTTAATGTATGTAGAGTTTGGTGTCAGCACCTTCCCAACCCCATTTCTCCATGCAAATCCAACACTGAGATGCGGCACTACAAATCCTCCAGTGGGGACTATGTGAAGGCAGTCTTACATTTTTATGTATATGGGGGGGGTATCATGTTAATGTTGCATGAATGTCCAAACAGATGTGGAATTTATGCTTGCCTTAATGCAGCTACTGAGAATTTTAGACACTCATGGGGGGCATTGGGAGGAAGAAAACACCAGTTTATTTCTTGTTTCTCTATATACATCATATTATTGAAAATCAACCCATCAGTACATTTTTTAAAGGGAGATGGGCAAAAAAGGAACAGTGGATGCTATTAGCCCTCTGATGGTGTGTGCATGGACTAAATCCATTTGCACCCCCCCCCCATCTGTGAAGGGAATCCCCCCCCCCCGCAATATGTTATCTAGGGTACAAAGCATCTGAATTCAGCTGAAAGGGTGGAGAACATGTGGCTGTCCAGGTTTTGCTGGACTACAACTCCCATAATCCTGGATGGTGGGAGTTAGAGTTCAACAACATCTGGAGAGCCACAGATTCTCCACCCTTGACTTATGGTGCAATCCAAACACATCTGCTAAGCATTAAGCCCTTTTGAATTCAATGGGACTTATTCGCTGGCAAGTAGAGTAAACATCAGGACGCGGGTGGCGCTGTGGGTTAAACCACAGAGCCTAGGACTTGCCGATCAGAAGGTCGGCGGTTTGAATCCCTGTGTCGGGGTGAGCTCCCGTTGCTCAGTCCCTGCTCCTGTCAACCTAGCAGTTCGAAAGAACGTCAAAGTGCAAGTAGATAAATAGGTACCGCTCCGGCGGGAAGGTAAACGGAGTTTCCATGCGCTGCTCTGGTTCTCCAGAAGTGGCTTAGTCCTGCTGGCCACATGACCTGGAAGCTCCCTCGGCCAATAAAGCAAAATGAGCGCCGCAACCCCAGAGTCATCCGCAACTGGACCTAATGGTCAGGTGTCCCTTTACCTTTACCTAGAGGAAACATCAGGCCCAAGGGTTGGCATCTCTCTGTCTGGCCTTTGAGAGTCTCCCCAGGCCCCACTGCTCACTGACCCCTTTTCATACTGCAAGTGCTTTTGCCTGGTTGGGATGTGTCCTTGAACCCTAATAATGCCTCTTGCTTGCCTAGATGGAGGATAGGCAGTGGTATGTGTAGAAATCAGCCTGGTACATGAAGGTAAAAATCAGCATCCATTGCTCCACTCACTTTTGCCTCCGGCTCCGCCCATCACTGGAATATGGCCCTCAGATGGTTGCCTGGATGTGAATGCGGCCCTTGGGGGGTAAGGTTCCCTCCCATTGACATATAGGCTTGCATTGTTGGTTATACTTGGCTCTTTATAGAGGACTTTAAGCATTCACATAGGGCTCCCTTCAACATTTTAAGCTGTTGGGTATTTTTGTTTTATTATCTTCATTATTATCTAGATGTCTTTCTCAGGCTTAAAAGCAATGCAATCTTCTTTCTAGAGGTGTGTTATGATGCCTCTCACCTAGCTCCCATTGCATCTCTCCCACAGCTTTGTGAGCTACACAAATTAGATCTGAGAAGGAGCACTTCAGTGGGTGGGTGGAAATGAGTAACGTGCTATAAAGGATAAGCATAAACATGTTTTGCTAAGCTAGCAGTGCAGTAGTTGTAGTAGCAGTAGTTCAAGCTGATGGTTTATGGCAACAATGTTATTGCAGTGTGAAACTGTAACATAAGATAAAGGAAGTTGAAGCAATATGAAGGGCAGATACAATAGTCAATAAAAATACAGTCACAAGTGGGGACCTGCAGCAAAATGCCCTTGTTCAACATACTCCATTCATTGTTTTTGCCTTTTGATTTTGTGTGCTCCACATGCTGGTAATGGCTGTCAGCATTCTGTGGCCACTGAGAAAGGCCCATCTTCACTGAGCTGGAGTTTTTTGGGGGGAGCAATCTAGTCTTAGAGTCCCCCCTTTTTTGTACTGCAACCCTCAGGAATCCCCCACACCAGCTGTACTGTAATGTCCCTCTTGTGCATGAGTGTTGCTGTTTCAGCTGAACTCACCTCCAAACATTGGAACTAACGGGAGCAATAATGTCACAGAAGAGGAAAACGAGGGGGAAGCTGAGAGCTAGACTGCAAGCTTGGAAAGCAGATCTGGACTCTGTTCCTTGTTTTGAGAATTGTTCACCCATCTGCAATGTAACTTGTTCAGCAGTAAAAGGATATGAACTTGTTTCTGGTCTATGCGGAAGACCCAAAAGGAGTAAAGGAGGAATCTCTCCACTGTTTTGACTGGCGATGGTAAAGGTTCTAAATGCATGTACACTTACTTGGGTAGAAGCCTCACTGAACTCTGGGATTCACTTCTAAGCAAGGATGGGTGGTTCTCTCAAACTTCAGTTTCTCATTCTTGCAGTCTTAAGTTCAGTTCTCTGCATCTTCACATCAGTTTGCGACTTTTAAAAAAGAAGTCCTCATAATTCAGCATTTTTGTGTAAATTTATCCCAATAGAGATATGTGTGCATGCTATTTTGCCTGATCTTCCTATATACTTAAAAATGTAAGTCTGTTGTCATGCTGCAGTTAACCTGGCCACCAATAGGTGGTCATGCCAACTTCAGTATGATGGCATAACAACAGGCAGGGAGGCAGGCAGGCAGGCAGGCAGGCAGGCAGGCAGGCAGGCGAGCGAGCAATATAGGAGGCAGGTGGCCCAGGTAAGCTGTTTAACAGAGTGCAGGAGGGGGGAGGCAAGTCAGAGAGGGGTTTGGCAACTTGCTCTCTGATGTGCCTCTCACCGCCTTTAAAAGAGAGTGACAGTTTGGGTGAACTGTAAGGGGACAGGTGAGATGTAAAGGGAGAAGGTGTTGGTCAGGTGTGGAGGAAGAGGGGTTGTCAAAGGGGATGTCAAGTGGAACGAGCAGGGCCGTAACTGCTAGCGTACACCTGTTTTTCAAAGCGGCTTTTCCCAACATGATACATGGTTTACATTATTTTTTACTTCTGCATTCATTTTATGGACACTTTGCCATACTATATGCATTTTTGTATGCACATTGGCCAGAGATGACTTGGCACTGCAAGATTTGGAAAAGATGAGTTTCAAAGGATGGCTGTGATTCAGTTTGTGAACAGTTGTGTATAGGCATTTTGCCTTTAAATGCAAACAAAGTGAATTTTTTCTCCATTCCTACTTCTGAGTAAACATGCATAAGATTGCACTGCACATAACAATTATGGGATCTGAGTGTGGCATGAAGACCACATTTGGGCTAAGAGTGCATTTGGGCTAGGCTGCAATATTTATATATTTCTCATGTGCAAATACATACAGATTAAACCCAATCATCTAAAATTCACTCCATTTTTTGCACAAAAATTCTTCTAAGTTTGGATGCAGCAATGCTTCGAATACCAGTTGCTGGAAACCACAGGAGTGGGCTGGGGAAGTGCTCTTGCGCTCGGGATCCTGTTTGCTGGTTTCCCACAGACTAGACTAGATATTACCTTAAGTTGCACGCTTCTCGTCCTGACCACTAGATGCCGCCACAACGCAACAAACCGATCCCATTCACCCCTACACAGACCTTCAGAAAAGCCAAGTTAAGAGGAAGAAAAGGCTTATGTCTGTATATAGGTGTGATTTTTGAGACCGCGAATCTGACATCTTTTTTTTTTGCAGACGCCTTTCCTTGGATGTAGCTGTTCGCGATCCCTCTGCTGCGGTCGCCCAGAGAGGGATGGAGGGAGGTGAGAAGGATCACACCCCTCCAGCTGTTCAATGGCTCTCCTAGGAGGAAATTGTCTGGCCTTTCGTGAAGCGGCAACTTCTTCCCTTCTCCAGCCTGACTTGTTGATTGTTTTGTGTGTGTCCTCGCTGCGCCTGGATCAGGATCGCGAGGCAAAGGCGAGTGGGATCGCTCCTTGCAATGCGCGGCCGGAGGAGAGAAGACTAAGCGGCTATTGTCCTTCGCCCTTGATGTCACAACACCCAGGCTGGGGTTTAGCTGCGACCGGTGTAGCTCTGGGGGGCGGCCAAGAGCTCTCCTGGTGAACAGGTTCGAGCCCAGGCAAGGTGGGGGAAGGAGGGAGGGAGAGAGAGAGAGAGAGAGAGACGGGAGCATCATCTCTAAGCAGGCGCCCGCGGCCATCCTATGCGCTGGTTGATGCTGGCAGGCGCGCCGATCCGGACGCGAGAGATGCCTTGCCCCGGAGAAGGACGAGGGCTGGCCGGGGTCTACAAGCCCACCTGCGGCCGCAGTGGTGGCCAGCAAGCGGAAGAGACCCAATCCTGCCCGGAATGCTACACCAACCAGACCTTTCTGTTTGATGATGGCACCTCACGGAGGTAAGGAATAAGAGATTTATTTTTGTCACTTAGATGTAGCTGTATATAATGTCAAGCGTTGATGACAAGCGTTTATACATTATTACTTAATGAGCTGATGATATGCACATTTATTTATTTTTCAAAGCGTCAAGCGGCACTTCAGGCAAGTTTGTTACAGAGCCCCGGAGGATGCAGGTTGTTAGCTAAAACCAACGAGTTGCACCCCGCTGTTAGTCCTACTCAGGGCACACCCACCGAAATGAACAGATGGCTAATAAAGGTCCACTAATTTCCGTAGGTCTGCTCTGATTAAACCATAGTTGGATTCCAACCTGCTATATTTATTTCGGTGACTAACGTAACAGAGGAGAGTCCTGCCCTAAAGTGGAAAACAAATGTTTTTGTTCTGGGGCCAGCACAACATCCCGCATAAAATAACTTTATCTATGTGTGTGTTCAAATCACACACGCATCTCAATAGCCTTTCAAGCATAGGAACTGCTTGACGGGATCAGTCAAAAGGTGCACCAGGTGACACTTGTCTGACATCCTGTTTCCAAAAGTCATCACCCTGGTACTTCTCTGGGATGAACACAAGCGGCACAGAAAAGGCAGCCAGCCTTCCCCCGTGTTGCATGTCCACAGCATCCGGTGGCCAGGCCAGAGGTCTACTGCCTCTGAAACCAGGACATGGGTCAGTATGTGATCTTGAGCACAAGGGGTAGACATGCCTCATAGTAGTCTGGTGTCCTTGCATTCACTGGCCCCCTTGGGAGATCATGGGAAGCCACTTGCTCTCTGTTGCTCCCAAGGCAACTGGTATTCCAAGGTAGACTGCTTCTGAACCAGAAGGCTCCATGAAAGGGAGTGGTAAGGCATCTGCTTTGCATACAGAAGGTCCCAGGTTGAGTCCTTGGCTTTTCCAGTTAGAAATTGCCCTGCTTGAGATCCTGAAAAGCCACTGCCAGTCAGTGCAGAAAAATACTTTGTTGTTTAGATGTTTAGTCATGTCCGACTCTTCGTGACCCCCTGGACCAGAGCACGCCAGGCACTTCTGTCTTCCACTGCCTCCTGCAGCTTGGTCAAACTCATGTTGGTAGCTTCAAGAACACTGTCCAACCATCTCATCGTCTGTCATCCCCTTCTCCTTGTGCCCTCCATCTTTCCCAACATCAGGGTCTTTTCCAGGGAGTCTTCTCTTCTCAGGAGGGGGGCAAAGTCTTGGAGCCTCACCTTCAGGATCTGTCCTTCCAGTGAGCACTCAGGGCTGATTTCCTTAAGAATGGATAGGTTTGGTCTTCTTGCAGTCCATGGGACTCTCAAGAGTCTCCTCCAGCACCATAATTCAAAAGCATCAATTCTTCAGTGATCAGCCTTCTTTATGGTCCAGCTCTCATTTCCATACATCACTACCGGGAAAACCATGGCTTTAACTATACGGACCTTTGTTGGCAAGGTGATGTCTCTGCTTTTTAAGATGCTGTCTAGGTTTGTCATTGCTTTTCTCCCAAGAAGCAAGCATCTTTTAATTTCGCAGTGATCCAGAAAAATACTAAGCAATGGCAAATATTGGCCTGACAGGCTAGAAGACAGCTCTCTGTGCTTTTATTTAAATCAGCTCTTTATTCAGAACAATGAGGACTGGAACCTTAGTTTGTTGCTAGGGGAACAGATGTAGCTCAGTTGTGGAGCCTCTGCTTTGTGTACAGAAGGCTCCAGGTTCAGTTGCCGGCATCTCCTGTTTGTTCCTAGGATCCATGGATCTTATACATGAAACTGTCTGGCTGTTAAATCAAGGAAGTATGTGGCCACATTGCCTCTGCTACAACCTGGTCAGGCAGACCAATCTTGGTTATTTCTGTTCCCCTGCCCTGCTTCCAGCTTTGCCACCCTTGCTTCTCAAAGAGACTCTATTAAGTGCCTTTATTAAGATGGCTAGTTTTTCTTTGAGGTGTGAGGGGTTTGAGAGAATACTAATGCCTCCCTCTTTTGTAATTTTATTTTTCATTTTCTCATTTATAAACTTATAATAGTACAAATTTACACATGCAATTTAAATTACCAGATATTAATACTGACCCCCTCCCCTCTTTCTGTGGTTGCTTATGTCATATCTTTTATCACTGCATATCCAATTTAAATCCATTTGTTACTTATCCTTTATTTATTTAATTTGTTTCATTGCTCATTTTAAAAAATTAATACTGCTACTCTTTTAAGCTGTTTGCAATAGTTTTTCAAATAGTATTCCCTATTCTAAATCAAAAAGTCTATCTTCTTATTCTTCCGGTAAGTTTCTGCATACTCCAACAGTTTTTGCTCCCACTCTTCCTTGGTTGGGACTACTTCTTCTTTCCATCTCTGGGCATATATAATTCGAGTGGCTGTTGTTGCATACATAAATACAGTCATACCTAGGGTTAAAGTAGCTTCAGGTTGAGCGTTTTCAGGTTGTGTTCTGCAGTGACCCGGAAGTAACGGAACGGGTTATTCCCAGGTTTTGCCACTTGCGCATGCGCAGATGCTCAAAATGATGTCACGTGCATGCGCAGAATCGGCGAATCGCGACCCGCGCATGTGCAGACGCGGGTTTTGTTCTGCTCAGGATGCAAACAGGGCTCCGGAACGGATCCCGTTCGCATCCAGAGGTACCACTGTACACCATTACACAAACCAGAAGTCTAACAAGTGTCTCTTGCCTGCATCTCTAAGCTGTGAAAAGGCTCAGCTGATGACAACATTCCATAAGTCAAGTTAAAATTCCCAGAGAAGGTGGAAAGAAGCAATGTGTTTTGGGCTGCATGATAGGCAGAAATCAAACAGGTGCAGCTTCTTGGACCCCCAGTGGCAAACTACTTTGCCTGTTGAAGTTTAAGCTTCCACAGATGACGCCTTGTCTCTTTCCCCTGCCACAACTTTGGCAAAAGATACACTTGGAGAAATGCAAAAACCTTCTCCTATACATCATACTGTTCAATGAAATTCTCCTATTGGTTCAGGTGCAATATATATACCACTGTAGTGTCTTTTTATATGCCTAATTTATGTTGGGATAGAGGATACACAGGATATGAAACCCCGGAGAGCTGCTGCCAGTCAGTGTATCATTTACTTATCTATTTATTTATACTCCACATTTTCCGCAGACCAGAACTCAGGGTGGCTTACACAAATTAAAATGGCACAGATAGAATACAAAAAGCTAAAAGCATTTATTTATTTACAGATAATCATTAAAAAGTAATTAATTTCTAATAAGGCTAAACCAAACACTAAAATACAGGTAGTAAAAACAGCACAGCCCTAATAGAAGCCCTTTCTTTAAACAAAACAAACCAGTCCATTCCCAAGGGCCTGCCAGAATAAAACAGCCTTGCCGGCAGAAGGCCAGCAAGGAGGGAGCCAATCTAGCTGCTCTAGGAGATCTCAGAGCATGGGCAGATTTCTGCTCTTTCAAGGTAGTCGTGCTCTTTCAACGTAGACAAGACTGAGCTAGATGGACTCACAGCTTTCTGTGCTCAAAGCTGACATGCTATTATTTGAGAGAGGAAGAAAGCTGATGACTGGCTAAGATTTGGGATTTAATCAGCACATCTATTTAGTTTGGGGATAATCAACAGCCTGCGATAGATAACTGAGTGCAGGGGTTTTTGTTTTGGTGTGTGTAGATATGAATGATTTCAGAACGGAAACTGGTATAGTCACACCTCGGGTTGAATATGCTTCAGGTTGAGCACTTTTGGGTTGCGCTCTGTGGCAACCCAGAAGTAATGGAGCGCGTTACTTCTGGGTTTTGCCGCATGCACAGGCGCTCAAAATGATGTCGCGCGCATGCGCGGAAGCAGCAAAACACAACCCGCGCACGCGCAGATGCGCCGTCACATCTTACATTCTATTCAGGGTGTGAATGGGGCTCTGTAATGGATCCCGTTCGCATCCCGGGGTACCACTGTATTCTGAACCAAGAGGTAGAATGGAAAGAAAAGTCATATTGTTATAACACTGTTATTGTTGTTATAATAACAGTGTAGGAACATGTATAGTTTGGGGGAAAGTTATGATTTCCTTTTAAAAAATGATGATCTGAAAAAACATAATTGCCAAGTATCATTGGAAGAATTCCAAGTGCAAATGCTGCTCATCCGGAATGCAAATCACACTCAAAATGTGCCACAGGAAAGGAGCGAGCTGAGAAATTTTGCATGTGGAACATGCCTTCTGCTCTGCACTGGAGTGGACAATTTTTTTTAAAAAAGGAATAACCGTCAGCTGCAGCAGCAACAAGCTTAGCCAAACAGGTGCTGAACCAACCCCCTCCATGCTCCAGCACCAAAGCTGGCTTCTGATTGGTCAAGCTCATTGTCACTCATGTTGCTTTGAAGAAACTGATGGTGATGGACTGCTAGTGCACAGCTTCTTGTTGCCATTGTCTGGATTCCAATTTGGAAACCCCACCCCCCCGCCAAGGAACAGAGCACTGGGACTTACGCCTCAGAGTCCTCACTGCAGCCAATAAGGCTCCACTCCGGGTGCCATATTTTTGAGAGCTTTGATGGATTGTCGTCCCATCCCCCTGGAGCAGGACCGATTTTTAATCACGGCCCCAATACCAATGGAATATTCTTCCTTGTTCAGTTCCTTTGTATCCCCTGCTCACGAAAAAGCTGAAAATGAAAGGGTCCAAAATTAAAGTCAAAGGTAAGGGGACCCCTGACCATTAGGTCCAGTCGTGACCGACTCTGGGGTTGCGGCGCTCATCTCGCTTTATTGGCCGAGGGAGCCGGCGTACAGCTTCCGGGTCATGTGGCCAGCATGACTAAGCCGCTTCTGGCAAACCAGAGCAGCGCACGGAAACGCCGTTTACCTTCCCGCTGGAGCGGTACCTATTTATCTACTTGCATTTTGACGTGGAACGGCCAATACGTCAAGCAAGTGTTTCTCTAACATGGACTTACAACTACAATCATCCCTAGCTATAGCAGAACCAGTAGTCAGGGATGATGTGAGTAGTAGTCCAACCACAGCTGGAGACCCAAGTTTGAGAAACACTGCTTTAAAGTCTGCTTTGATCTTTTGATCCCAGTACATTTCCGAGCACAATTCAAAGTGTTGGTGCTGACCTTTAAGGCCCTAAACGGCCTCGGTCCTGTATACCTGAAGGAGTGTCTCCACCCCCATTGTTCTGCCCGGACACTGAGGTCCAACGCCGAGGGCCTTCTGGCGGTTTGAGAAGCAAAGCTACAGGGAACCAGGCAGGGGGCCTTCTCAGTAGTGGCACCTGCCCTGTGGATTGCCCTCCTACCAGATGTCAAAGAGAAGAACAACTATATGACATTTGGAAGACATCTGAAGGCAGCCCTGTTTAGGGAAGCTTTTAATGTTTAATAGGTTATTGTATTTTAGTGTTCTGTTGGAAGCCACCCAGAGTGTCTGGGGAAACCCAGCCAGATGGGTGGGGTATAAAAAAATTATTATTATTATTATTATTATTATTATTATTATTATTATTATTATTATTTTGTAACATCCAGAGCCATGGCCCACTCATCCTTTTGGCCAGGGGAGGCAACTGACTCAGGTAGTAGGATCCATGGCTTCCAAGGAGTGTATGCCCTGCTGCTGCAATGGCACAACCTCTTTGGAGGCTGGATCTGCCTCCTCCTTTGGTCTCACCCCACTGCTGCCTCTAGGACCCTCATACCTATGGGACCACCTCTCCTGCTATGCCCCATGGAGGACCTTAAGGTCTGCAAATAATAACACCCTGAAGATCCCAGGCCCCAGGGAGATTAGACTGGCCTCGACCAGAGCCAGGGCCTTTTCAGCCATGGCCCCAGCCTGGTGGAACATTCTCTCACAAGAAACCAGGGCCCTGTGGGATTTGATATCTTTCCGTGAGGCCTGCAAGATGGAGCTGTTCCGCCAGGCCTTTGGTTGGGTTCAGTCTGATTCTTTTCTTTAACAAGCATTAAAGAGGCCTCCTAGCCCACTCACAGGTCCTTTATAAGACCAGTGGTAACAGCTGGCCCTGGAGAATATTAACCACTCTCAATTTTACCTGTGGACTGCCATCTGTCCAGATTTTATTTTGCTCTGAACTAATTTTAAGATGTATTTTAATTAATTGATTGCCTGTTTTTATGTTTTTATGTTCTTTGTATACTGTGTTAGATTTGTGGGGTACAAATAAAATTATTATTATTATTATTATTATTATTATTATTATTATTATTACGGCCTCTGCAAATCAGAGATGCTGCTGGCCTTTCCCCATCCCTAGGAAGGAAATGGCAGAAGCTGTCTTCTGTGGTCTCCTGGGGTCTGTGCTTGCCCAGTGTGATTCAGTGCATGCTCCTTTCCCCTCCATTAGTGCCTTTGATTCCCACTTCAGCTGTTAGGTATGGTTGGTTTGATCCCACCTCTTGTTCCCAACATAGATCTTCACTCACTGCTTATTTCCAGCATAGATCTTTATTCCTCCATTGGTCCTGATGTAGATCTTCACTCACCTCTTCTCCCCTGGTGGGGGAGGTGCCATTTTGTGGTTAGCCTCTGTGACAAAATGTATTGGGCTGGCCCTGCACTGAGCCCCAAATTATTTAAGGAAAGGGACATGGGGGGCGCTGTGGGTTAAACCACAGAGCCTAGGGCTTGCCGATCAGAAGGTTGGCAGTTCGAATCCCCACAACAGGGTGAGCTCCTGTTGCTCGGTCCCTGCTCCTGCCAACCTAGCAGTTCGAAAGCACAAAGTGCATGTAAATAGGTAAATAGGTACCGCCCCAGTGGGAAGGTAAACGGCGTTTCCGTGTGCTGTTCTGGTTTGCCAGAAGCGGCTTAGTCATGCTGGCCACATGACCCGGAAGCTGTACGCCGGCTCCCTCGGCCAATAAAGCGAGATGAGCACCGCAACCCCAGAGTCGTCCATGACTGGACCTAATGGTCAGGGGTCCCTTTACCTTTTATATTACGTTACAGCAGCAGGTCCTCTGTTACTTTGATGCTGTGGTGTCTAAATCAGGTTGCTGTCACCCTGTACAGTGTCTTCCCCACTCCAGTAGGATTTGGAGCTTGCAAAATTATTCTGTATGAGTGGCAAAGATAATTTCCATCCCAGCTTCCCGTTGTCATTTGCTTATGTTATTTGTGCTGCAGGACAGAAGCACAAACTCAGCCTTCCTCCCCCTGACTTTCCCTTATGGGAAATCTGTTTGCCTTAGGGAAAAGCCTCCTGGGACCTGTCAAATCCCCTCTCTTGACCATGTAAGGGAACTCCGGATGGCAAAGGAACAGGAATGAAGGCGGCACACTCTTTCCAAAATAACCTGCTCTTAAAGAGGTTGTATGTTGGGTGGGGGGAGGGGAGGAAGAGGAGGAGGAGGAGGAAGGTGCAACTCGGATTTCAGAAGAGGCAATGTCTTCCATGTGCTTCTTCTGGAACTGAGGATTTTCTGGAGCAGTATCGAGTTTCAGAAGTACTTTGTGGACTGGAATCTGGGCAGAAAAGGAAGCAGTTTTATCTCTGATTGCGGTGGAGGTAATTCAACTTTACACCTTCTTTGGGGAAGAGGCATTGGGGTGCCCGTATCGACTGCTTTACTTTGTTCCCACAAAGATGGAACTGAAAGGTGCTATTTATAGCTTTCTATTTATAACTGGTGTGTAATACAAATAATGCATGGTTGAGAGGTGGATCCACTTATCAACCGAGGACTGCTGCCTCAGAATTTTTGGATCTGGCCTATATGGTTAAACTTACCAATATTAAAAGAACTAGGGGAGTTAAGAGAACAAAACGATTTATTTGTACAGAGCTGGAACTTGTTTATTCAGTATTAAAATGATGAGATGCAGAATACAGCTTGGTGGCATGCCATGTTAAGGAAGAATCTGATAATGTATATTGCTGATTATTTTTTTCAAAGCAACCAAATAAAAACAAAACAATGCTGTTAAAAGCTTTATTTAAGAGAGGTGCTTGTGCCAGCCCCCCCCCAGCTTTTTCCAGAGGGCAAACAAGGCTGGGCATTTGGCTAGCCTGGCTGATGTAAAGTTTGGCATATATAGCAGTGCAGGAATAAGTAAGTAAATAGTATGGTAATAGATCTGCTTTTCTTTGGACCACATCAGCAAGGCCAAGAGGGGGGTCTTGTCGCCTGAGCAGCCCAGGACCTCCATACACACTGCCCAGGCTTGCACCCCGAGGAAGTAATTTCAGTGCTGCTAACATAGCAGTTTGACTTCATTCCTGGAGGCGCATTCCATGGTTTCTTGAGACAGATGCATGCCAAGCTGGCTGAATGAATGAATGAATGAATGAGTAAATAAACTTAAGGGTTATTACTCTTGGCAAACAAACCATTCTGAGCACAAACTTACATGTGGCCATCACGGAGTCATGAGACGAGCAAAAGAAAGGTCTGACACTAATACTGAAGAAGAAGCAGGAAGGAAACCAAGCCTGAAAATCAAACAGTCTACAGGTAGTAACTGGGGGGAAAGGCATCAGTGAGGCAAGAGTAGTGCACATAATTTAAAAATTATAGTACAAAGAATAATAACCATTTTAAAAAATCATCAGAGAAACAACAAAAAACCCTCCTTGAAATGCCTGCAAGTATAAGAAACTCTTAGTCAGGGGTCAGCAAAGTTTCTGTGACTTGGGCCGGTTCATGGTCCTGCAGACGCTGTGGTGAGCCAGAGTGGGCGCACACGCAAACACTCTTTCCGGAGCTCTTTCTGGTGCTGAAGAGGCGTGCGCAGCTTCCCATTGGCTGCAGGCACACGGGAGCCGACTGAGTAGGTGGCGGGGGTCCCCAAGCGGGCAGCGAGGGTCCACGGGCCAGTTAAATGACCTCCATGGGCCGCTTGAGGCCCATGGGCCTTAGGTTGCCGACCGCTGCTCTTAGTCATGTGCCTGAAGTTCAGCGAGGGTTCCCATCTAAACTCAGTCACAGAGGCATATCTAGGGATTGGCGAAACTGGCCCTGGACAGGAGTGCAGGCCCAGCTCCCCCCCCCAAAAAAAACCACCCACCAGACTATGTAGCATATGGTGGATATGTTTGGAGAGCCAGTGTGGTGTAGTGGTTCAGAGCGGTGGACTCGTAATCTGGTGAACCGGATTCGATTCCCCGCTCCTCCACATCCAGCTGCTGGGTGAACTTGGGCCAGTCAAGAGACTTCTCTGAAGTCTCTCAGCCGCACTCACCTCACAGAGTGTTTGTTGTGGGGGAGGAAGGGAAAGGAGATTGTTAGCCACTTTGAGACTCCTTAGGGTAGTGATAAAGCGGGATATCAAATCCAAACTCTTCTTCTTCTTGTGGTGATGCACGACCACTCTCCCAGAAAGATCAAATGTGAGAGAAACTTCCCATCCTTCTTGCACCGTGCCACAAAAGTGTGCAATTTTTTTCACCTTTCCTCTTTTGCCTCAGCCTCACTCCAGACATTTTGAGTACTTGGGCCATGTAAATGTGGTCATTTTTAATGTGGCTACTGCAGTAAAGTGATTTTATTTTACTTTACTGCGGGGTGCCAACACAACTGTGCCAATACAGCTCCTTGCCAAGGGCTCAAGGTATCCGAGGTATGCCTCTGCTAAGTCAGGAGGGAGTTTGACAAGCCTGAGCCACAAAGCTGAATGCATGACTTCAAGTAGTTGCGATCCATGTATCTACACCATGGGGGGGGGGGACGGACGGACAAATAATAAAAACTCCCTCAGATATTTCAGTTATGGGGCAGGAATGAATGAATTTATTATTTTGGTCACAGACCAGTTCCAGCTCACATACAAAATCAGGGAAGTCATGAAACACAATAAGGATACATTTAAATTGGCAGTGTGGGGCAGGAATATAAAGGACTTGGTGGTCCTTAACTCTCCTGGAGCCAAGTTGTTAAGGGCTTTGTAAATTAATACAAGAACTTTGAACCTGGCCCAGTAACATGTGGGTAGCCATCACAAGCTTTTGAGCACTGGATTTATGTGCTGGGCAGGAATAATATTTCCTGATCAACAATCTTTAGCATTTTAAACCATCTGGAGCTTCCGAACCAGGTGCAAGTGTAGCCCCATACAGTGTGTATTGCAGTAATCAAGTCTTGAGGTTACCAGTGCATGAATCACCACAGCCAGGCTGTGCCTGTTAACAGATGATAGAAAAGGCTGGAATTGGGTAAGTTTGACATTTTGTTACACTCCCCACCAAAGACCCCAATCTTCCTTCCTTCCTTCCTGAGTGGGCAGTTGGGATTGACCTTTGTCTGCTCTGTGTCAACACCTTGAAAGCTGACCAGGTAACTGCCATGATTTCACAAGCTAAGATCTACAAATGCTTAACCCAAATCCCCAGTTGGAGTGTCTTCAGGTGGAGTTAGCAGACTCCAGAAAGTCCACAGCGGAAAGCAAATCTGCAGAGCCCGTTTGCCAGGAGAGACCTCTGAGTCCAGGCTCAGCTTGGGATCACCAGCAGCATGTAAGAAAAGCTTCCTGCCTGTATTAGTTAGTGGCTAGGGCAAGTCTAGGAGTTCAAATTGAACATTTCTGCACTCTGAAATTGACTGCAATGCCACATTCAGCATATTACGTTCTGAATCGTTCTGTTTGTTTGGGGGAAGTGCAGCAGGTGTGATTTGATTAAAATCAGCTTCTGCCAACCTTGTGACCTCCTGGTGCCTTGAACTATAACTCCCATCAGCTCCAATCAGCACAATTTGATAATTCTTCCAGTTTGACCTCTCCTTAATTGTCTGTCTATTTTTAAACTGAATTTGTTGCTCTAGGACAACCAATAACCTTTTAACCCACTTCAATGGCGGAAAGCAAAATTTCTGCCTCGTGCCTTCCCACAAAATTTTGGCAGCATGGAGGCAAAGTAACTCTGTATGAATGAGAACATTAAAACACAATTAGTTTTATCCACTGCTAGTCATACTCAAACTAGACCTATTGAAAATAATGAACATTATTATTAAAGTTTTCAGTTTACCAGTTTTGTGAAAACACACCACACACTGTGTATTCGCATTGATTAGAAGTAGGCTTGTGTTAGGGAAACAGCCTTCTCTGGTGCTGATTTAAATATTAAACCTTTGTATTATAGATACTGATTCAGGATACTTGATATAATTAAGAAATTGCTTATTACTTAATTTTTTTTTTAGTTAAATCAAAGTTGAGTGTTAAAGAGCATAAATAAGGAATTGATAGCCGCTGTGTTAAAGTTTTGCTCAGGTTTAATGAACTTTCAGGTCAATGCCAGTTTCTTGCAATAGGAAAACAGATACGAACAAGAACTGAAGAGGATTCTCTGAGATTTAGAACCCTAGATCATCCTGTGGTTAAGTAAAGTAGGATGAAAAAGGAGGAGAAAAATGACAACAGTTATTGTCATTTTCCATAGGGAGACATAATTTTAACCAATGGACTTGCCAGCTCTAGCACAGAAATCAATAATTATAAAATAAGGCATTAATAGGAGGTAAGAAGAGAACTCAACCTTTCTTTGCTCCCACTCCTTGAGCAACTGAGGCAAATCCTTGATGGTTGCTGTTATTCGGACATGTCCTTCATTGATAGAGATCACTGCTTTTCTACTTGGCTTCTGAGTTTGTAAGTCTGCATGTTTTGCTGTGAAAGGGTGTGATTGCTTTGTTTATTTTCTGCTGTGGAATAAAATATCCTTATTGGTGTGCGTCAGTGTTGATCTGGTTGAGACATTGGCTTTTGGCTTGGAGCCAATTTGATTCCCTCCCTCTCTTTCTTTTTTCTTTTCCTTCTCCTCCTGCGATGAGGCTACATTTTAATATTTTAATGTTTCAATATTTTAATGCTGTATTTTCATTTTGTTTTTAGGTTGTAATCATTCAACTTGTTTTTATTATTGCTTGTAAGCCGCTCTGAGCCCGGCCTTGGCTGGGGAGGGTGGGGTATAAATAAAAATTATTATTATTATTATTATTTGCTGAAGCCCCAAAGCCCACATATTGGGAGAGATTTCCAGGGATTTTCAGCAACCTTTTAGCCCTAGCAATGTGATCCATTAGATCCATTAATTTCAGTGGACCTGCTTTGAATAGAACTTGGTACAACCTGATGATAAGCTGTGAGAATGGATAGTATAAAAATTCCCAGGGCAATATTTTAATTTCAACAACTTTAAAGTTTAGTAAGGACAGTAAGATTAGCTTTAAAATGCCAATCTGTTGCTGGACAAAGCTCAATGTGTTGATACTGATATATAGGGTCCTATATGTTTCTTGAGAGACTGCATTATCCCTTTTATACCCCGTAGTTCACTGTGGCCTGTAGGAGATTTTCTCCTGCTAGTTTCAAAGATCTGAGAAACAGTGGCGGAGGAAGCGGGGGTGCGGGGGGCTGCAGCCCCCCTAGGTGTCATCACTGAGAGGGAGTGTGTGACAAAATGAGTTTAAAATAAAAAATAAAAAATTGGGCTCACGAAACTTTTTAGGAGCGACGTGGTGGCGTAGGTGCCTGCAGGTTCCACGCTGCCTGAAATGGCAGCGTGGGACTTGTGTCTGCCTACTGCCTCTCCCTCAGCCACCCTACAGCTGAGAGGGAGGCAGCGGAGAGGCTTGCCCCGCCCCCATGGACAGATCGCCCCGCCCCCAGCTGCAGGACACGCCCCCACACCAGGCACCCAAGCGGCTAGCTATGCTGCTGCTGAGAAGCCTGCTATGTTAAGGTTACCAGATTTTTTTTAAAGAATCTTGGGACACTTTCTTTTTTTTGGAAAAGATTTTAAAAAAGTTATTAAAAAAGTTTTTTTTTTTTAAAAAAGAAGTAATATCTTCTCTTCTGTGGTCTCCTCTGACGCATGGCCTTCCTCTGTGCCCTGGTCTGCTCTCTTGGAGCACTAGCAGCCGTGGAGTAGGCTCGGCCACAAGTTCTTGCCCTAACTCTCCTCCTTAGCGGCAGTGGCGGTAGCAGTAGCAGCAGGGCAAGGTCAGGGCTCCCCTCTTTTTTTCTCCTCCTCTTTCTCTCTCTTCCTTCTCCTTCTCCTATCCTCCTTCTCCCTGTGTCGGCTCCGGGGTTTTCCGGAGTTGACGTGCCGGGCGTCCCTGGTTGCCCCTCAGCAGCGGCAGTGGCAGCGGCAGTCTCAGTAGCCCGGATCAAGCCTGGTAGTGCAGTTGGCTCTGGCTGGCTTCAGGAGCTGCTCGCTGCCATGGTGCCCGCCATTTTGCCTTGCCAGAAATCCCCATATGATGTGTCTTGTGCCGTTGAACCAATCACGCAACATTCATTCCCTACTAATAAATCTACCACACTTAAAAAATATAAATCCAGGGACATTAAATGAAATCTGGAGACGTTCCGGGGATGGATTTTTTCTGGGGACAGATCTGTAAATCCGGGGACTGTCTCCAGGAAACGGGGATGTCTGGTAACCATATGCTATGTGGAACAGCATTCCTGTTGAGATATGACAGGCACCCACTCTCAGCATTGCCCAACAACAATGGAAGACATTTTTGTTCCAATACACTTTCTCAGCTGGATAAATGAGTCTTTGCCATGAGTGTCTATTTTGTATGATGTAAATTTTGTTTTAAAAATATCTGTTGGTTTTTTGGACTTTATCAGGGTTTTGTTTTTTTGTTTATGCTGCTTTTATTGTTGCTTTGAGACAACTGTATCAATGGTGATGATAGTAATACTGCCTGAGAACATAAAAAGGGTCTTTACCTGTCACCAGAAAGACTGCAGAGTAGGGCCCAAGTGAATCCCTATAGGGAGAGCATTCCTTAATTGGGATGCCAACACCAAAAAGACCCCCTCTCTAGTAGCTGCTAGCCATACCTCCCTTGGCAGGGGGTGCCTGGATAAAGGTCACCAAAGAGGACTGCAAGGTCTGGGAAGGGGTGTGTGGGAAGAAGCAGTCTTTTCCAGAACCTTGCTACCAGGGCCTTAAAAAGGACTGGATGGACTGGAAGACAGTGCAGACGAGAAAGCCCTGACATAAATATGATCAAAGCACCCAGTCCCAGTGAACAACCTCATAGCCCTATTTTGAACCGTGGTGTCTGGCTCCCTTTGGGACTGCTAGGGTGGAAAGCAAGGAGCCCAACTGTAGGTGGCGCCAGAGCAGGTGGAGCCAATTAATTCCCACTGCATTCCCAGACTCCTCCTTGCTGCTGAGTTGTATAAGGGCAACATTGTGACTAAGAAGGAGGAATCTGATAGTGCTCTCTCTCCCCCCCTCCCAATTAGTTGTAAGTAGGAAAGCAGGCAGGTGGGAATTTGAAAAAAGAAAAAGAAAAAACCCAATAAATATTAATTGGAAAAAGGCAAGCAGGCAGATCGGGGCCAGCTGAAGGCAGACTGAAGTTGGTAGGGCAGTAACCCTTTCACCCTCGTGGACCAGCTTCTACTGATTTTAGGCTAACTGATGTTCCTGGAGCATCTTCCAAGGCAACTCATTGCAGATATTTGTGTGTTAATAATAGTAGTGCTCTATACCCGTGGTTTCCAATTAGCTAATTACTGAGGACCCTCTATTTTTCAAAAGCCAAGCCAGGAACCCCCTACTTTTGAAAATTTTGATAACTCTATGGTTGTTACCTGTGCAAAGCAATTTTTTTGAATAAAATGTCGGTTAGCTCCTAATAAGCAAAGGATTTTAGGCATACTTAAAAAAAAAGACCATAAAATTTGTGATATTATCACAAATTGCCTATCCCCAGACAGTAGGAAAAACTTGTCTTCATTGCTCCACTACAACTAAAGAAAGAAAGAAAAGTAATTGTGTACCTAACTTGCAATTGCTCTATATGCAGAAGGCATTTTATATGAGAGAATATTCAAACATGCTATTCCTTACTTCTAATCTGAGATGGTACATATTAGCAATGGATGTTGGTGATCTGACACTAAGTAAAAGCAAAACTAAAGAAGTGCCATGGCCCTGGTGCAACTGGACTTCTCCACGACCCTTCCCCTCTGCAGGGAGGTGGGACTGATTCGGATGGTCCACCCCCACCACTTAATGGATCCAAACGGTTTCCAGAGAGTGGTAGGGGATGCTTTATCCCATGCTGATGGCCTTTCAGCTGATTCCCTGGTGGCCCGCTGGAATGTGGAGTTAACCAGGGCTATTGACTATTTGGCTCTGAAGCGCCCTCTGCGATTGCAGGGAGCCCAGACAGGACTTGCTCACGGTGTAGGACTGGGCCATGTATCTCGGCTGCTTCTTCCTTCCCTAAGCTGGAACGTAGCAATCGAGATAAAGTCCAGTCATCGTGATATATCTGCATATACCGGTATTTAGCTGCTGATATATCATAAAGTTGAAAAGAAAGTATCGCCCAGCCCTAGCACTAAACTAAATCATCAGAGGTTGAGCTGTTGTGCTAATCATAGTGGCAATGTGCTTAACTGCTTCCCCTGTTGGACTTCCAAGATGAGACATGAATCCCAAACTCATCAGGCAAGATTCACTGAAAACCCTACCTACAAGCAATGGGAGAGTCCTCTAAACTTGTTGTTGCTGAAAGCGATTAGAAGTTCTTTTCAGTTAAAAAGTAGAGAGCGAGGAGAAGGAATCCTTTACATTTTTTAAAACGATAAGCATGTGAGCTGTTTGAACTCTCTCTCTCCCTCTCCACCCCAATTGCAAGAGCCCTAAGAAACTGTGCCAGAGGTTTGTGCCCAATCCCAGCTCACTTGCCATTCAGCAAATCCTTCACAAGTTTTCCCCCTACCAGCAAGCAGGCGCTGGTTGTGAGCAGAGGCTGGATGACCCGTGGAAGGCTCTCACTGTCCAATTAGCAAGATAAACAAATCCCTGGCAGGGGGTGGTGCTGCGGACCCCCTGGGTGTGATCCACGGCCCTCAGGGGACCCCTAATTGGGAACCACTGCTCTAGAGGGAACAAACTAATGTGCTGTCATTGGGCAAAGTGTACGCAATGCCACCATCTTCATAGCACTCCTGTGGGTGCCCTCAGGGAGAAGGGTCCCACTTCAAGGAGGTTTGTTTAATTAATTAATTAATTAATTAATTAGATTTCTTTTCTGCCCTTCATCCAGAGATCACAGGGCAGTTTACAAAGTAAAACACAAAAAATATATAGCACAATAACAAAGACAACAGTATTATTATGATTTATTATAAGCCTCTTCACAAAACCCTCACCAACCAGAATAAGGTTGCATGTGCAACGCTGTCCAAAGGAGCCAGTGTCCAGCATGAAAACATGATCTAGAGGCAAGGTGAGGCACCACCATCAGGTGCTCAAGCAACATGCACCAATGCTAGGCAAGATCGTCTGACCAAGCAGCCAGGGACTTTGGTTATTTCCAAAGACTCCCAAAGGATGCCTTACATACTTTAGACCCCAAGACAACACCCAAACCACCACTATTGGTAGTGAAGCCATTTTATGAACTGCTTGCTCATGAGGAGACCCCTTGCTCATGAGCTGTGCAGAGACTTCATAGATGTGTGCTATATTGCCTTTCTTTGACCCGGATCTTTCTCAAGGACTGGGAGCCCCTTCAGGGGGTCACCAACAATGGTTACAGGGGACCTACTTGCTCCTCCAAGTCTTCCACTTGTGGGTTGTCCGGGGTTCCTATGAGAACCGTTTCTGGTACCAGGCCTGGGCTCAGCATGAAAGCTATTAAGCATCCATCTGTGCAGCCTGTCTAACTGATGACTGAAGCTAATTATTTTAAATTCTATTAGGGCTGATAACTGCTCAGGCCAGGCATCTCCTGCTGATATTAATAATGCTGACTCCATTAAAAAAAAAAATTATGCCAGAGGTTGAGTTTTGCTTCTGAGCAAGTCCTGCTTTCCCCAAGATATTTTCCGTACTCTACGGAATTCCAAGAGTGTGCCATTTCTCATGAGAGAGATTGGCTGACTTGAAGATTGACTCTGAGCTATGTGCAAAATGACCTAGTTGTGGAATCAGAAATACTGGGTTGGGTGGGAAAGAGGGAATGAAACCCATCTGGAGTAATGGATCTGGCAGCCAAAGTTCATTAGAGTTCAGCTTCCCTATATCCAAACTGCACAGTCAGAAAATTGTGCTCCCGTCTCCTATAACTCAGGAGGTTGGCAAGCTTGATGGGGCTCAACTTCTAAACAGAGCTGTGAGCCAAAACCTGACCTTTTCCAAGTTGCCAGCTTTTCTGCTTTGGAATCCTCATATTGAATATCCTTTCCATGTTTTCTGGGTGGGATTCATCTCATGAATGAAGCCCATCAGTGGAAGTGGCAAAATGGGGCTTTCCTTTCCCCCCATGTTGAGAGATTCCCCCCAGCAATGTGTAAGGGAAGGGGTGTGTGTGATCACACAGGGTCCCCGGATGTTTCACGATCTATGGATCCCTGTGCCACCACTTTATTTCTCGCTGCCACCACCCAGGCTCTACCTGGTACAATACTGAGTCCAGTCAGGGTTAAATTGGAAAATAAACTTCTGTTTATTTATTGCAGTTTAACAAGTGTGTGGCTTCATAAACGGTATCGGCCCATTACAATCATGGGATGCCTATCCAGACCTATAACTTCCGCTACCTGCTCTCACTCACTACACCACCTCTCAGTTATTTACTTGTCTTCCTAGCTCCTAACTGTTCCTGACTCAGCTTATTTCACTACACTAACTCAACCTCCCCACAGACTCTATCCCAATTCACTCCCACTCCAACCAACCACCCAACTCCCAACAAACTCCTCCTTCACCCCTCCCAGAGCTGGTTTTATAGTCCCTCTGACTCCACCCCCTGGGTTCTGATTGGGTAACTTGTTTAACTATTTCACCTCCAGCACTCTCATATGTTAACATCACAGGGGGTTGTTCCTTCTGGCAAGCCTATGAAGGGTTTTCTGCCTCTGGCCTTCTCTTTCCCTCGAGCCTGTTGTTTTTCCCACCTCCCAGCGTCCCTCCTACTCTGACCTGTCTTCAGACTCACAACACCACATTCCTGGCTATGAGCTTTCCTCCCCAGCTGCTTCCCTGGGGGGCTCTTCGGCCGGAGGCTCCAACCATTCCTCTTCACCCAGCCAGTCCCTGACATTGTGTGGCTGGATTATAGCCTACTGTACTGGAGCTGCATCTATTGCTCTGATTGCTTTTGCCCCAGGCCCCACCCTGCCCTCGGCATGTGGCCCCTGGAAGATTTCATGCAAGGGAATGTGGCCCCCTGACTGCAGAAGATTCTTCATCCCTGTCTCATTAGAAAGATTACCAGGAACGGGCATTTGTGGGCTCCCTGCAGGCAAGTGCTCCTCCAAAGGAGACTGAAATATTTAACGGATGGTGGGAACTGTGGCTTGGGATGAAAAGCCGTATCACTCATGGGAGCAGTTAAGTAAGATTTCCATCAAGCAGCCCATCATTACAGGAATGCTTCTGAGAGCAAAAGCTGGCTGAGAAATATTAAGCTGAGAAAATGCATAGCTCAGCCAGTAGAGAACGAGTCTCTTAATCTCATTGTCATGGGTTCAAACCCCAGGCTGGGCAAAAGTTTCCTTTATTGGACTAGGTGGCCCTGGTGGTCCTTCCAACTCTGCAATTCTATGATTCTGCATAATATTGCACAGAGGCTTAATGTGAGCCTGGATCTCGCTCCAGAGCCTTCTGTTCAGCTCCTGGTACCTTTTCCTGAATACTGCTTCTATTACTCCTGTTGGAAGTGTAACAATGGAGATCATTTGATGAGGTGCCTTAAGGGTTATCAGTAAGTCAGTTAAGAGGGGTGGTCTGGAGGTATTATTTAGCAACTAAGCAGAGTGATTTATCCAGACCTGAGATCAAGTTGGGAGGCAATCAGGATGGGGAGGAATTCAAAACAACCTGCATTTTAGAGTTCTTTCTCACAGAGAGGGAATGAAAGCAAACTCTTTGCACCTGCTCCTTCTCTGACCAGTGGAGGAGCCCAAGCTGATTTCCCTCTTGCTCCATTAGAGTCTTAATTGGAGTCTGGTGGAACAGCCTCTCAGTAGCCCTCAGTTCTGCTGGCTGGTGGAGGAGGTCAGTTCTGCAGTCTAAAGGCCACTTGGGACAAAGGGAGGGGGTAATCATTTGACTTACCTTGCAGAGTAGTTGCAAGGCAGGGGTCGGGTACGTCAGGTCCAGGGGCCAAGTGCAGCCTTCTAGGCCTTTCACTCTGACCCTCTGGACACTCCCCCCTTGCAAGCCCTGCTTTGCACCCTCCTCAGGTGTTTTTGCCTGTCTGGAATGTGCCCTTGAGCTCTGGTGGTGCCTCCTGCTTGCTTGAATGGAAAACAGAGAGAGGAACGTGTGTGAGTGTGAGTAGAAACTAGCCTACTAGCATAAACAAGTAAGATTCACACCCATTGCTTCACCCACTTTTGCCCCTGGCCACACCCACCTCTGACCTGTGGCCCCACAAGGCTACTCTTTAGAGAATGCTGCCCTTTGGGTGCAAAAATACCATCTGCCCTGGTTTCAGGTAGTTTGTACACTTAGATAACGACAGGGCTTTGCACCCCTGAAAGCTCTTCATTCTGGAATTCCTGCATTTCCAAGCAGGAGGTTGTCCTAAGATGATCTGCTGTGATTAGAGCTATCACAGTACATGTGAAATACAGTGATGGCTAAGTCCTGAGCATGCAGAGGTGATTATAACAAGAATCGTGTGGGGAAGGAAGGAGGATGAGCCAGAAAGGAAAATCTCTCCCCCCACTTCTCTCTCTCTCTCTCTTTTTGCGTTGTCACTCAGCCAGCTCACACGACTGTGTGAGGGATCGGAGTGGCTTGTGGAGATGGATATGGCATGCGTTCCTCCTCTGTGCATGTGAGCTGCTTTGCCTCTTTCCCTGCTGTTTCTTCATTGTGCGTGTGCCTGGAGGCCTGTTGTCATCCTTCAGCACAGAAGCTGAGATCGCCGAGAGCCGTGGGTGGGGGAAACTGGCAAAGTGGCAGCAGCCTCTGGACCTGCCGAGATGAAATAAGAGAGTGTGATGATTTCCCATCAGTTTCTGGGTGCAGAACAAAGTGGGGGCAGATGAGCCTTCGTTTAAGGAAGTGGATTTTTGGAACGGGCTGTAGCCACCCCACCTGTCGGCGTGGGAGAGGCTTCCTGGCTGCGGGGTCTTCCTCTGCTGTGCTTGATTTGAAAAAGCGTGTTTGCTGAGCAGCTGATTCCCAAGGCTCAGCACCCAGCATGCTTGCACCCAATATGATGTTGAGTCATCGTTCCAGGAGGGATGATCTCGCTCAGGAACTGATGAGGTCAGTGTCTGCCAGAAGAGGAGACACGCTGGCTGGCTCCAGGTACTGGTGTGGATAGAGCTGGAAGTGTGACTCTTTCATCCTTTTTTGGGAAAAGGTGAATGTAGCAATTTAAAAAGGAGCCCAGTGCAGTTTTTTCCTCTGTCGCAAGTGATGTCAGCATGGAGGACACCTTATCACATGGTATTTCCCCAAACCTAGGAGTCCCACCTCCAAGGCCTCTGAATGAATCACTGGCCTGGCCTTGTGCTTCCTCCTGATCAGCCTCTGCCAAGGAGTGGTTATTCTGGCCCTTCTTGTGGCATCAGTGGTGATTGGAGCTTTCCGTAAGTGATGCAGCGGAAATGCCCACCCTCAAACGGGACTGCCTGCTTTGTCTCTGCATGAGTTCCCCACCGGGCTCAGGTTCCCAGCAGAAGATCTGCCCTCAGAGCACCTGCCGGTTCTATGTCTGTGTGACCTGCTGTTTGAGTTTGCCTCAGATTAGTGATTTATGCAGGAAGGAAGGTCAGTTAGTTAAAGTCAACAGCAGGACTTTGGGGCAGATGTCCAGAGCCCTACTCTGTATAATGAGCAGGAGGGCATGCCACATGTTAAAGGAAGTGAAATAATATGCACAATATACAGGAGAAACTCAAAAAATTAGAATATCGTGGAAAAGTTCGTTGATTTCAGTAATTCAACTTGAAAGGTGAAACTAATATATGAGATCGACTAATGACATGCAAAGTGAGATATGTCAAGCCTTTCTTTGTTATCATTGTGATGATCATGGCGAACAGCTGATGAAAACCCCAAATTAACGATCTCAGAAAATTAGAATATTCAATGAAATCAGCAAAACAAGGATTGAAAATAGAGCAAGATTGGACCTCTGAGAAGTGGAAGCATATCTTGCTTTGCATGTCATGAGTCGATCTCATATATTACTTTCACCTTTTAAGTTGAATTACTGAAATAAATGAACTTTTCCACAATATTCAAATTTTTCGAGTTTCACCTGTATATAAAGAAAGCATGCTCTCCACCATAAGACTGCTAAGTCCAGAGTTTCAAGTTGCCTAATTGCTCTGTGGATTGCAGGGGGTGTTCCCTTCCTCTGGGGGAGGCCACCTCTGACTCCTCGGTGCTTTGATAGTACAGCTTTCCAACTGTTCAGGGCCACAAAATGCCTCTAGTTTTCATCTGCCAACATGCTTTGCCTCTGCTGTTAGATGTTTCAGGAATGTTGCGGCATGCAGTGGGGGATTGCTGACTTTTTTTTGTAATGCTGATCATACAGACTGGGGTGCAGAAGGACCAGATATCAGCAGTGATGGTTTCATTTGAAGTAACTTGAGCCCATCCATAGCTGGGAAGCAGCTGGAATCTAGGTGTGTCCCCCCCCCCAAAAAAAACCCAAAGATCCCCCAAGTGGTTTGAGGATTTTATATTTTGGGAAACTATGGGACACTCAAGCTCAGCCTCAGCCTCCAAGCTTCTCTATCTGGTCATGGGGATTCTCCCCAGGCCACACCCCTTACCAGTTCTGCTTTGCACCCTCCTTGAGTGTTTTTGCCTGGCTGGAATGTGTCATGGAGCTTGGGTAATGCTTCTTGCTTGCCTGGATGGAAGATAGAGTGCGTTGTGTAAGTGTGAAGAAACCAGCCCACTGTGCAAAAGTAATATTCATTGCCCCACCCACTTTGACTCTGGCTCCACCCACCACTGGCATGTGGCCCCTGGAGGCTTACCCAGAAAGGAATGTGGCCCTCAGTATGAAAAATGCTCCCCACCTCTGGTATGGTGGGCATGTACATGTTGTCAGGATTTTTACAAGGGGGGGGCAGGACTTTGGGTGGGGGTGGGGGCAGAACCAAGCTATCTGTGACATGATTGGGCAGTTAGTTAAGTATTTTTATTTGTTTACTTGATCTGGGTGGGGGGCAGCTGCCCCCCTGCCTCCTCTGGCTATGCCCATGGGCATGTATCCAGGGGTCCCATCAATAAATCGGCATCACCAGGCACCTGTCGTGGCTCACAGCACAGCAGGGCCAGCACTGCTGACCAGTCCCCTCTGGTTGTCCTCTTTGCTGTTGCTTCCTGCTCACCTGCCATCTCCAAGCAAGTGAGCACTAACAAGGATAAGGAAAAGGTGCTTCTGACTGCACTACGGGGTGGGGAGAATCTTTGAGGGCCAGGCAGGGAGACTTGGAGCCCTGCATTTAGCACCCAGGCCTGAGTTTCCTCACCCCTGCAGTGGACAGTACTTAGCAAAGTGGACCTCTGATCTCACTTTGTATAAAGCAGTTTCCTATACTTAGCTTCAGCAAGGTTGCTGGGACATGTGTCTTCAGACAATGTCCTTAGTGGTGGCTAGAAGAAGAAGAGAAGAGGAGTTTGGATTTGATATCCCACTTTATCACTACCCAAAGGAGTCTCAAAGCGGCTAACATCCTCCTTTCCATTCCTCACCCACAAAAAACACTCTGTGAGGTGAGTGGGGCTGAGAGGCTTCAGAGAAGTGTGACTAGCCCAAGGTCACCCAGCAGCTGCATGTGGAGGAGCGGAGATGCGAACCCGGTTCCCCAGATTACAAGTCTACTGCTCTTAACCACTACACTCACACTGGCTAGTATCCTTTGGGACTTGTGGGGCAGAGTGCCCTTAGCACAGAGTCAGTGGCAGGCAGAGCCAACTCATTCTACTTTATTCTCTCCCCCACCATCCTTCTCCTTGCATAGTTCTGCAAGGGCAACACTGAGACAATAAGGAGGCGAAAGCTGACAGCCAGGACCACACCTTAGGCTGGTTGTAAATAGGTGTGTGTGGGATGGCTGAGAGAAGACTGAGATGGGTGGGGCAGTGCCCCACTTGCTCAAATGGAGCACCCTTCCCTGCATTCCCTAGAACATGCCCAAGAGACATTTGGCTGCTCACCTTTACAAGCAGAACAATGAACTTGGCAGACCTTTGGTGTCATCCAACAGAGTTGCTCTAATGTTTTTGTTGTTTCAGCTGGGGGACCTTTGGCCCTCCATATGTTGTTGAAATGCAGTTCCCAACATCTCTGGCCATTGGCCATGCTTGCTAGAGCTGGAGGGAACTGTAGTTCAGTAACACCTAGAGGGCAAATGTCCCCGACTCCTGTTTTACCTAGTGCCAGGTATGTGAATGAGTGAGAGGGTTTTGATACTGATAACATATTGTCTACTTGTAGGAATCACTTTACAGTGATTGATTTTTTTAATTTTTAAAATGTTTTTGATTATATGCAGCTTTCAGCATCTTTTGGAACAGGTAACCCTAATCAGTTATTAGTAAATCTATATAATTTTCCAATTTTTGGAGCACCTCAGTGAGAAGGTCAGAATTAGCCAATGCTATTCTAGACTGCATCAACAGATAGTGTCCCGATCAAGGGAAGTAATAGTACAACAGTCTGGAGACAGAACTTAAGGGAATAAAACCCTGAAGTACTGCATGTGGGAAGCCACACAAAATTTATAATTGGCTATGTAACTGAGTTGTATTTGAATTGGTATTGGTATTTGGTGTTAATATAATATGGAACATATTGGATTTTTGTAAAAATTATTTAACAAAGGGGGTGGGGAGCAATAGTACCACTCTACTCTGCCTTGGCCAGACCACACCTGGAGTTCTCTGTCCAGTTATGGGTGCCACAATTTATGGAGGCTATTGAAAAGCTAGGATGTGTGCAGAGGAGGGCAACCAAGATGATCAAGGATCTGGAAACTCAGCCTTATGGGGACCTCTTGAAGGAGTTGGGTATGCATAGTCTGGGAAAGAGGAGTCTGAGAGGAGATATGATAGCCATCTTCAAATATCTCAAGGGCTGTCACATGGAAGACAGAGCAAGCTTGTTTTCTCCTTCTCTGGAGCATAGGACTCAAACCAACAGCTTCAAGTTGCAAGAAAGGAGATTCTGACTAAACATCAGAAAGAACTTTCTGACAGTAAGAAGAAGAAGAAGAAGAGTTTGGATTTGTTTTTTTTTTTAATGATATTTATTACTTTTTCAAAATTTCCAACACAACACTACATACACAGAAGAAAAGAAAAAAAGAAAAGAAAAAACAATGCGAAAAACAAATCAAGCAAAAATTGGCAAAAACAATTTAAAAACACCTCAAACATTTTCAATATCTTATATTTCATTCACTTATTTCCAGCGACTTCCTCACACCTCCCTTTTTGTATTCCACTTCTATTATTTGTTTCAGCAATTCCTTTCCATCTTACTCTGTTTTCTGTTCTATTATTATCTTAACACATTCTTGCCATACTTTTCCTTTAATTTTCTATTAATCTATTTATACTTAATTCCTTATGACATTTCTACTAAAGCCATGTAATTTCATTCCAACATTTTTCTATGGATTTGGATTTGATATCCCGCCTTTCACTCCCTTTAAGGAGTCTCAAAGTGGCTAACATTCTCCTTTCCCTTCCTCCCCCCCAACAAACACTCTGTGAGGTGAGTGGGGCTGAGAGATTTCAAAGAAGTGTGACTGGCCCAAGGTCACCCAGCGGCTGCTTGTGGAGGAGCGGAGACGCAAACCCGGTTCCCCAGATTACGAGACTACGGCTCTTAACCACTACACCACACTGGCTTGACAGTGGAATAGTCTCACTCAGGAGGTTGTGGACTCACCTCCCTTTGGGGGTTTTTAAGCAGAGGTTGGATGGCCACCTGCCATGGATGCTTTAGTTGAGATTCTTGCGTTGCAGGGGGTTGGACTAGATGGCCATTGGGGTCCCTTCCAGCTCTACAATTCTATGATCTTAGGTTTTGAACACTTCTTGGTTGTGTGGATTAAGTTCAGTTGGCTCTGATTATTTAAGCACAGGCTGGCTCCCAGAAAGAAAAAGGATTCTACCCACTCTTGCTCAAGGGGGATAGAATAAAGCAATGGTACTTATGAGTAGCACATGGTGGGTGAAACTTTGATCTCAAAAGCACTGAAAAGCAGCTTCCTCAGGCTCCTCAGTGCACCCTTCAGCAGAAATTTCAGATGCCCTTTGCTTCTCAACCAACCCAGGAAATGCAATTTTAGGCAAATTCATTGACTTCTTAGCACTTTGGCAAGCTATATTAGGAGGTGCCTCAGCTACTAAAACAAGAATGCATCTTTACAGCAGTTTACTGGAGCCAGACAGCCTCCTCCTCCTCCTCCTCCTCCTCCTCCTCCTCCTCCTCCTCCTCCTCTCCTCTCCCCTGGTGAAAATGTGGCTGATAAAGGCTGTTCAGTTTTGCTCCCTTTCACCCAGTATTGTTGAGAGCTGATGCTATGTAGGTGCCAAGGCCTCAGACCAGGTTCAAAACCGTGGAATAAACTCTGGGGCTGCCATCAACATTGGCCAATTCATGGAATCATAAAATAGAAGAGCTGAAAGGGACTGTGAGGGTCATCCAGTGCAACCCCCTGGAATTTGTGCTAAGGTGAGATTTGAGCTTCCATATCTCATGGAAGGGGCAAACATGCCTTTTGCAATTGTGTACACATAAGGCAACTTATCCTCCAATCTTGGGAGTTTCAGATTGTGGTAAATTCTGGAACATTGAACCTTGCAAACAGTTGCAGCTTATCCTTCCATCTTGTTCTTATTAGCTTAGATGGCCGTAAAAGGGGATTAGATGGCTTTATTTACTGTATTTATATCTTTTCTTCAAAGAGCTCAAGGTTCTCCCCACTCCATTTTAGCCCCCAGCTATCTGTGAGGCAGGTAAGGCTGAGAGATAATGACCCAAGGACACTTAGGAAGCACCATGGTCAAGTGGAGATTTAAACCCAGGTTCAAACACTAGCCCAGGTGTTGCAAGGGACTACATCTACAGAGATGCTCTCCATACATCCATGTAAAGTATTTAGGATTAGCACCAACACCTTAGGTTGAGGGGAATCCAAAACCTCCATCAGATTGGCCACTGCTTTAAGGCATATCAGCAATAACTGCAATCCACTGATGGATTTCTAAAACAACAAAGACTCTTGTGGCACCTTGAAGCATTAAAAAAAAACACACACACGAAAAAATGGCATAAGCTTTCATGCAGCACAGCTCACTTACCCACACTTATTTTTCCTTTGCTTTTTCCAGGCATGGCCCACAATTTAAAGCTCAGTGTCTGAGTGCCCTCCTTTGTTTTTGCTCTGGAGCTTTCCCCACAAAAACACACTCTTCAAAGCTCAATCGGAGCAAACGTCAATCCACGGTAAACCCGAATTGATGTTTGCTCTGATTTAGCTTTAAAAAGTGTGGTGTGTGTGTGTGTGTGTGTGTGTGTGAAGGCAGCTTGTGGGGAAAAAAAACCCTGACACAGAGCATTAAAGTGCAGACTGTGCCTGGAAAAAGCGGGGGGAAAGTAAGTGTGGATAAGACGTTTGTCAGATGCATGATGTGTAAACCTTGAATCGGTGAACATATGTGCACATGGAGAGAGTTCAGTGGAAAGTGTACAGCAAAATGAGAAATGGTGATGATTACCTGAAAGCAAAATAATTAGAAAATCAACTAAGAAGGCATTACAGTTATTAATTTGACTAGGCAGCATTGGTGTAAACACAAAATTTTGGCATGTATACATGCTGGCCAATTAAGGGTTACACATCATGCAAGTGATGAAGTGGACATAGGAACATTAGACACTGCCTTATATTGAGTCAGGCCATTGGTCTGTCTAGCTTAGTATTGTCTGCAGCAAGGGTTGGCAAGGTTTACCTTGCCTGGACTGGTTCACTCCAGTGGAGATCCCTCCGTGGGCCGGATCGCGCACTCGTGTGAGTGTGCATGGCCATGATTTCTGGGGTCTGCACAGATACGATTTCTGGCGTCTGTGCGCAGATGCAATTTTAGGCGTCTGAGCATGCGCAGACACAATTTCTGGCACCATGGAAGTGAGTCCCCGCACCACGCTGCACCGGTTTAGCGCAGAGCATGGGGACTTGTCTAGTGGGCAGCTTGGTTCAGGGGCAGCTTGTGGGCTGGTTAAGTGACCCCCGTGGGCCACTTGTGGCCCATGGGCTTTAGGTTGCCGACCCCTGGTCTACAGGGACTAACAGCAGCTCTCCAGGTTATCTTTTCCAGTCTGACTTGGAGATGCCAAGAATTGAACCTGGGACCTTCTGCATGCAAAGCAGATGCTCCACCACTGAGTTACCTGTCCCACCTCCCAAATAAGTTGTAACTGCTTTATGCCAACTCTATTGGTCCTGCTGACTCAGTATTGCCTACTCAAGGTTGGCTGTGGGTCTCCAGAGTTTCAGACTGGGATTGATCTTGGGACACTTACCACTGAGCTCAGAATTCCCCTGACTGTGGTCCTTAAAAGCAGGTGCCATTATAAATGTGTTAATCTTGTGGCATCTTAAGGATTCTGCTATAGCAAAACAAAAACAACAACCAACACAGCCACCTTTCTGTAAATTGTTACCAAAGTCTAGCTGGATTCCAGTTTGATTTGTCAGTGAATGTAATGCAGGATAGAATCATAGATTGTAGAGTTGGAAGAGATCTTGAGGATCTTCTAGTCCAACCCCTGCAATGCATCCTTGGGTAGGCAGCAGCAGCCTTACTGATTGCATCAACGGTGACAGTGGAACATGATGTATGTGCATATATGACATTCTTACACTAGAGAAGGACAGTTGCATCCAGTGTTAGTTCTACTTTGAGCATATCCACTGAAATTTATTTATTGCATTTATGTCACACCTATTTCTACAAATGGCATACATGGTTCTCCCCCATCTCATTTAATCCCCACAACAACCCTGTGAGGTAGGTTAGACTGTGAGGCAGTGACTGGCCCAGAGTCCTCCAGTGAGCGTCATAGCTGAGTGGGGGATTTGAACCCTGGTCTCCTGGTCTCTTGACACTCAACACTACCCCCCCACTACCTCCCAAACTTCAGGCCATTGATTTCAGTTGGGTCTACTCAGAATAGAAATTCGTTGGCTCCAACCCCTCTCCTTGACTTTTGCTGAAATCTCTTCTCTTCCCTCCCCCCATTTTGCTGATCCAGATGTTTGCCTTGTTAGTGTGTCTCTGTGGACACTCCACACGTCCAGATGCAAGATCTCTCCTTGCCATCCGTCTTCGTTGCTGGCAGGACGGTCAGTCAGAGCTGGGCTTTGTCTCCGGGTGCCTCATACTCTTCCCTCTTCCCCCCCAAATTCCTTTCCTACTTCGATATTGCCTGTCAATCTGGAAGAAACTGTGCCTATACCCCTCTGGGCTTCAAGGAAGCTGGTGAGGGTCCTTTAAAAGAACGAGAGCGTGTTTTTCCTTCTACCAAAAGGGGAGGTTGAAGGATGCGAAGCCGGATGGGGCTTGCGAGATCATGTTTATTTGGGGGGCTGGAGTGTCCCAGTTAGAGAGAGAGCGGTGTCTCATTTGCAGTCCAGGGAATCAACTCCACACAACCCCCAAAGGAAATCTAAGTTAGATCCGCGGGGAACGCGCCTCCGGAGCCAGTTTTGCAGAGGAGGTCTTTGAACGGCGGGCAGTCGCCTTCCTCCTCCGCGAAGGCTTCCGTCCAGCGGGTAGGAAAGGAGAGCACAGTCTCTAGCCTGGCTCCATCCTCTCATCTCCTTCGCCCCTCTCTTCCTCGCAGGCTGAAGTCGTCAACGGGCGGCTACCGAAGCGGTGGCACCGGCACGGCTGGCGCCAACAAGCAGAAGAGCGGGGTCATCCTGGACATCTCCTCCTTGACGATGAACGAGCTGGACTCCGAGGTGCTTCCCTTGCCGCCTCGCTACCGGTTCCGGGACCTGCTCTTGGGGGATCAGAGCTTTCAAAACGACGACAGGTAAGAGCGCAGAGCGGGAGGAGGACGGACCAAGGGCACAGGGAAACCTCACGATGGGCACAGAAGCGTTTCACGAGTGCTGGGGTCGAAATGGCGATGCTTTTGGTTGGAGGTTGCTGGGTCAAAAGGCGACAAAAGAGGGGCAGCTGGTAAGAGGGCGCCTGGAGTGCTTTCCTAGGTGCTTATCGCTGCGTTCCGCTTTTACGCGCTGCAGTTTCGCTGGTTGTACTCCCAGCGGCTCCGGAGTCCTGTTACTACTTCATGCCCTCAGTGAGCTCTCTCCATGGTGCTGATCCTGTGGAAGCCGCTCTCCCCAAACCTTCCTCAGTCGTCGTTGTTCGCATGGTGGCGGTGGGGTTCGGATGCCTTCTGGCTGGCCCTCCGGTTTCTTCCTTCCTTCCTCTATCCAGTGTGCTGTAAACGCGCCCGCCGGAACTGCTCCCTTTCGAGATTTAAGAGCCCCCTCCGTTCTCCCTTGTCAAAGAGGGCTTTCGCACATACTTAACACACGTTTGGGAGACTTGCATGCCATTTGTTCGCAGGAGAGTGTTTGCGTTTTCTAGTTTGTATTTTTTTTTTTTTTTGCTTTGAAAGTAAGATCCCGAGAGAGATTAATTTCTAATCTGAATTACATTCCTAATATAGACATTACTGATTGTGTAAAGTAAGTCCCCTTGAACTTAGTGGAACTTCTGATGAAACATGCATAGGAGTGCCCAGTTAAACTGAAATGTAAAAATGCTCACTTTTGTGTTTTGGGGTGCCAGTTCTTTTTTGGATTGTATATCCCACATTGAGGGAAGGGCCAGAGCTCAGTGGTGAATAATCTGCTTTGTGTTTAGAAATCTCCAGGTAGAGTTGAGAATTTTCCCTGGCTGAAACTCTGGAGAGGAGCTGTCAAGTCAGTACAGACAATACTAAACTACATGAACCAATGGTCTGACTCGGTATAAGGCAGCCTCTTATGTTTTGGAGAAGGGCTGTAGCTCCTTAGAAGAACATCCACCATGCATGCACAAGGTTCAGGTCAAATCCTTAGCACCTTCAGGTTGGACTAGGAGTGTCCCTGAAACCCTGGAAAGACACTGCTAGACTAGGCGGAATTGGTACAAGGCACCTTCCTGGGATCAACTGCAAGCAGACTCAAAGTTGGATTACAAAGGAGCATATCCAGCTAAGTTCTACCCAGAGGAGACCCATTGAAATTAATGGGTATCACCTAGGCACATCCATTAATTTCAATGGGCCTTCTCTGAGTAGAACTGACACTGGCTATATTCCAAAGGGTGGTTCTTCCCACTGTGTCCCATTCTCCAAAAGCCTTCCATGCTTGCTAAACGGGATGCCAATGCTTTCCTCACCAAACCACCCTTCCTTTTGCTTCCTCTGTATCTTATTCCCTTTGCTACCTTGCTGAAAGTGCTCTCCAAAAAACAACCAGCCACCCTTATTTTCCTGTAGGAAAGGGACATGGGAAACTGCATTATACTGTGTCAGACCATTGGTCCTCCTTGCTCAGTCTTCTCTACACAGTGGCTCCCCAGGGTTTCAAGCAGGGGATTGAGTAAGAGACCTTTTGTGTGCAAAGGAGCTGCTCTACTATTGAGCTGTGGTCCTTCTTTGTTAGTTGGATTGGTGCATCCTTGAGACTTTGTCCAAGTTGTCTGCTTTGTTGCCCAAACCTTTGACGCTCCTGTTGCCACCTGTCATCTGTTTTCTTGCTCTGGACACTGCAAAGCTCTCTCTACACCCAGTCAAACATCCCATTGGGTTGTAAGTTCCTTCAGAGAGCTGGTGTAGTGGGGGGACAAGCCCCAAGGCAAATTTTTAATGTCTGGTAGCTGCTATTGCAGTCTAGAGGCAAGGATGAATCAATGGTATAGCAACAGCTCTCAGGGGTGGGAGACGGGTTGGCTCTTGTGGTGATGGGCATTTTTGTAAGATGGTGACTTTGGGAGTCATGGATGATTATTGCTTTGGAGAATTGCACCTACCTGAAATTACCTTTGTGTCTAGGGTCATGGATTTGTATTTTGAGAATTGCAAATTTCTGAAATTTCCCTTGTGTCTATGGTCTTGGATTTCGAACTGGAGAGCTGCATGTGTCTGAAATTTCCCTTGTGCTTAAGACAAATGTGGTTCATATTCATTTAAGACATGCATGCTTGGCCATGTGTAAATAGGAAAAGACCTGCATGGTTGATGACACTCAGTCTGAGTGAATGTAAATAAACCTTTGAAGAGGGAGAGGGTGTGTTTGTGATAAACGTTCCTTATTTTATTTGAAAATGGTTTGTGGAGTTTTGGATATGTATCGCTGTTGATTTTAAACTTCCTTCCTCTCCCCTCCCACCTGCCCAATTTGCCATGATTTATTAAGGTTCCTACAAAGTTATAACCAAGCTGTGAGCTTACAGTTGCTTAGCTGCAAATGAGTTTCAGAGAAAGTGTCAGTTAAAACAAACAGCAATAACAGAGTGATTGCCCTCTGGTGAAATGTGTGGTTGTCATAACCATTAGACATGCAATCTATTGCTAATGGGGGTCTGTTCTGCAATATGGCACATTATTTCCCCACAAAGATAATATTTATCTTGCAAAGAAGTGTTCTGTGGATCTCCAAGAAGCAACTAATTTTTGCTACAGGGGGATCAGACTGAGTGTTCAGGGAAAATTTGGACTGCTTCTTCTCCCTTTCAAAGCAGAGCATTGTAGAGCTAGTTATCTTACCAGTTTCCATAAGAAATGCCTTTATTAAGCTCTGTTTCCAAGTGACGCCCACTGCAGTCTTGGATGGCTGCTTCAGCAAGGTCCGATATGCAGACAGACATTGTATTTGTGGTCAGCCTCAGGTGGAAGACCTCACTCTATCTGTTAGCCTGCCCCTTATCTAGAGACCCAAGAGATTCCTTTCTGAAACAAAGCACAAGCAATCAGGCACACTCTGGTACAAATGGTTTGGTTTCTTTTAAGTGAAAATAGTATCTTCATAACACATAGGTGGCCCTCTATGCACTGGCTGAACACACACACACACACACACACACACACATCTGGAAAAAGGAGTCAGCTATAATAACAACTATAAATTGTTTTGATGATTCAGAGGTTTAATCTGAAATCGAACTGGATTTGAGTTTGTTGGTGTCTGTGGCAACTTCTCTTTCTTACATAATGGATGTTGGCAAATTGGATTTTAAAAAGGCGAAATAATACTAGAATTTGAGTTGTAAGAGATGCACAAAGGGAAAATGTTTTAATGCCCAGGAACTTGGCAAAGTATTTGCAGATTGTTATATTATGCATGTTTTGTATTATGTTTTTGGTACTATTGCTTAATACATGTTTGCCATGGCCTCTGGCTAGAACAATAAACTTATGAAATGAACTTGTTATCCCTTTCAAAGCAGCAAAGGGGAGAATTTGCAGAGCCAGACCTCTTAACCCTCCCCCTGCTGGCCATTTCCCTCCATCTATCTGCATCTCAGTTACTACATTCTCAGATTCCTTCTTGCCACATTGAGCTGTGGGTAGGGAGATGTGGTTGAATAGGAGTTGATGGGGGGGGGGACAATGAAGGGTCAAGCTCACACACCTGTCTGCTGTTTCTCCTATGCAAATCACACACACACACACAATTCTTGCAATAGGGAAGTGGCAAGTTGATACCATCAGAGTATGGCTTTGGGGACAGAAGACCAGGACTCCGGTCAATAGAATGAGGAGTAACAAATTTTGAAGTAATGCATACTGCCATCTAAATTGCCTAACTGCACCATTGGTCCATTTTTGAACTGGAATCATGAGCCCAAGAAACACATTGGGTGTGCACCTCCTACATACATTAAAAGACTGATTTATAGCCTGCATGCCTTCATGCCTCTTATGGGGTAGGCTTTCTTGACAAATGGTGGGAAATATGTTTGGCCTAGTGGCTCAGATCTTTATCTCCCCGACCCCACCCATGGGCTGACTTTGACAGATGTACATTGTCACTCACCTGATGTCGTGATGACATCAGGACATTTTTAATAAATAAAATGGTGGGGTGGGGGAGGGGTCTGCTTTGCCAGCACATTCCCCACAGTATACTTGCTGGCATAGCATCATCCAGCAGAATTGAACTGCACCACCTTCCTCATCAGCTGATGTCACCCAGTAATGCCAACTGATTGACAGATGGACATGTGGTTCTTTTTTTGCAGGGGGCAGGGCGGATAGCCTTGAGGGCCAAGATTGACCAGCAGGCTGGAGGTTCTTCATCCCTGTTTAGAAGACCAAGAAAAGCTTCTGGCCATAATAAACACGTTACAGTGGTACCTCGGGTTAAGTACTTAATTCATTCCGGAGGTCCGTACTTAACCTGAAACTGTTCTTAACCTGAAGCACCACTTTAGCTAATGGGGCCTCCTGCTGCTGCCGTGCTGCCGGAGCACAATTTCTGTTCTCAACCTGAAGCAAAGTTCTTAACCTGAAGCACTATTTCTGAGTTAGCGGAGTCTGTAACCTGAAGTCCATGTAGCCTAAAGCGTATGTAACCTGAGGTACCACTGTAATCTTAAAAGTAGATTTTTCCATTGTTTTTGCTTATTTATACAAAGAGCAATCAACAGTCAACAAACCTACGCCCAGCAGAAACACTAAATTCCTGTTTGATTTCATTTAGGTCATTTCAGTTTTTAAACAAATATATAACTCCACAAGTTGCCATGTATCACTGGAGGCCTTTTGATGTTGCATATATCATAAAACTATGCCAGGTTCATTGAAGAGTAGTGTTTTTCTTGTCTGTTCAACTCTCTTGGACCTGGGCTGTCACTTTGTCCATTTGTATTTAGCTGTGAGATCCAGGTCTCAAACAGGTCTACATTTAGAGTCTTCCAATACCTTGCAATAATAAGGTGTGCTGCAGTCATCAGGTGAGTAGTGAGAACATTGGGGGAAAGTTGTTGACAACTTCTGAATAGTATGATATGAGTGCTATTTATTGTTAATCTTTGAGGTGCCTCACAAAGCTTTTTGCTGTTGTTTTATTAGATGAGCTTCTGCTAGGCGGTAAAAATGATGTCAGGATGAACTAAAGACTTCCAGGACAAGAAATAGCACTAATGGTGGTCCCCAGCCCCCCGCTGAAAATATAAAATCTAGCAGTTACATGGATGTGACTCCGATGATCACCTACAAGTTTCTCTTCTGAGGTGGAGAGAAGAGGCAAAGGGAAAACGCAATAAAGCCAAGTCGCCACTGGACTTATGCCAAGAGATGGAGAAAATGCAGGCCCAGTCATTCTAGTGACAGCTGGGAGATACTTGTATGGGTTTGTGGAAATGTACTTGTGGAACATATATTAAACATTTTGTATGATATGCATCTCCTCCTCTTCACTTGGGATAGATTTAGATATACTAAGCTTGCAGCCCTTTATCTATTCACCTAGCAGTAAACCCCACTGAATTCAGGTGGACCAACAACCATGTAAACATGTATTGCACTGCTGGATTCTGCCTTGGTCAGATCACACCTGGAGAACTGTGCCCAAATCAGGGCAGTATGGTTTAAGAAGGATATCAACAAGCTGGAATGTGTGTGGAGGAAGTTGACCAAGACAATCAAGGGTCTGGAAACCAAGACGTATGAGGAATGGTTGAATGAGTTGGTTATGTTTAGCCTGGAGAAGATGGATAGGTGATACGATACCCATATTCAACTATCTGAAGGGTTGCCACAAACGGAAGACGGAGCAAAGCTTATTTTCTGCTGCTCCAGAGTCTAGGATCTGAACCAATGGATTCAGATAAGAAAGTTTCTGACTAAACCTTAGGAAACATTTTCTGGCAGTAATTGCTGTTTGGCAGTGGAATGGACCAGTGCTTTTTTTTTTATAAAAAAAAGGGAAAAGGGAAAGGTGCTGGTTCTCACCATGAAGTTGTTGCAGTAAGTGCCACACCTTTAACACCTGGAAAAAAAGTACTGGTACTGAGTACCCTTGCATACCCTGAGAAGAAAAGCACTGGAGTGGACCACCTCCAAAGGTGGTAGACTCTTCTTCTGGGGGTCCCTTCCAACTCTACAATTCTACAGGACCAGAGTCCTATCTACTGGGGTGGTCAATGTGGTACCTCCAGATGCCTACATCTCCTATCAGCCCTGACCATTGGCCATGCTGGCCAGGGCTGATGGGCAAATCCTAGTCTAGCAACATCTGGAGAACATCATGGTTGCTATTTCCGAGTATATAATGATCAGGGAGTAAGTCCAGTTGAATTGAATTGTAAGATTTTGGGTTTTTATTTGTCTTCTCTCCCCACCCCTCTTCCTCCCCTCTTAATTTTGTGAAGGTGTCTAGTGTGGTGTATTTTTATGGACTTTTTTTTTAAGGGTGCAGTGGCTGTGGAATGCAGTACTTTATGTTCCTTCACTTAAATGCTTTTGAGACTTGCCATTTTCCTGATAGGAAACTCAGCTTCTTTATTCTAAGCGTGAGGTCAGGCTGCAGTTGCTCATTCATTAGGGAAAAGAGGGAATCTCTTCATGCTCTGAGGTCATTTTAATTATATGATGAATGCCCTGCAATACTTGGCATGTTGGGGAAAATAAGGGCAATGGTAAAGGATCAAGGCTGAGATCCTGAACATATTTAAGTAATCCTTGTTAGACATAGGATTGCGCCATTGGTTTCCTTTGGACCAGAAAGCCCTCCAAGCTTATGGTGCCTTTGTTACATTTACTTTATTTTGCAAATATATACCAAGAGCACTTTGGAGCACAGTGAGAGTCTGAGAGCAAGGAGCACAATAGCCAATCCTGCACCAGGTTAGATCCCCACACCCTGAAACCCTTAGTAGAACATCCATATTCAAGGGCAGTGTACCTCTGAATACAAGTTGCTGGTTACAAATGACAAGGGGAAGATTGCTGCCTTCAAGGGTCACCTGTTGTCCTTCTGGAAGTGTCTGGATGATCACTGTTGGAATCAGTGCACTGGTGTTACATTAGTCTGATGTGCAAGGCTCTGCTTAGATTCTAGAAGAGAGCCACTCAGCCTTAAAGATGCTTCACAGCTCTCTCCCATAGTCTCTGCCCACATCCAGACTTCAAACATTCCTCCTTCACTGTCTTTCTGTCCCTGCCCACTCCCAATACACTGATAAGCATTCCTTTACAAACTTTGGAGAGATATTCCAAGCCATTAAGGACCATCTAGCCCAGGCTAGTGAGCCTGTGACCTTCCAGATGTTGACGGACTATAGCCCCTGTCACCCCTGGCCATTAGCCATGCTGGCTGAGTTGATGGGAACTGGAGTCCAGCGACATCTGGAGGGCCACTGGCTGCCTACCCATGATTCTAGCTCGCTTTTTTATAAGCCCATGAATAGCCATCAGCTTAGCCAGCCAAAATCTATCCACAGCTCTCCAGATAGCTATACTCATAATTTACTTGGTAAGACTCTGGAACATAGGAATGTGCCTTTTCTCAAGTCAGGCTGCTTGCCAGTCTAGCCTTGTGTTGTGAGCTCTGATTGGCAAGAGCTCTCCAAGAGGTCTTTCCCATCCTCTCATCATGATTTTTTTTTGTGTGTGTGTGTGTATGGTAAAGGGACTGGACCATTAGGTCCAGTCGCGACTGACTCTGGGGTTGCAGCGCTCATCTCACTTTATTGGCCGGGTCATGTGGCCAGCATGACTAAGCCGCTTCTGGCAAACCAGAGCAGCGCACGGAAACGCCGTTTACCTTCCCGCCGGAGCGGTACCTATTTATCTACTTGCACTTTTACATGCTTTCGAACTGCTAGGTTGGCAGGAGCAGGGACTGAGCAACGGGAGCTCACCCCGCCGCGGGGATTCGAGCCGCCATATATATATATATATATATATATATATATATACACACACACACACACACACATATACATACACATACATACATAAACACTGGAGCTAGACTATCTCAGGGCCATAGGTTTTAGCCCCATGTTGAGGCTGGACTTGATGGCACTTGTTGTCCCTTCCAACTGTACAATTCTATGATTCTGTGAACCTGAGACATTTTGCATGGCACCAAGTAATAGGAAGCAATGGGTAATACCCAAAGTAGGCCTATTGCAGTAAACATGAGATGGTTCAGCTCATCAATGTCAATGGTTTTATTTTGAGTTGGACTATTATTGGAGAAGAGCCTGCTGGATCAGGGCAATGGTCCCTCTAGTCCAGCATCCTGTACTCACAGTGGGCAAGCAGATGCCTGTGCGAAGCCCAAAAGCACGACCTGAGCACAACAGCACTCTCCCCTCCTGTGGTTTTGAGCAACTGGTATTCAGAAGCATTACTGCCTCTGACTGTGGAGCCAGAGTGTAGGCATCATGGTAAGTTGGTAAGGCCATTGATAGCCTTCTCCATGAATATCTCTAATTCCTCTTTTGTGTAATCCTCAATGGGATATATCCCACTGAGTGTCAGCATCGCCCTTGAGCCAGTGCCACCAACTGGACTCATCCACTGTAGCCCCGACTGGGCTAGGCGAGCTGGGTAGCACTTCCAGAGACCACCTTCTGCACAGGAACAGGTCAAAGTGCTGTGGACTCACAGCTTAGAGTTGTGAGCACCGGATTCACTCCAACAAGAAGACAGTCGTCGCACAGCAGAGTACAGCAGAGTCTAGCAGAGTATATAAACAACTCGGAGAGCAGCTCTGTAGAATATCTTCTTTATTCTATAATTACAACTATACAAACTATATACAGAGCTTAATAGGTGTAAGCATAAATAAATGCTGCACTGCACTGAGTGTCTGCAGCTGCTCTTAGCAGAAACCTTATCTCTACACACAATCTCTAAAACTCAGTCTCTCTCTCTCTCTCCGACACTGACTGACTGGCTGACTCTGGTGCTGGAGCAGAATAAGTAGAGAGCAGAACACACCTCCTCCTCTCTGGAGAATCAGCAGACTCCTCAGGAGATTCTTGGATATGGGAGGGGTGAAATCTCCTCATTGAGGTTCAATGATACGATAGGATGTGAAAGGTCACCCACCCTTAAATCTTTTTGATAGAACCTGATTTTAAAAACGGTTTTAACCCCTTTTTAATATGAAGAAAATATCCATTTGTGGCCATCTTGCAGAACTGAGGTTGATTTTTCCCCTTTTCTGGGAGCATGTTGAAGGCTGAGAGCGCACTTCTAAATTTCCAGCTGTGGCCTGATCAAGTTATATACAATGACTCTAAATATCCGTTCAGATTTCTAAAAGCCCAATCAAGAGGAAGAGGGAAATCAGCGACACCCCCCCCCCATTTCGGCTGAATGTTCTCCTGGCATGAGAAGATGCCCTGATTACTTGAAATGGAAGTGCAGTTAACTCCAAAGGGCCATGGAGAAATGCTCACTTGAAGAAGACAAGGTGGTGGTGATTAGCTCCTAGCATAATTAGAACCATTTGTATTGGCTTGCTGAGCAAGGGTGACAGCTGGGGGAGCTTCCTGATGGCTCTTGAAGAAAATGTTAGGGAGAGACCTGTGCCAAACCTCTGTGTGTGTGTGGAAGGGACAAGAGAAAGGAGAATAGCCTTGTTTGCTTGACACTGTCTGGAAAGTCTGGGGAAACAACTGGGAGAAGTGATAATTTGGCCTACTGGAGACAAAGAGATAATGCAAAATCTAAAGCATGCTCAGTGGTACAGCACAGCCCTTGGGACTTTACCAAGGCCACACACCCTCTGCCAGGCCACACCCTCATCAGCCCTGCTTTGAACCTTCAAGTGTTTTTGCTTGGCTGGGATGCATCCTTGGAACTCTTATCATTCCTCTTGCTTTCCTGGATGGAGGATAGAGAGGGATGTGTGTGAGCATATCTAGAATTTGTTGTTGTTTAGTCATTTAGTTGTGTCCGACTCTTCGTGACCTCATGGACCAGAGCACGCCAGGCACTCCTGTCTTCCACTGCCTCCCGCAGTTTGGTCAAACTCATGTTGGTAGCTTTGAGAACAGTATCCAACCACCTCGTCCTCTGTCATCCCCTTCTCCTTGTGCCCTCCATTTTTCCCAACATCAGGGTCTTTTCCAGGGTCTTCTTTTCTCATGAGGTGGCCAAAGTATTGGAGCCTCAGCTTCAGGATCTGTCCTTCCAGTGAGCACTCAGGGCTGATTTCCTTCAGAATGGATAGGTTTGATCTTCTTGCAGTCCATGGGACTCTCAAGAGTCTCCTCCAGCACCATAATTCAAAAGCATCCACGCTACCATATCAAGGCAATTATTTACATTCATTGCCCAACCTTTCTTGCCCCTGGGTGCACTGACCACTGTTTCCTTGCCTCTGGAAGGTTGCCCAGTTGTGAATGGGCAGCTCTCAGTCTGAAAAAGATTCTCCCCACCCTGCTGGAGAACACCAGAAGAGCTGCACTTGACCAGACCAAAGACCTATCTGGTCCAGCATCCCAGTGGCCAACTGTGACCATCTTGCAGAACTGAGGCTCCCCTGAGGGAGGGGATTGCACAACCTGAGTAGGACATTGGAAGAAAGCCCCATCTCATTCCCCAGCCCATTGTGCATAGTGATGGGTTGCATATCATAGCCTCCAGTGTTGAATGGAGTGGGTAGTGGGCAGGATTATATGGCAAGAGCCTGTCTTTAACAAGGTAAGAGCAGAACAGACCCCAAAGTCAAACATTTGCTTGCATTGGAGCTTCCCTTAAATTTTTCCTATCTGGAAATCAAAAATCGACATGAAACAGCTTCATTAAAGTCTGGCTGATTCAGAGTAATTTGAATGTCAGGAAAGTTTGACTCATTTCTTGTATAGAAGACAGATGAGTGTAGAAGAAATGAAGACCTGTTTTTATACTGATGTCAGTGCAATGAGAGAAGATTGAAGTTTCTCATTCTAAAGTGCAACTGATGCTTCTAAGAGTAAATCCACATGGTATGGAAGCACAGCCTTGAGTTATTCGGAACACTCTTGGCATGCTTTTTCCAAAGCTTAGGCTACATAAGTTCTACCAAGCAGAACATTGAAATCAATGTGTCTATGTTAGTCATGTCCACTCTTTTCAGTGGGTTTACTCTGAGCAGAACTAACACTGAATACAGCTCAACATTTGGATTCACGTGCAACACTAAGTTCTGGTTAACAGCAAGGATAACTAACCACAAACCATGAGTGTGGTTGGTTAGTAAACCATAGTTAAACTTCTGGGCCTGCCTTGGGCGAGCAACCTAAACCATGTTTTATAAACCATAGTTTAATGCTATGTGCAAACCAGGCGACTGTGATATTCCTGTTCACTAAAACCTCTTAGCAAACCCCATGATAGTATTTTGGTATCTGTGGTCTGTTTCCCCCAGATTCTGCCTGATTTGTTTTTCTTATTTAAGTCTACGTAGGTATGTGCTTGTTTTCAGTGCAAAATGTGAAGTGTTTTTTTTTTAAAGCCCTCAATGGTCTGGTCAGACTAGTTTTATTGACCAAATAAATTACATCCTTCCACTTTGTGCGTAAGAACCTGATGTGGCTTATGAATACACTGCTCTTGGAAAAGTGGTCTAAGAGGGAACATTGCCTTTGTCTTGAGTTAAATGTCTGCCCCATTCTCCAGGAAGCTGGAGCTGGAAACCACAAGGGTCAACTTATAGCGGCAGAGATAATGGATGCCCTTCTGATTAAATGTTTGCTCCTAACATCTAATAATCAACAAAGGATTTATCTTTAGCGCAAGGGTTGGAGAGAGAGAGAGAGAGGAGTTTTCATAGACGAAAGGGAAGCAACTTCTGTCGAACAGATTTAGCAGCCCTTATTTTGAAGGAAGGATTCTGCTGACATTGCATAACCAAATGCCTCGAGGATTTATTTTATTATGAAAGCAAACTAACTTTTAAATAAAGCCAAAAAAACTTCATCCCCATTTATATTTCTAGGTTAAGGAAAACTGTGATATATTATTTCTTTTCTCACATTATCCATGCTCCAGATTCAGCAGGGGGGGGGGGGATTGTATTATTTTAAAATGACATTGTAATCTCCTCTTCTTCTAAGGAGCTCAGGATGACATATGTGATTTTCCCACTCCCTGTGTTAATTATTATTATTATTATTATTATTATTATTATTATTATTATTTTGATTACATTTACATACTCCCTTTCTTCCAAGGAGCTAACAGTGACATATATGGTTCTCCTCCTCCTCTTCATTTTATCTCCACAACAAGCATGTAAGGTAGGTTTGGGCACCCAATGCCTCCCCTCCTAAGTCACCATCCCACAGAGGGCTGAATTCCCTTGAAGCAAATTAATTTGGGTCTGCATATCAATGGTGGGTGAGGAAGAAGCTGTTCTGAGAAGAGGGAGCCGCTCTCTCATGACACAGAGGTTAAAACTCGAACCAGTGTCTTCAAGTTACAAGAAAGGAGATGCCTACTAAACATCAGGAAGAACTTTCTGACAGTAAGAGCTGTTCGATCGCAGAAGAGACTCTCTCAGCAGGCTGTGGACTCTCCTTCCTTCCCCTCCACAGTTTCCAGCAACAGGCATTCAGAAGCATTACTGCTTCTGATCATGGAGGTGGAGCACAGCTGTCATGGCTAGCAGCTGTTGATATCCATCCCTCTTCCCTTCCCTCCCTCCTTGGATGCCCTCTTGCGTCCCTGCCTCCCAAAGGCTTGTGCAGCTGTTGTTGCAGCAGCCCTGGCCTCATGCTCCCCATGTGAGTTGTTGTTGTTGTTGTTGTTGTTGTTGTTATTATTATTATTATTATTATTATTATTATTATTACCCTGCCCATCTGGCTGAGTTTCCCCAGCCACTCTGGGCAGCTCCCAATTGAGTGTTAAAAACAATACAGCATTAAATATTAAAAACGTCCCTAAACAGGGCTGCCTTCATATGTTTTTTAAAGATAAGATAGCTGCTTATTGCCTTCACATCTAAAGGGAGGGCGTTCCACAGGGCAGGCGCCACTACCAAGAAGGCCCTCTGCCTGGTTCCCTGTAACCTCACTTCTTGCAGTGAGGGAACCGCCAGAAGGCCCTTGGCGCTGGACTTCAGTGTCCGGGCTGAACGATGGGGGTGGAGATGCTCCTTGGTGCCTCTGGGGCTGGCCAGGGGGTGCTGCTTGCCAGCAGCTGAGGCAGCCTCAGAGTAAGCAAGCAAATGGGTTGGGGAGCCTAGCCAGCCAGTGCACCAGCCCTTGCTGTTGGGAATGGACAGACAAGTGGGAGGCCAGGCAGGCAGGCACTGTGCTGGCCTTTCTTGTGCTTGCTGTGTACAAGGTCTGCCTGAGAGCTGAGTGTCTGGCACCAAAGGGGAGGCTTTCCTCCATGCAGGCCCAACAGCGCCAGCTTCTGCCTCCCAAGGGGAGTAAGGTGCTGGCCTCAGGTTCACTTTGGGCCAGTCTCCGTCAGGCCGCTAAGGCTGGGGGCATCCTCTTTGCAGGCCCCTGTGGGGCGGCATGAGGAGGCACCTCTTTTGGGGGTTGGGTAAGGGTGGCGGTGGCTGCCTGGAAGACTCCAAAGGAGAGGGAGAGGAGAGGAGGCTGAGGGATCACTTCACAAGGGAGGGTGAGGGGCTGCCAGTTATGCAGGCAAGGGGTGACATAACAGGACTTCTGAGGCTTGGAGCGCCTTTTTGCCACAGGGGAGCCACAGAAAGAATGTAGCTGGTCAAGGGAGCCATGGACTCAAAAAGGTTGAAAACCTGTGCGCCATATGTTCCAGACCATGGGTAGGCAAACTAAGGCCCAGGGGCTGGATCCGGCCCAATCGCCTTCTAAATCTGGCCCGTGGATGGTCTGGGAATCATCATGTTTTTACATGAGTAGAATGTGTCCTTTTATTTAAAATGCATCTCTGAGTTATTTGTGGGGCCTGCCTGGTCTTTTTACATGAACAGAATGTGTCCTTTTATTTAAAATGCATCTCTGGGTTATTTGTGGGGCCTGCCTGGTCTTTTTACATGAACAGAATGTGTGCTTTTATTTAAAATGCATCTCTGGGTCATTTGTGGGGCCTGCCTGGTCTTTTTACATGAACAGAATGTGTGATTTTATTTAAAATGCATCACTGGGTTATTTTTGGGGCATAGGAATTCGTTCACTCCCCCCCAAAAAAAACCTTTAGTCCGGCCCCCCGCAAGGTCTGAGGGACAGTGGACCGGCCCCCTGCTGAAAAAGTTTTCTGACCCCTCTTCCAGACAAAATAAGTACTGGCCTGTTAAAGAACAATTGACTGTGCAGGTGCTGTCCTCCCCTGCCCCCCCCCCCCCCCAGCTGGGTGTTAGCAAAAGGAAGAGAAGAGTTGGGAGGGTGAGGTTAAAGGAGGAGTGGTGTCACACTGGAGAAAGGGGTGTGTGAGAGCAGACAGAAGGGAAAGTGTTTTTTTGGTAAGGAGTTCTGGGAACCAGAAGAAAGAAGTGAGAGAACTCCAATGGCTGGAGGAGGCTGCAGGAGCCGTGCCTGGCTATTGCTTTGGACCCCAGCTTGCTGAAGCAATGAGAGGGGCAATGAGAGACACTCTTTGCGGTGTGTGTGTGCAATGTTTTGCATGCCCTCCACTGAAGATAAAATATGTGTAAAACAAACCATATTTCTTAAAGGTCTCCACTGTGCCTCTATTTCCCAGTGGTAAAACAAACCTGGATGAACTCCTGGAATCCTGCTACTGGTTAGCAGAGATTGTGGCTGACGCACAACCTCTGCATTATAATTAATTAATTTAATTAATTAATTAAATTTCTATACTGCCCTTCATCCAAGGATTACAGGGCAGTTTACAATATAAAAACACAAAAATACATACCATAATAGGTGCTCTTCACTTGGGTTCTGAATACAGCTTTGTTGGGTCAGTTTGATAATTAAGTAACTCTGCTCTTTGAGGCAAGTAAATTATTTTGGTTCTAACTGAGGGGGAGAAATTAATTAATTTATGTTTAATCCCACATATAAGCAATGTGACTCTCACCAGTGGTGACTTTTAAGCTGTGGCTTTCCAGCTGCAGCCCAGCAAACAGGTGGGGTGAATTTCCACCTCCTTATGGGACTAAGAAGTCTGACCTTTTCATTTCCACTGGTGTTGGATTCATGATCCCCACCTCACCCCCACTTCAGACAAAATGCAGGCCATTTTAAAAGTCAGGAAAAATTGAAGATCACTTTGCAGAATAGCTCCCCCAGGGGGAGGAAATCAGCAGGACAGCAGCCCACATTGAAACGCAGCCTGATTTAATCACAGCACAATTTGTATTTTATATGGGCAATCTAACAGCTTTTGGGGAGATAGCTGGGGAACAGGTCTGCAGGAATGTTTTGGGTATCTGGCAGGGAAAATGCCAGGAACTGTTGGTGATAAATGAGAGAATATTGTGTTCTGCTGTTAAGGCCTGAAATGTTAATTTAGGCCAGCTTTCAGCAATCTGGTGCTCTCCAGACATTTTGGACTACAGTTCAGGATGATACCGAAATCAGGTGTGGCAGCACCTATCCTTTACATGTAGGGATTGTGGGATGTACTATTGCTAGAGCAGTCAAGTACAACATTTTCCTGTTGCCTAGAAGGAACACACAGGGGAATGGAGCCAGGCAGGGAGGACTTCCTGTCATACCTGCTCTAGTCTAGAGCATCCTCTCTCTGTGCGTGACCCTAGCTGACTAGATAAAAGCGCTGGCCACACAACCATCTCTCTCTTGGACTCTCTCTCTCTTACTCTCACTCTTGGACTCTCCTGACTCTTAGTGAGTGCATGGCTCAACATTCACGTAGGATGGAGCCCAAAATAAACCCTGCCTTCAGATTACTGCTGTGAACTGAATGTGAGAAAAACTTTATACTTCCTTTTAAAGAAGACTGTGTTGTGTTGTTATTACTTTAAGAGGGAAATAAAAGGGGAAACTTACCAGAAACAATCCAGACTGGACAAGGCAGACTGGATTGCTTAATTAAAGGATTCTAACAAATCACCAACTTGCTTCCAGTAAGTTGCAAAGGGAATGTGCTCTGCTCTTTACTCACTAGCATGAGTGAGGAGGGATAATGTCAAAACAAAATATCCTCTCCTATCTTCCTTAACATTCCCACAGGGATGAGCAAACTGGTCAATTTCTATTTCTCTCGGTTTTCCATTTTGACCTACCTGTAATCTATACCTTTGTCCTGAAGGAGCATATTAGCCCCTTTTAGCATAATAGTGTTTGAGATCAGGAGTGGGATCACATTTGTGGTCCTTGGCTTCATCCTCCAAGCATTCTTCCAAAAGATCTGAACAAAGACCACCAGTATACTGCTGTAGATGCTGACAGGCGCACACACACACACACACACACACACACACACACACACAATCTACTTTGCATGCAGAAGGTCCCAGGTCCCAGCAGGGCTGGGAGAGACTTCCTGCCTAACCCTGAAGAGCCACTGTTGGTCAATGTATACTGAGCAGTCTGATTTGGTATAAGGCAGCTTCCTATGTTCTTATCATCTTGGAGAACAGGATTTAGTGTGCATCAGTTTAATTCAGAACTGACAAAGTGCAATCCTATGTAGGCTTGCATTGGAGGAAACCCCATGTGGTTCAAAGCTGCTGACTCCCTATTTTCTGTGTATTTAGGATTGCAGCTTTGGATGAAGGTGAAGAGGTCAGGAGCAAGGCCATCAAGTGCAATCCTGATTCCACCCCCCTCTGTTTGTTCACCAGATGCCTGAAAAGAGCTGCTGTTGTGTTCTTTTGCCATTTGAAAGTGCCTTGGAAGACAGCCCTGATAAGTGGCAATTGCAGTTCCACCCCAAGTAAATATAGAACCCATTAAGATGCTTAAAACTAAAATAAAACAAAAAATAAAACAGGTGAGGGGTTCCTTCTTTCTTTCCTTTCTTAAACAGAATACCGTGAGTCATTTCCATGTCTTCATGCTGGGTGCAGAAATATAGAGCTTTCTCTCTCTCTCTCTCTTTGTTTATTCTTCCCACATATCTAATTGCCGGGTTTTGTGTGCTAATTCTCACCCACAGAAAGGTTTCGGAAGGGGACCTTTAGGGATGGGCAGTAATTCAATGGCAGAGCAGCTGCTTCACATGCAGAAGGTCTCAGGTTCAATCCCCATCATCTCCAAGAAAGGCTGGGTATTTTCCTGTCTGAAATCCCAGACAGCTGCTGCCAGTTCATGTAGATGCTGCAACTTAGGCAGCTGTCTTTCGCTGAGTCCATAATTGGTCCCTTCTAGCTCAGTATTGGAGGGACGCGGGTGGCGCTGTGGGTTAAACCACAGAGCCTAGGACTTGCCGATCAGAAGGTCGGCGGTTCAAATCCCCGCAACGGGCTGAGCTCCCCTTGCTCGGTCCCTGCTCCTGCCAACCTAGCAGTTCGAAAGCACATCAAAATGCAAGTAGATAAATAGGTACCGCTCCAGCAGGAAGGTAAACGGTGTTTCCATGCACTGCTCTGGTTCGCCTGAAGTGGCTTAGTCATGCTGGCCACATGACCCGGAAGCTGTGCGCCGTCTCCCTCGGCCAATAAAGCGAGATGAGTGCCACAACCCCAGAGTCGGTCACAACTGGACCTAATGGTCAGGGGTCCCTTTACCTTTACCTTAGCTCAGTATTGTCTGCTCTGGCTGGCATAATAGGGTCTCAGGAATGGAACATTACCTACCTGGAGATGATGGTCACTCAGCCTGGGACCTCAGTTGCTAGTATTGAACCAAGGCCCTATCTGCACTATATATCTAAAGCAGCACCACACCACTTTAGACAGTCATGGTTTCCACCCAAGGATGGTGGAAACTGTAGTTTTTTTTAATGGGGCTGAGTTGTGTTTCACAGAGCTACAGTTTTCAGGCTGGCTTAGAAATCAATTCCTCTTTCCTGGAAACTCTAGGAATTGCAGCTCTGGGAGGGGAACTGGGGTCTCCTAACATCCCTCAGCACCCTAAACAAACTACAGCTCCCAGGATTCTTCCTTAAAGTAGTATTATGTGCTTTAAAATGTATTATGTAGATGCATCCTAAGGCAGTTTCCTATAGCCTTATACAGTGGTACCTCAGGTTAAGTACTTAATTCGTTCCAGAGGTCCGTACTTAACCTGAAACTGTACTTAACCTGAAGCGCCACTTTAGCTAATGGGGCCTCTTGCTGCTGCCGCGCCGCCGGAACACGAGTTCTGTTCTCATCCTGAAGCAAAGTTCTAACCTGAAGCACTATTTCTGGGTTAGCAGAGTCTGTAACCTGAAGCGTATGTAAACTGAAGCGTATGTAACCCAAGGTACCACTGTAGCCAGAAAAAATGTGTGTGTGTTTTCTCTATATCTTATCACCATCATTATTATTTCTGGTGTAAAAGTTATATATATTTAACTGTTGCTTACTTATTTGGTCAACAGAAAGGCATACCTCCAGGTTCCTATTGATTCAGTTGGTTTCAGAGAAAATGCTTCTCTTCTCCTTCTCCCTCTTTTTTAAAAATAAAATAATAAAATAGCAAGTTGGCCCATTTTGAGTTGATTTCCTCCTCCTCCTCTCCCTCCCAACCCCTTCATAATTGTGTAGGAGCTGATGAGCTCCCCGTCAAGGCTAAGAATGGGAGTCTGCCTGCGATTAGGTGGGAAGAGAGACTTTTAAAATTTATTAAATTGACGGCTTCTGAATGGCACTAGTGATTGCTCATATAATTGTATTAATTTTGGAGGATTGAGGTGCTGTTTTCATCACTTAAGGTTTGCACTGATGTTGTTTTCTGGTGAACAGCAGGGTCCATTTATTCCAAGAATATGGAGTGGTGGGTGTTTTTTGGTGTGTTTTTTTACAGAGTCTAGGAAACGGCCTTTGTCTAATACAGCAGGAATCTCACTGAAACAAGAACATGGATAGGTTTTTCCTCTCTCATGCTTTCCAGTTGTTTATCATGCTGTGAATTCAGTTGGTTCTCCTTCCTACGAAGTTTGTATTCTCCTCAGAATTGTAGCATTTCATTTTTCAGTTGGCACAGTATTTATATATGCCCTCCCCCCCCCCACGTGTGTGTGTGTGTGTGTGTGTGTGTGTGTGTGTGTATACAGACACTAATAATACAGTGGATAATCTGTTTTATCAGTGTGTGTCTCCATCCTCTTCCATAAATGATTCTGCCCCTTTATTAGTTTTATGTGTGTTAGTGGTAATGCACGCTGGGTGGTTAATGTGCACAAAAACCAGCCATTGTGCACATTCACCACACCTCTGGAGAATGTGCGCATAATCTATGAAGAGGGAATTGTGCACATTTCCTGATCAAGGGATATGAATTCCCAACAGGCCTTGTGAAATGTGCACATCTCAACTGCATTTTCTACATTTGCCAGCTATTATGCATAATCCCCAAAAGATCTTGAGGCGTGTGCATATTGTTACCTGGAGCCAAAGCTCAAAATGAGCTCAGGCTTGCGCAAGAGGTTAAAAAAATTTTTTTTAAAGGGTTTCTTTGTCTATGTTCGAAGCAAGAAGAAGAACATGCAAGTAGTAGCTCCTCTGCATGGTGAATATGTAGAAATGCTATTGGGTGACAGAGAACTCATCTACACTCGTGGTTTTTAATGCTAAAAATGAGTTTAAAGGGGGTTCTGATAATCATATAGCCATATGACTTTTTTTTTAAAAAAAAGTCAATAATGCATTATTAAAATATGACACCAGAGAGCTTTGCCCAGTTTTGCAACTGGCCCTGCCCAACACAGGCCTGTGGCCCCTGGAAGGTTGCTGAGAAAGGAATGTAACACTTGGTGTGAAGAAGTCTCCCAACTCCCTGCAGTGTGTTGGTCAAGGTTGGCAAGATAAATTTTGGCAGCTGAGTTGAACCACAAAATGGCATGCCCCCTGGCCAGGGAAGAAGGGGTGAGTGAAGATCTATTTTTTTCCCCCTCCTTCTGTGATGGAGCTCCTATTTGGGGACTTCCCTGGCTTTTTTCTGGCCCACATAGGACCAGTCTGGATAGTTAACTTTGGTGAAGACTTGACATTTTCACCTCCAAAAAAGTTTTTGATTTGAGTTTCTACTGAAACGAGGCTGCATTTTAATGTTGTATTTTATCTTGTTTTTAAAGTTATATTACAATCAATTGTTTTTATACCTGGTGTTAGCTGCCCTGAGCCTTGTCTTGGCTGGGGAGGGCGGGGTATAGTAATAATAATAAATTTTATTTATTCAGGGACAAGTGGAGGGGGACGAAAAGCAACCATACTTGATTAAAGTGGGAATCAAAAGCTGTTGCAGGAGAGTAGGGTGGGAGAGCCCAGGATATCCCAGAGTGCAGCCCCCACAGTTTCCTCCCTAGAGATGGAGAAAGACCAGCAGTACCTCCTATTTACCAAGAGACCACCGTAGAGACAGCATAGCAGACAGGCTGCCAAAGGAAGCAGCAGCAAATCTAGCATCCAAGGAGTGTACCGCCAGCAGTGACAGGGACTGCAGATGATGCATGCCTTAGGGGCCAGATCTGCTGCTTTTGTAGATCCTGCCACCCAAGGTTGTCGGCTCACCTTGCCTCATGGGTGGGCCGGCTCTGGTGGTGTTGCTTGGCTTGGCAGGGGTGGTGGTTGTGGTGGTTGTGCAAGTCACAGCTGGGGAGTCAGAGGGAGTTCAGTGTCCTCCGGCCACTGCTGTGCCCATGTAAAATGCTCAAATTGAAACTGACAGCAGCCGCCATCTCTGAGACAGATGCCCACTTCCCTGCAGCTGAATGGAGTATAATTATATTTTTTTGCAAAAAAATGCCACTCGTCCTTGATTAGCCTAGCTGGGTTTGTTCTGCTCGGCTGAGGGTGTTCCTGGCGGCTGCAGAGCCAAATGGGCTTTCTTGCCAAGGGAACGGATGTGAGTTTCAGATGGAAGTTACTGAAGGTTTCCTACAATTCCCCCACCACCACCACCACATTAGACTGGCAGTTGGGTGATTCTCCTTTCTCCTTTTTGCAGAGAGGCAAAGAAGGTACTGGGCCACACAAATAGCAGGCCGGCAGGCCATCACGAGGTGTGGGGGAACCCCAAGATTTGCACAAGTAAAAAAAAAAAAAGCTGTAGAAAGAAGCTCTAAAGCAGTGGTTCTCAACCTGTGGGTCCCCAGATGTTGTTGGACTACAACTCCCATCATCCCTGAGCTCTGGCCATGCTTGCTGGGGCTGATGGGAGTTGTAGTTCAACAACATCTGTGGACCCACAGGTTGAGAAAGACTGCTCTAAAGGGAAGGGAACACCACACAAACAGGAGGTGGTACATAAGGGTTGGCGTACACAGAGTCAGTAATTTGCTAAGGGTGCTTTTTTAATATATAGTTGAGGCTCCTCACTCCTCCCCCCGCCCCATCCTGATGCTGATCTTCACTCACCCCTTTCCCCCCGATGCTGACCTTCACTTGGGGAATATAAGAAATGTGATTTTTAAATGGATAGTGTAATTTGTGAGTTTGAACCCATAGGGCCAAAAATTGGGAAGAAGTCACATTTCAGTCAACTAACTTGCTTCAAAAATGGCGCAAGCGAAACAGTTTCACTTGAATTCAGTGGGGATGCTATCCATGATGGGATGCAGGTGGCGCCGTGGTCTAAACCACAGAGCTTAGGGCTTACCGATATCAGAAGGTTGGCGGTTCAAATCTCTGCGACGGGGTGAGCTCCCATTGCTCGGTCCCTGCTCCTGCCAACCTAGCAGTTCGAAAGCACGTCAAAGTGCAAGTAGACAAATAGGTACCGCTCCGGCGGGAAGGTAAACGGCGTTTCTGTGCGCTGCTCTGGTTCGCCAGAAGCGGCTTAGTCATGCTGGCCACATGACCTGTAAGCCTGAGGGCTGCAACCCCAGAGTCGTCCGCGACTGGAC